AAGGATTATTAAAAAGTATTTTAATAACTTAATTTACGCGTCATTTGATGTGTGGACAATTAATATTCAGAAATGAAATTAATTTATTGACCAATTAGTATTTGAGCTGCCAATTGGACGAAATGTTTATTGTCGACAGTTTCAATCAACTTTGTAGTTACTTTTATTACACGTCAGCATGTATTGAGCTAATAATTATAATGTACCGGCGCCCTACTGCTAGTCAATCTAGTGTTTCACATATATACAGGGTGTTCCAATATGAACGTGTCACTTCCATAATAGACCTTGGTGAAGCATGCAGCGCAGTTGTGAAATGTCAAATTGATGTTGCTATGCACTTTGATGCAAGTCGCTGGTTAAGACGTGACATTTAACACCAGTTTGATATATTTAGTACAGTATTGAAAATCCAGCCTTGATAATGCACACGTTTAGTGTTTGAGGTTAACTTTTTGTGGGTTTTGGTGGTTTTGTATTTTTCCTTAAATCCCACATCTCCTAGGAACTTTGTTGGAAGGTCAATTGTTCAAATAAAACACCTTACAAGCATGTTTACTAAGGTAGTTTCACAAACAAAAAAATCTTTAAAACTATTGATTCTTTAAGGGAAAAATAATTTCGAATTAAATTATTAAGTTCGATATCACCAAGTTTTCAGTATAATATTCCTTAAGAATTACTGGATCGACATGGTCTATATTCCCGAGGTCCCGGGTTTAAACCCCTCCAATCAATTGGATTTTGCTATGATATTTCATAAAACTTGTACCACTACTTTTTACATATGGCCTGAAGTAATGTGTAGGGTTCAGACTAGAGCCTATGATCTAACATCTAGAAAGTAAATTCAATTTATTTCGTCATACAATGATCATTTCCTAATTTTACGTTTCAAAAAGATTAAAATTACGAATAAGCAGACACATTTTACTATGTAAACCGGTGCCTTGTTTACATACTCTTTAACCTTTAGAAACATTTTTCTCAAGACGTTTTCGTGTCTTCTACAGTTATTGTGCGGTAACGAACAGGTCACAACACTATTGTGGAGGTTATTCATTGTTGAAGCTTCTTTTGTGGAACTGGACCGTCACGGCACCTCTTTGTACCTTGGAAGGGTCCGCAAATTGTCAACAACGGCTAGTTTATGATGTCTCACTTTGTAAAATAAATAACTGAGGCAAAATATTGAAGAAATAAATTCAGACATTCTTATTTTTCCAACTTTATGTTCACAATCAATTTATGAATCGTACTATTATCAATATATCACTAGGACGTTGTTTAACCTTGTTCGTTTCCTTGCAACGTCTTTTCTGTTGTTCTAAGACAGTTATGTAACATTCGTGTAGACAGGTCATGAGACAGGTTCCATCATACAGACTATACCCGAGAACACACTGCTACCAACAGTGTTGTGTTGCGCCGATCTCAAGCGGCTGTTCTCAAAGTTTTTATCTCACACTTAAACAACTTGTACTAACATTGATGTGTTGTTATAACTTGTGCCAATACAACTTCCACAACTTCCTTTTCTTTATTTACTCTTCAAATTATCAGAAACAGCCTTCTGCGACGTCTCCGAGACGATTATTTCGATATAAGATTGTTCCAAAAAACATTTTCGTAAATAATATACAGTATAGTTTTTTTTTTATGTATTTGTTTTAATGTCTTTATTAATATATATCTTATGTTTTTGTGGAATAGTGTGATATATACAAGTACTGTCATTTCTAAAGTAATTATTTATATGAAATATTACCTGCAATACATCATTGGTCTTGCTCACACTTCGGTCCGACCGAGCAACCAACTTATCTTTAAAATGTTGGAATCACCCGCTTTTTCTCGCCTTTTTATATAATAATGTAACAATTAAATAGCAGGGCCAATATAAAACATATTTGTAGATTTGTACATTATTTAATTTATAAACACTGTGTATATACTCTCATCAATCGCACCTTTACAACTTTTATTATTTATAAATTTAGGTAATGTACAAACTGGGCTAATAATTTAACAAAATCTGGGCTTGACTTTAAGTATTTCTATGTGCAAGAAACGCTGAAGTTTCCAAGAAATTAAGCCTCGCTTAAAGTTAAGCTTCAGGAAACTTCGTCGCAAAACTCCCATCACCAAAGCGGCTTCGCTTAAATACACACACGTACAGTGATTTTTAATAACCACTAGTTTACCTTATATTTTTCTCAATTAAAGCATTTCTTTATATTTTACGATATTTCTTTTCAGTGCAGGAAATGTACGCGTAATGTGTCCTACGTTTCGCTTATTCCCTTTATAACCGAAAAAGTTTGATTATGTTTTTACCCATGACACTGTAAAATCGTCAGGCGGAAAATGTACGACTACTTCTTCTACGTTCTACATCTAATGCCCATTCAAAAAAAATAAAATATAATATTTACGAATAAATTGTTTTGTTATTCCTTTTCTACCTCTACAAATTTCCGTATTCTCCATTTTTGGCGCGTTCGTCCCAGATATCGCGGCAATCTACGAAGTTGAGCAAGTTGAGGAGTTGAGTACATGTTTCGCAGTACTTTGCCCTCCACTCCAGTCATAAATCTTTTGCGTAAGTTTCCACATAAACCAAATGCCGGATCGGATGAGATTAGTGGTTTTCGCCCTTAATGTTGCTCACGCAGTTGACTTTTCAACACATCACGATACAGTACAACTGCTCCACTTGTCTTTGGACAGTATTCTATAGTCAATACATTTGCTCATTTTCTGTTGTTGTACTGTTGTTTTTGTAAAGTGTTATTTACTAAATATTGTGTTCTTGCCTGCATGATGAAGAAAAGGTCATTTAAACACGTGTTCACAAAGTAGGTATTATGAGAATTTATATTAAGCTGCAATGTAATTAGACGTAAGTCTGTATTGTAGCATTTGAATAAATAAATGATTATGGAAATATGAAAGTATTGAGTGAGCCAAAATAAAATGTAAAAGTGAAAGTATTAAAACGTGCAAATTCATTAAACTAACTATACAGTACTATAATATATGTGTATTTATGCATAGTCTATTTATTTATTTAATATGTACAATCTATTAATTTGTAAGTGCTGATGATGTCCATATACGTTAACGATATGCCAGAGAAACGAAGATAAAATAGTGAACTGAAAATTAAAATTGTGCTTATAGTGGTACGTTTTGCAATATTATCCATCAAATGTGTTATCCATGTTATTCTCTCTCTGAATTTCAATACTTCATTACTGTAATTGAAATTAAATAGCCTACAGTACTTCTTATGATAATTTATTTATTTATATTACAGTAATAGCCTGAAAATAAGAAATTTTATTAGAATTGAGTAGAGTAGAAAGTTATTTTTTTTTATTACTTTTACTAATGCATTGTTGCGGTTCTTACCAAAACAGTTACTGTATGTGCAGCCATTGAATTTCTTCCTAAAACTTAGAATATAGGATAGGTACCTGCTAGAAACTAATTAACTATTCCAATCAATCATCATCAACATTATAGGTTTCACAAGTCTCCTAGTTATTGTTATGTGATTAACTTTTGAAAACAAACACAAGAACACAAATGTTAGGAATCTACAAAGGGCTACAAACTCTGTGATACTAATGAGGGATAATGTAGAAGCAGAAGCAGGTAAAACATCAACTGCTGTGATGGAGTGGGAGAAGCACTTTCGTATCTTCCGGGCATCATATTTCTTCTGTTTTATGAGCTGATCTTCCACAAAACGTTTTAGCGACAAGAAAAGGCATTTATTTGATCCTGAAAATTCGGTACTTTATGTTTGACAAACTGTGTCTTAGAAAGTCTCAAAATTATGTAGGAAACTTCAAGGGGGTTTATCTAATATTTTTTGAATAAACACAAAAGAATCGTTTTTCTAAGATTTAGCTAAGCTATATTATTTAGTTAAAAATGATTTTACAAATTATGTTTATCTGATCACGATTTAAAAGTATCTGAGGTATTTAACTTGTCAGGTTTGTCCTAGTTACTTAAAGTTGCAGGTGAATTTTTAAGTAGTGTTCTAAATACATTATATGTATTGACTGTTGGAAATCGTATTTCATGAAATTTGTTTAAATCAATATATAGCTCGTACGGATTACAGCCCAGACTTCCCCAGTATTATACAGAACCATGTAGAACAGTTCTAGTTGGTTTTACAGTTATTGTACCCATAAACTCGCAACTGTGTTCAGGTGCTGCTATGGTTTTGTTGCCCTATGTTAATTCAATATGCTGCGATCATTTTATTTTGTCAGTTAGTTGTCCTTTCAATAAAATGTAATTCAATGCACACTTTCGAGGGAAATAGAAGGGTTATGCTGCAGGAATAGTGAGGGACATCAACCACGAATTAAAGTTATGTAATCATTTTCTAATAGTTCTGTAAAATTTCAAAAAATCTCAATTAAAATTGTTTAGAATACAGTATAAAAATGCCAATTTCCTTGGACAAAGAATTTTTTATTAGGCTATTTTAAACATTAAAATTACGTCGTATTGCCGATATATCGCTCAAATTTAAAAATAAGCTAGCCTACCCCAGCATAAGATTATGAAATTGACATTTGCTTAGTGTTTTACATAGGATACATTTTCCACAAATTGACTGCCCAGGATATGTTTGGTGCATTGGAAAATGTTAATGTGTATCAAAGTTATTCAATTAATTAGATTCAAGCTGTTCATAAACTTTAGGACATCAGTAGAATTCCACAAAAAATAAAAATATGACAATAATGAGAGTATATGATGGGGTTTCACATGACTGTTGGATATTGTATATTTAATGTTTTAAAATAATATTGCAAAATTAACTTAATATGAGAAAATCGTGTGTCTGATATTTACAAAACCTGTTACTTCCTTATCCTAAAAGTGCATGACAGAAAATTTACCAAATTACTAATCAATACTGTCTTTTAAACTTGTACTTTCTTTTAACAATATTTTGTTTTTGTTCTCAGCCTCGCGTATTCGATATGAGATCACAAGCGGTAACATAGGAGGTGCCTTCGCGGTCAAGAACATGACTGGTGCCATCTACGTTGCTGGCGCACTTGACTATGAAACTAGGAAAAGGGTGAGTTATATTGCAATCCTTATAACTTGTAGTCAGTCTATGTATAATTGGGTGGTATAACAGCCACCATAGTACACAAATCCAACTGTAATGCACAGAATTCCTGTGTTGTTTACAATGAATCATTTCCTCCAACTTTTCTTGTACACTTAAGTACAATTAGGTTGCGGACTGGTTACAAACTTTGGCAACTCAAGCGACAACTCATGGAGGATTTATTCCCTTGTTTTCTCTTATCAAACTTTTGTTTCAATTTATTTCCTTGTTACTCCTCAAGTCTTCGTGTAAGTTAGTTTTTTTATGATACGTAAATTCCGTTAGAAGTTTTTTTTTATAAAACAATATGTGCATTTTAACTTTTTGAGTTTCTAAAAATAATTGTTATGTGGATTTGTTGTAGTATTAGCAATTCAAAAATGTTTGTAATATTAATTCATTGGCTTATGAGTATTTTTATTAAATCACAAAATTTCTCAACCCTTTTTATGTCATTTTTTTGCTATTCTGTTCCAATAACATCAATGCATACCAGTTAAACACCCTACAAGTGCCAACATAACAGCTTTATATTTCTTATGAGCATTTTATTGTATATTCATATATAACAATATTAAATACAGTTTTTACAATTATTTAACAACCAATTTGTAAAGAGATAGTGTATTTCCACATGATCATCGGTGATCACGATTCCATTCTATGCCAAATAGAAGCATAATTAATGTGAGTGTGATAAAACCATTTACAAATGCAGCGAGTTGCCAAGTGCCAAACTTGGAACCTTATTGGCAGAGCCTCTTGCGCTGTTTAAACTATATCGAGTGATTTGCAATTTTAATACGTATCGTTAGCTTCCTGTCAGATGAAATATTGTCAGGTAATATCCACCAATTTTCAGCCAATAAATATCACTGCGATAAAACCTTTTTATTATGAGTCTAGCATTTGAATTAATCTCTTGTTTCAACCCCAGCCAACCCTACGGGGGGGGGGGATTGAATTTAATATCCGAGTTGATTTTGTTTACATTTCAATTACAAACTGTTCATGTTTTATTAGCAGTTTCATGTTAACAGAGAGAATAACAGTAATTATCTACTACTGGAACCTAAACCAATGTCAACAAGGGAATACCTTGTCCCATTATTTGAATTATCAAGTAACTTAGTTTGCATATGAATGGGCTCAATATAGTAATGGGCCTGCGGGAGATACAATTTACTCACACTGATGGACAATGCATAATCAATGAGTTTATGCCTAATAAAAAATTATGTCCATGATTATGCTTCATTTAGTATTACATAAAATATATATCAATTTTATGACTTATAAAATTCACAATTTTCCCAAAATAATACCCCAGGGACTGTAATATAATTTTATAGTTCTTTGAACGGTCAAATAAACATCCCTATAAATTTGCTTTTTAAATATCCTATTTTGTAATTGACAGATGATTCTCGTTTTCAATGCTCCTTAAATGATATTCGACTTAAGTCTTTACTAATTTAATATCACTCAATTTTTTGTCCTACTGATCAAAGAGATTCCAAAGTTGACTTTGTTTATAACAGTACATTAAACAAAGCTTGATCTTAATACAGTTTGTCCTCCTCAAGATTAATTTTAAACCCATTTGTCATCAATGCATAATCAGAATGATCCAATTTGGTATACAAAAGTAGACATTCCATCTATACAGTTATTGATGAGTTTTAACCAGTGGTGGTTCTAGGGGGGGGGGCTACACAGGCTAAAGCCTTCCCCCCCTTTAATTATCATGGTCCCTGAAAAAATAGATTTAAACATACATTTTGTTACACAAGTTACAGAGGTTTTTGGACACACTTTAGAAAGTCACCAAACTGCTCCTTAATAAAAAAGTAAAATACAAAATGATCCTCCTTTCTTACTAGGGGCACCCCCAACCCCCTGGTAGACCCCCCCCTCATAGAACTGCCACTGTAGTTCATGTTTGTTCAACTGGCTACAAATTTAATATGGCGGACAGAACGTCCACCTCTATCTGCACTCAAACACCTTCCTCAACCATATTGTAAGGGTCAGGTAATAATAAACATGTGATAACTTGTGTGGTGGTGGTGTAGTACGAGCTACGCTTAGCAGCGTCTGACAATCTCAAGGAGAACTACACAACTGTGGTGATCCATGTGAAGGACGTCAATGACAACCCTCCTGTGTTCGAGAGGCCGACGTACCGCACACAGATCACGGAGGAGGATGACCGGAACCTCCCCAAGCGAGTGCTCCAGGTCATTGGCAGCTTCACCTCATGTCTGCATGACTTTGCTTCATGTGCATGATCTGTGTTTTGTTGTTTTATTTTCAATGCCAGAGTTCGGTAATGAAAGCTGTTTACTGAGTTTTCCCCCTAATGATGATTATGAAGAAAGATTTCATAGAATGCTCAAACTTGCGTACAAACTAATGTATTTAATACAAAATATGAAATAATAAAACTTACTCACTCACCAAGTAACACCTCCACATCTTTTGCTTTATGTCATACACAATAATATCTGCAAATTATAAATTCCATTGATTTTATCAAAGTTAAGCAATTAGTTGGTTGACCCAATCGGTAAAACCAATAGTTTGGTAAAGTAATAACATTCTTACACTTTTCAAAATATGCAGTTGATATGCAGTATTGTATTCTATATTCAATAAGAATTTTCACACCCAAAATTCTTATCACTTCCAAATCCTTATCTAGATATGCTAGCTAATTTAAATAAGGAATTATTTACGATGACATTTGATTTTAATCATATACTAAACATACATACACACAACTCAAAACAAAACAATATGACTCATTTTTGCATTTTATAAATCTGTCTAAGTTAATTATTTTCCCAGTTTTGTGTTACTTAAAGTCTACTAAAATCACTTCTGCAACCCCTCAGTAGATTTTCATTGCCGAACTTTGGCATGCTAACTCGTCCTGATCTCAATGCCCAGGAGTCGTCCGGCTTCTCCGTTAGTGTTGTCAGCATGTTGTTGTTGTTGCATGAGCTTACCTGTGTCTGTTGGCATGCCAGTACGAGTTGACTTTGGTAGCGTCCGACGGCCTCAATGAGAAGGCGACCACAGTGGTTATCCACATCAACGATGTCAACGACATGATGCCAGAGTTCAGTCAGCCGGTTTATCAAGCTGTCATGGCGGAAGAGTTAGCAGGACCTTATCCTTACAGACTACTTCAGGTGCTGAGTTTTTACTTTTCATTTTTAACCATAATTTCAATAATTTTCTGTACCCAATTCATTTTTTGTTTATGAACCTTTTCTATACTAATGTTTTATTAGATATTTGTTTTTGTAAACCCTTTTTAAAAATGTTCTTCTATGTTCTATTTTGTTTCAAATATTTTATCATTAAATCATACAATATCAAATCTTATGTGTTGATAATAATTTCCAAAGACAGTACACAAATAATTTTGTCAAGCCTTTTGATGCTAGCTGTTATCAGGTGTAGGAATAAAAAACATACATTAGTAGATATGTTTCATTTTTATTTATCTATCTATCTATATATTAATAGGCAAGCATGTTTCTTTAAAACCTTTTTTCTCAGCTCGTGTTCATCGTAGGGAAAATCTACGCATACCGTTAGAAAACTATTTTCCTGTAGGTGTGCAGAATCCCTTTATAAATTTAAATAGGCTCAAAGATAAGCACAAAAAATGAGTTTAAAAATTTGAAAATATTAACATGGATCTTATGCGTTGCCATGCTGGTAACGAAAATAACAACGAAATATAAACAGAAAACCAAAACAAATGGAAGAAACTCAAATCACATGTTTTATTTACAGTGTGGGGTGAAAATAGATAAGTGAGTACATTACGTATTTTTGGTCGAGTTTCGACCACTGGACGACCTCTCGTATACATAATTTAGAATCTTAAACTGTATTAAAAATAAAACTAAAAAGAATTAATGTTTACAAATCAAGAATAAAATTATTGCTATACATAACCCAAAATATAAAACTAATAATTGTGCCAAGAGAATACTTAAAGTCTGAGTGTAAATAAGGAAATAGTAAAGGCACTTGGAAACTTAGGTTTAAGTAAAATATTTCAGCTCCAACTTATTTAAGCATAATGGTAAAATAAGGAGGTAAGTATGTTTTACTCTAAAATAAAAGACTTTGCTTGATTCTTTATTGGATGATTTACTGTATTGCTTGTGAAACTTTGCTTGAAAAAATAAAATTTATAGTCATATTTCTCCTACAATAACATTTTTTTGTTCCGCAGTTCTAATTTATTAGTTATTTTTTTACACAATAATATGTCTTAAATACTTAAAAATTATAAGGATTATAAAATTCAAATAATTTTATAATCCTTAGTTTTTAATTTTTCTTTGTTCTACTCAAGTCCACGTCAGATATCAATTATTTTATTTTATACAAACAGAAGAAAGGGAAATGATGTTCATGATCTGTGAGCAAACAGTTTAAGTTGGAGTCTAGTCATGGTAACTATATGCAAAGACATTCAGTGTCAGTGGTCATCTTTGAGCATGTTTTATGCAGTGGTCTGTGGTCCGCTCAGTGGACTAATCTTACCATATAAAACTAGAACACATAAACATTGCAGTATAATGCACTTTATATTCAGTATGTGCTATGAGTTGTGGCACGTATTGTTCTTATTCCGTAGTGCATGATTCTTTGTTGCAATGTAAATGGGAGTCGAACTGCATGTGTGCTTTCATGTGTGTTTGTACTCATCAACTTTCATGACCAGCGCATTTGAAAGAATATTTTATATCTTTATGGAGACAAATGTATGTGTACCGTGCTATATAATTTATGTCAAAGAAAATTATTGAATCTAAAAATGTATTATTAGAGAAATACATTAAATGCACATACTTGGTTAAAGGAGTACAATTTTCAAATGAGTTTTTGGAGCACCATTTTGACTCGGTTAATCCACTTATCACTTAGCAATCAAATTAGCTACTGTACCTACTAAAAAAAGATTTCATATACAGGGTGACAAAAAAGTCTGGAAACGGCAAAAATAACCGATTGTTTACAACCTACCTCGTTTATTCTGTACTCACCATTCATTAAGATCAGTCCTAAAATTGCAATGTTTAAAAACAAACTGTTTAGATAAAAATGTTTATAACAGAAGATAGGATAAACTAACATGTTGATGAGATGGAGACACAATATAATAGTTCAACCGAACCCTGGCTGATATGTGGTAGAAATTTGATATAAAACTGCAAACTGCCCATCAAATTTACTGTAATTTTATACATACTCCAATCTTGCTTTGATTTATGGCATTTCAATAAGCAAGGATTGTTTAGACATTTTCTCTTTACAGAGAGTAAATACTGCTACAGACATGCATGCCTGAAAAAATACAAGATTTTTTCTCGAAAATAAAATTGAAAACAAATTTTGATGTTTGATGCCAACAGGTGACAGCGTCCGACGGAGACAAAGATCGACCACAGAACATAGTGTATTTCCTGACTGGGCAAGGAATTGACAGCGACAACCCTGCCAACAGCAAGTTTGACATCAACAAAACTACCGGGGAAATATTCGTACTCAAGGTCAGTTACAGCCCTTTCAGCCCATCTCTAGTTAAAATTGACTGAACAACATGCAATTTGTCTACTTTTAACACACAAACTATTTAAATTTTAAAAGCTCTTGCTGAAAAGTATTATTTTATAAAAGCCTGAAATATACATATTTTCATAAGACTAAAATAATTTCAGTGATAAATTTCTCAACTGTTTAAACTCTAAAAAAGTTTCACTAAGAAAAACTGCTGAGAAATTTGCTGAGCAAATTAGTTTGTAATTTCAGGTTTGTTTTTGATTAATTGCTTACCTGATATTGACTCAAACAAAGTTACTTCTTTCCTTATCAACTTATAAGCAGTTTGTAGCTATCAAGATTCCATTAAAACTTGAATCATCAATCTTAAGTGGGTTATTTTGTAATTAAGGGAGATAAAGGTAAATCGTGTATGTGAAAGTTTTTTTCGAAGATTTGGTAAGTTTATCTCATATCAGCCTACACAAGATTTAAAATTAATCAAAACCAAAATGGTGGTATCCACTACTTATCAGATTTAAAAGTCATAGCTTAAACGTTTCTATTATGGCCATAAAAGTTGAATTTTGTTTCTAAAAGCTTGGCGGATGTGTAACTATTATATGCAACAGAAGTAAAGATTATATTTTTTAATAATAATACAAATACCTCGTCACAGCTCTGAAGTTTCTGTCTATTGGTAAAGATTAAAATGTTTCTATTTTGTGTCCTCTTCCCGTTGCAAAGCACGGGTACAACAGCTAGTACTTAATACTTTTCATTGAAATGGCGACCATACAAAGTAGAATGAATGGAGATGAGTGTAGGATGAGTGGCGCGATCTTGTAGTCTTGTTACCTCAGCTGTTAATTAATAGCCCATACAGCTAATGGCAACTAAAGGGACCTATAGTTTATAGTGGAATCCAACCTATGTTTTTGCCTTGGTATTAATGAATTGGTCTAATTACCTAAAAAAAGTATTTAAAAAAAACAAAAAAATTAGCTTTTAGACTTGGAATGTAAAACAACCCAATGTTAGTTTTGTCACACACATTTTTTACAGCAACACTACCTAGGTGCTTTTTAAGTTAAACATGAATGTAACTTGCGTTTAGAGTGGATCTGTGTAGCTTTATCACTGTCTAAGATCAGCTGTTTCTTGGGGCAAGACCATTTATTTCACATGTGACTTGTCTGCAGCCCCTGGATAGAGATCAGCCCAATGGTAGGCCGCAGTGGAGGTTTACAGTGTTTGCACAAGACGAAGGAGGGGAGGGTCTCGTCGGCTACGCAGATGTTCAAGTTAACCTGAAGGACATCAACGACAACGCTCCCATCTTCCCTCAGGGTGTCTACTTTGGCAACGTCACCGAAAATGGAACCGCAGGTGAGTCTTGCCTTTTTTAAGACATTTATTATTAAAAAAAAAAAATTAAATCTATCATAGTTTTGTCCAAAATGCTTTGTAGTTTTATATACCTCTCATGCAACAAAACTGTTTAACCCATCTCAAAGGAGAGTGTCATCAAGTTTAAAAGCTAAATGATACCTAGAGCTAGAAGTAAGATTCTTCCAACAATTTCATGTAATCTTGTTTCAATACTATTGTCATTTCTGTGTTTTTATTTTATGTACCATTCTCTATCCCAAAAATTGAAACAATTTCTCTCGCAGGTATGGTGGTGATGACTATGACTGCAGTGGACTACGATGACCCTACTGAGGGAACCAACGCCAGACTCATATACTCCATCGAGAAGAACGTGATAGAAGAGGAGACGGGGTCACCCATCTTTGAAATAGAATCAGAAACGGGAGTGATCAAGACGGCAGTGTGTTGTTTGGACCGTGAAAGAACTCCGGATTATTCAATACAAGTGGTCGCGATGGACGGTGGGGGGTTGAAAGGGACAGGGACGGCATCGATACGAGTGAAAGATATAAATGATATGCCTCCTATGTTTACCAAAGACGAGTGGTTTACGGAAGTGGACGAAACTGACGGAACAAACTTACCGGAGACTCCGATCTTGACGGTTACAGTGCATGACGAGGACGAGACCAACAAGTTCCAGTACAAAGTAAGTTTTGTTATGATTTACATTTCAACTTGATTTATATTTGGAGATTCATGTCCAATTGTCCATTTCCTTAAATTTTAAGAAATCACTCACGAACCGAGAGATTTTCAACCTTTAGTGACAATTGTTTAACAAATTGAGAACTTGAGGGAGATTTATAAAATATAACTGAATTAGTTATAGCATGGAATTGTTAGGTACCTACCGTACCTTTTGTAATAATTACAATTATTGTAAACTTATTAATACTCGTCTATCAAGACTCCTATACTTACTAATTGCTCTTCTTTCTTTTTTCTGATGACGAGGAATAGTTTCAAAGTTACAATATTTTTCAAAATTCAAACCCCAATAAAAGATAAAGATGCCATATTGTTATCATTCTATAGAATAATTATGCTATTCAATGAGATGTCTACTGTGATGGAAAAAAACAAGATTTGAAGAAAAACCAAATAATTAAACAAAAAAAACATATTTTTAACTCAGAAATTCTAGCTTTAGGGTTAAACACGTTTACACTGAAATGACTTAAGTTTATTTGGGTTAAGTTTTCCAAAGACTAAGATTTACTATATAGTGCACTTGAAAAAATATGCAGTATGCAGGTATTTGGTACGATGTTTGTCCTTTCATACCATTTATTTAAAGTTCAACTTGAACTTTGATCTAGGTTATTGAAAACAGCGGTTATGGTGCAGACAAATTCACAATGGTCAGAAATAATGATGGCACTGGATCTTTGAAAATTGTTCAACCTCTGGATTACGAAGACCAACTACAAAGCAACGGTTTCCGCTTCAGAATACAAGTTAATGACAAGGTAAGAAATAATAGACTTTTCCTTGAGTAAGTTATCTCCTTGAGGATAACCAAGCTTTTTAATGGTTCTTCTTACTTTTTAGTTATGTGGATTCTTTGATCTTATTTATATTACAGTTAACTCAAGAAGTCGATGTATTATAATTACTTCTTCAGGGTATAGTCTGATCATGGTTATCTCTTAATATCTTAGGTGGCTTTTCTACTATTATGCTTTTTTATGCCAGAATGCAACAATGAACTCTGCATTGCTTAAGTAGACAATTCTAGACTATTGTCCAGCAACAATAGCATCAGGGAAAAATCAGAGACAATGTAGTTTTAATGTATAAATAGAAGTAGATACAGATAGCTTGGATAATATTTATAGATTTTGGGCTGATCATAGCAAAGCCAAACCTCTCTCTCTCTTTTTCTTTGAGAAAAGTTTTTCAAAAACGTAATATAGCTATACCTACTTTTTTAATCATTAAAAATTATGATTTTCAGGATTGTTTTACTGGTTTTGTGCTGACTTATAGCTTTATTTTTTACGAGGAGATAGATCATAAACCATATTAGGCTTTGTTTTTTAAAGCATGCTCCAAAGCGCTGACCTTTGTCCTGAGGATATTTTCTTATGTCTTAAGCATCCAGTACCTCAATTTCTAGACATCATAGACTGGAGTTTAGTAAATACTGTTTAGCAGTATAAGCTAATAATTTGTTTGTGAAGTCTCAAACAACTAAACTGTTTTTGTAGGGTGAAGACAACGACAACGACAAGTACCATGTTGCCTACTCATGGGTTGTTGTCAAGCTAAGAGACATCAACGACAACAAGCCACAGTTCGAGCGACCGAACATTGAAGTCTCGGTTTACGAGAATGCTGAGGTCGGCAAATCTCTGGAAACATTCAAGGCTAGTGATCCTGATCAAGGAGGCAAAAGCAGAGTCTCGTTCGCCATCGACAGATCTTCGGACAGGAAGCGACAGTTTTTGATCAGTCAAGAAGGCACTGTGACGATACAACGTCAACTTGACAGAGAAGAAACCCCTCGACATCAGGTATGTATTTCACAATTTTATCATAAATTTCTTCTATATGCACAAGAGGTGTCTTTCTGTGTAGGAGTGTGTACAGAGTGACTAGATACTACTACACTAGTGATACATTTTAAGACAATACACATATTATTGTTGAAAATAAAATCCAAGTTCACTTAAACATACAATATATTGTTGCGGGCTTAGCAGGTTCTTTACAAATAAAACTTGGCGATTCTATAATAACTATTTATTTACACTAATTATTCTATATTTACAGATATTACAATTACCTAACACCTAACTAACCCTATCTAACCTAGCTAAAGCCTATTCTAATTTACAATGATTCTACTTACAGCTAACCTTTTACAGGATTTATCACTACTTCTGTTACAGCACTGTCACTACACTGTCACTAGTGTCACTACACTGTATCTACACTGTTACTGCCACTAGCACTAGCACTGGTCACTAACACCGACGGGCGCTTGCCGCGACGATTCTCGGAAGGCTCAACTCAACTCAACTCCGTGTGCCGGAAGACGGTCCCTTATATAAGCTTGCCGTAGAACATTCTAGAGTGGAGAGTTCGAGTATCCGTTGTTTACAAACCGGCGTGGAAGTGTAGAAGGTTCTGGAGCCCCTATTGAGGTAGTCCGTTGACATGGGTCTATTGTCTATCACTGGCGCGTTCGGAGAACCCGTGTAAACAAACAATCCTTTTGAGACGACGCCTGGCTATTGTTGCGCGGGGCTCCTGACTTGTAACAATATGAACTTTAATCAATTCTAATAAATACCTAAAACCAGTAAGACCTAACCGAAAGAAAGGTACCGGAACTCTGTTCCTCCGCGTTCCCCCACAAATCGAGCAATGCCTAAAACTTATTTTACCATTTATCTTTGGCTCTTGTTACAGCATTTTAGTGCTCTTAAGATGTAATATATACTAACGGTTCTTAATGTAACAATAAAAATCATACTGAACTAAGTAAAGAATCAACAGTTTCACATAATGTTATGCCTCAAAGATTTAATACACAAACCACTCAGTACAATTACTGTCCACCTTTGTAGGTGAAGATCCTGGCCATTGATGATGGGGTTCCGCCCAAGACTGCCACAGCCACCTTGACTGTCATTGTACAAGACATCAACGACAACGCTCCCATGTTCCTGAAGGAATATCGTCCAGTCCTACCGGAGCATGTTCCACCTCGCAAGGTAAGCATGTTATGTTAATTTTGTAAATTCTTTCAAGTTTGCTCTTGCTTCAAATTTCTCAATTTAAAATTCATCATTTGCCTTTTTATTTATAGTTGACAAATAGTTAACTCTGTATATTTTATTTTATTTTGGTCTATATCAAGGGGTGTTCATATTTTCATTTGCTAGCATTTTTTACCATGAATTCATTACAACATACTTAAAATGTTCTGCTTTTTGTAACATATTAAAATGTCTTTCCTCCTAAAAGTGTCTGAACCTTAATTACATTAACGCAAAAAATTCACTGAGCAAAAAATATTTTACATACTTTGACATTTTTTTCCCTGAAGGTCGTAGAAGTGCTGGCGACAGACGATGATGATCGTAGCAAGTCCAATGGTCCTCCTTTCACATTCCGAATGGATCCCAACGCAGACGACATCATACGAGCCTCTTTCAAAGTGGAACATGACCAGAGTAAGTTCCTCATAATTTCTAGTTTACTTGTCTGTCAACCCATTGTAAAATCTGAAGCGTGAATTGGTTTAGGTTTCATGTCCGATTAGGTTTGAGCTGCTATTATAATATATTAAATATTCTTCATACTTTCGGGTGAATTTTAGTGAGTGTGGATTTCTTCTTATCTGATTGAGAAATGGTAAATATTTTTTTTTATCAAATAAAATCATTCTTTATTTGTAGTTACATTTAAAAAATACAATGGCGTCATACAAAAATATAACTTAAAACTAGTACAAGATTTTTTTTTCTTACATTAAGGTATTTAAGTTGTGAAATAGCAAGTAAATAATCAGTGAAAAATAAAATACACTCAAAGTATACTGGCCAAAAACATAGACCACCTTAAAATTGTCCTCAGCTGATTGTGATCCAAAAGGATGACAAATTTATGGTATTTACTCAGGGGAGGTATAGAAGAGGCTACGATGACAGCTGAGGGCTTCTTATTAGCTGAGGGAACGCCATTACCGTAACAAAACGTTCGATAGCCATCGGCCTCGGTGGTCCAATGGTTAGCGTGCCGGGCTGGTATACTGAAGGTCCCGGGTTCGAATCCCGCTGGTTGCATTAACTTTTTGTCCAAGATTTTTTTATTATCAGCAAGTTTGGTTGGTTTGGTTTGGTTGGTTTGGTTTGGTTATTACAGTTTAATTTTATTATTAAGTCATTATAAAATTTTAATTGAGCAATTTCTAGTTTTATTTAATAAACAGAATTATTTTTCCGATTACTAAACTTTTGTTATATTATTTCTTTATCAGCAAGTTTGGTTAGTTCGGTTAGGTTATGATAGTTTAATTTTATAATTAAAAATAGTAAAATTGAATTTGAGGCATTTATAATTTTATTTTATGAACAGAACTATTTTTGCGATTAGTAAACCTTTATTGCCAAAGTGCTCTCTACTACAGCGCTGTTCACGGAGGAATTTTGAACTAAATGCCTCATTTGTACCTCCCCTAAGTCAGACCCCAAATTTATAAGCCTGTGTTAAAAATTTGCAGTATTGATCAGATTAGATTCCATATCTCTTCTAGTCATTATCTTTCCATATTGCCTACACTGTAAATTTCTTTGCTTATCACAATTTTTTAACTTCATACTCTTCATTCACAGAGGGAGCTAACGGAGACGGGATGGCAGTCGTGTCTTCACTGCGGTCGTTTGATCGGGAGCAGCAGAAGGAGTATTTGATCCCGATTGTGATCAAGGACTCCGGTAACCCAGCAATGTCCGGCACCAGCACTCTTACTGTGATCATCGGCGATGTCAATGACAATAAGATGCAGCCCGGATCCAAGGAGATTTTTGTTTACAACTACATGGTAATATCCGTAAACTTTGTTTACAGCTGTAATTTTTAAAGCAAACAAATTTATCAATCTTCACTTTTATTTTTTATTTTAGTTCTGTCTGCCTTTTTGTCCTTTTTAATTGCCCTGATATCTGTGATTGGTACACTCTCAGGTTTAAAATCATACACAGTTTACCCCTTGATTTTTATATGGAAAGCAATATTAATAATAAAAAAAAGTTATGCCAAAGTATTGAAAGTAATACATCTCAGTCTCCATTATACTCAACAAAATTCTAAATCACAGGACTGTTACAAAAAAATTATCTACTCTACTAGCTGTAAGTAATATCCTTTATTTCAACAATACAAAAAAACTAAAAAAAACATGTAATTTCAGGGTCAAGCGCCAGACACTGAGATAGGCAGAGTTTACGTTTACGATCTTGATGACTGGGATCTGCCCGACAAGAAGTTCTACTGGGAAGGACAAGAACATCCGAGGTTTAAGCTGAACGAAGACTCGGGAATGATAACGATGCGGCAAGGGACTCAGGGGGGTCGGTACCAGTTGAGGTTCAAAGTGTACGATCGTAAACACACGCAGACTGACATTCCTGCCAATGTGACAGTGACTGTGAAAGAGATTCCTCACGAAGCAGTGGTCAAGTCAGGTTCTGTGAGGTTGGCTGGGATCACGGATGAGGACTTCATCAGAGTATGGAACTACAGGGTGAGTCAAGATTTGATGGACTTTGTGAATATAATGCAATACAAATCAGAAAATAAATGTTCAAAAGACTCAAACAAAACTGACACAATTTGCAGCCATTAACGTTAAAACAGTTACTATAATCCTGAAGTGACAACTGATAAAATTAGACAAATAAAAAAGCTCTATTACATAGTTTGTTTATGGATTTATTTCAGATTTATTTAAGATTAAGATTTATTTGGATTTATTTAATCCTTCTTAGGCAAATGAACATTGTTAACGTTAACAACTGAAATCAGAATTTTCATTTCATTTCATCTATATTTTATCATATTGACGTCCCAGCAATAGTTCGGCACCAGGATTATCTCTGTGATCTTCGGTGATGTCAATGACCGTAAATGATCAATATAAATATTATCATGTTAAAGCATAATATTCACACATGTTATGTTATTGAATAATATTAGCATAATATTTTATGGTTTACATATTATAGATTTTGATAGGCGCACTAATTGAAATTTGAGGAGTTTAGGTGCAAGCAAAGGTAACAAACCTATAAAAGTTTGATTATTGAACTTAAATTGTCAGAGTTATATGACTGAGGAACGTATAGAAAAGAATCTTTAGTATTACTTTCCTCCTGCTAATTATATATTTTTGTTCAATTTTTATGACTCTTGGTCAATTGCTGCACCACCATAATCACATCAAAGTTCTCCCCAGTCATAGACTGTATTGTTCAACAAAATATGTTCTTTAGTCTCAAGATCATAAATCTAAAGACTTGATAAAATTATGAAACAACTCGTAATATGTCAAACTGTTCATTTTCACACTGTTTGTGAAAAGTACTGAAAAGCTCTAAGTAACAAGTCACAGAGTACTATTGTAAATTGTAATATTAATTATACCTTTGGACTGTTCACAGACACAAAGCATTGTGAGAAGTAAAGCAGATAGATTCAGAGACAAGCTGGCTGATTTGCTGAACACAGAGCGAGACAACGTTGATGTGTTCAGTGTACAGTTACGACGTAAACACCCTCCACTCACAGATGTGCGGTTTTCCGCTCACGGCTCCCCCTACTACAAGCCCGTCAAACTAAATGGGCTAGTGCTCATGCACAGGGAAGAGGTATGTCAAGTTACCTCCAGTTTTTTTTTCAGTATCTTACAAGAGAAAGATGTTCTTCTTACTTTGACAACATTTACAAAAGGCCAAATATAAATAGTAATATAGGACCAGGGTTTGGACCTTACTTAAAAAATGGCAATGGTGTAGAAAGATAAATTATAACACTGTATCCTCTTATGTTATTGACCTTGATAAAAACTTTACTTCAATAAAATTTATTGTACTTAAAATTCAGTAATCTTTACAAAGACTATTAAATCTTCTTTTAATATTAAACTCAAATTCTTTTCATTCAGGATTAACTTACATTTTTCAGCTTCACATATTTTAAGTTCTTAATTAGAAACTATTAAAATCTCTAATCTAATCCCCTCCTGACTCTTGTTTCATCCATGTTTTCTCATTTCAGATCGAGAAGGATGTCGGAATCAACATTACAATGGTCGGAATTGACGAGTGCCTTTATGAGAACCAGAACTGCGAGGGCAGTTGTACCAACACGCTGGATATCAGTAATTTGCCGTACATGGTGAACGCGAACAAGACAGCGTTGGTGGGTGTGAGAGTGGACGTGATCGCAGAGTGTACGTGTGGAGCCAGGAACTTCACCAAGGGAGAGTCCTGTAGAAGCAACCCCTGTCACAACGGAGGACGCTGTGTGGAGGGCAGATACGGACTGACGTGAGTGTTTTAGCCGTTATCGCTTTTTGCATTTTAAGTATTTTTTTAGACGGAAGGTATTCTAATATTTTGAACGTAGCCTGTTATTTAAATATGTCTGTACTGTAGCATTGTTTTCCAAATCCAACATCTATTTTAAGGCATTTTTCCTGAACATGATTATTTATTTGCAATACTAAAACTGGCTCTTTCATTCCAGTTATTTCTTAAACCAACAGTTTTAGGAAAGTTCACTGTAAATCTGAATTAGATTTAGGTCAACCAATGTAATGTAATTTGGGATTAAGTAACTTAAATTTTTGTATATACTAAAAATCCGGCTGAAAAGTATCCTCAAAACATAAATTATGGCACAAGGCAAGACAAAATAACGAACAAAAATATTTTATTGCTGCCAAGTACACTTACCTCATCTAATTTCCTCCATCAAATTTGCCTTGAAGCATTACTTTTGAAAAATAATTTCAGACCCAGATTATCAGATGTTTTTTTACTGCACCAAAAAGATTTTAATTTTCTTGAGATTAATAGGAAAAGTTTCCTAAACCTAATCAGTCAAGAATCCAGAGATTCTAATTCTCAACAGATTTTAAAATTATCTTTTAGCATTTATATCTACACCTTCACCCTGACACCAGTGTTTGATTCAACAGGTGTTCGTGTCCGAGCGGCTACTCAGGTCCAAGGTGTCAGCAGACGGCTCGTAGTTTCAGAGGGAACGGCTGGGCGTGGTATCCACCGCTGGAAATGTGTGATACTTCTCACCTCAGTCTGGAGTTTATCACCAGGAAGGGTGATGGTCAGCTGCTCTACAACGGCCCCATCGTCCCTCCCGAGCCTGAGGAAGCCATGGTGTCAGGTTAGTCCGTGATACTCGCCTTTGTGAGAATTTTTAGTAAATTTTCATTTATTGTGTTAATTGAGGCTAGAATTATTTTAGACCAGAGAGCCGCAATATTATCACATAGGTAAAAGCTATTGGTGATTGGTAAGATTTGAACCTAAAACCTCAGGGTCAAACTCTTCTGCTAGACCGGCGACACGCTCCCCAAATATGTGTACTTAATTGTTTCTATTTGCTGATTTAAATGTTTCTTACTTCCTTTTTATAATAATTTTTCTCTCTTTGGTGTCAAAGAAATAATTATAATGCATAACAAAATATGGTGGATAGAATCAGAAGATTCAGAAGTTTCCTAAATACCAATCCAAAATCATCAACCTTTGTGATTAATTATGCAACTTGTGTACACCATAGGAATTTAAAAAAAGAATGTACCGATTACTCTTTTCTTACTGCAGTATTGTCAGAATACTCAGAAGTCTTGTTATAGAATGTAGGTATGGGGTTACTAAAGCTAATATAAATTGTAAATAATTTCAGATTATATATCTCTGGAACTCGAGAGAGGGCAACCTCGATTGTTGATTGACTTTGGTTCTGGAACTTTAGAACTCAAAGTGAAGACAAAGAAGAGTTTAGATGACGGAGAATGGCACAGAATAGACATCTTCTGGGACACTGAGGTAAGCATCAGTTGAGTACAAGCCGCAGAAAATCTAAGGCTAAGAGAATTTATATTTACACAGGTTTTCAGTAAAAGTAATTTCAGTCTTGGATAAGGCCAGTAAAGCTTTTGAGCTTCTTTGATGCAAGGAATACAAACAATTAATTATAGTTTTCATACAATGAAATAAAGAAATTGTTTCTAATCTCATTCCTTAAAGTACTCCCGCTCTATTTTTATTTTTAGTCTACAATTTTGCTTTTTTACGGTACTTTTAAATTTTCATCAAGAGAATTATGTTTTTTTTTCAGCATTTTGACAAAACTTAATTATTGATTGATCATATCACTGTTATAGTTTATATAGTATAAACACAAACAATAAACACCAGTGGTTTTTATCTTCTAAAATTACTTTACAGAACGTGCGGCTGGTAGTGGATTATTGCAAGTCAGCTGATATTTCTGAGCTGGAGGATGGAACGCCCCCAGAGTTTGATGACTCAAGCTGTCAGGCTCGCGGTACGATCCCTCCGTTTAACGAGTACCTTAACGTCAACACACCACTACAGCTTGGTGGCAGATACGTTCAGGAGTTTGATCCTACTCTGTACCACTGGCAGGCCATGCCCTATGGTAAGGGCTTCGATGGCTGTATCAGGAATCTCTTCCACAACAGCAAAGTAAGTATAATGTCATACTGTGAAGATACAGTACTATTTGTTTTATTATGATTTTTTCTCTATATCTTTTCTCCAGTAACAATCAGTGATCAGAAATCAGTAATAGATTGCAGAACACTTATCAGAAACTAATTAAACCACATTTGTTTTCATTATTAACTGGCTACAGTTTTAACGCACGTTGAGAATATATGTTGAAAATGTATTTATAATCAGAACTTCAGCTTATACTGACTTGCCTATATTATTCTTACTGTGCTATAATTATTAATACCTGGTTCACCAACTGTAGTTTTATGCTGTAGCAAAGCACAGTTTGGTATTAACTGTCCTGTTTCCCCACAGTTATATGATCTGGCACATCCTGGCCTGTCGCGGAACAGTGTGTCTGGATGTCCACAGACAGACGAAGTGTGTAACAGTCAGGAAGCGACGTTCCGCTGCTGGGAACACGGAGTCTGCGTGGGAAGTCTGTCTGAGGCGAGGTACGCAGAAAGCTATATGTTACAATATTGTACACAACAATAGCAAAGAGAGAGCAAAGAGGTTGCAAGGAGAAAGTAGAAGTTTGATTGAGTTCATGTTTCTTTGTTCAATTGAATTTTAGTTTATGAAGTTGACTATCCTGAATAAATTTACGGGGATTGCTTTGTTCAGATGGCATAAAATTAATGGCTGAAAAAATTGGAGCTTCTGTTAGGAATATGTAGCGCTCAAATCTTAGCTTTCCTATGACAAAATTAGCTGGTCATTTTAAGGAAAACATATTAAAATACAGATTTAAGTATACAACAACAACAACAGATAGATAACAACAGATAGATACAACAATAGATTCATAAAAAATCAGGTGACAGTCCTACTAAACTGCTTGCTGTCCATTGACTGCGTCTTATTTACACTCCTGAAGCAAGGTTTGTAAGTCGTCAACACTGTTTTTCTACAACTCCTTAAAATGAATTGGGCTTTGCTGGAATTGAACTTGTTTTTTATGCTAAGGTACTAGTTATTAACCACTATAACTATTGTTGCAAGGGGAAAATATTGTTGGAAGATAAAATGTGTTCCAGACCGAGTACTACTTCTTCCGTTCACAGTTTTCTTCTAAAATCATTCAAGGAACCCCCAAAGAAACCTCCTGTGGCAGAAGAAAGGTTTATCTTCCCCTTTGACAAACCCTGTTAATCATTTACTTCCCGGTAGAATAAAAGTTGCAATGTAAACCATGAGTAGGAGTAAAGAGTACTTACCATGTTTAATTGATTTTGAGCTGTTTTTAATTACAAGTCATTAAGCATACCATAGGAACTTGACAATTAAAATTGCTTTTGAAAACTGAGTGTTTAGTGTTATGTCAGCTCGGGTCTTTACAAGTATATCTTTGAAATTATTTAGAAAGAAAAAAGTATATTTTGACCTTTTAAATTTTATACTGGTAATATATAGTCTATGGTTTTTTTTAATAACCCTAAAAGTTATTAACACATTTGTTGGTATCAAGCTGATGTAATGATTTATTGAAACCAGTTCCACTCTATTAAAAGTAAAAGAATAATAGGTAAAATCTTATTATTCCTCCCTTTAGTAAGTTTACCTATACAGTATTAAACTACTTCTCCTTATGCTCCTCTAAATATTCATCATACAGTACTCTTAAGTTTCACTAATCCTGTCACTTCATAGATTCATTTATTTGATAGTATATTGTTGTTTTCATGCCGTACCTTGGTAATAAATGATAGCACAGTTTCCAGAGTGTTTTAAGTAAATTCGTCATAAGTAACGTGGTAGCTTTAGCTTTAACCTGAAAGTAAATTTTATTTATTTCAAAACTAACTCTTGACATTCTTAAAGTGATGATTAAATCAAAAGTAAACAAATATAAAATGTTTAATTTTTTAAAGTTTTTTTTTTGTATTTTTCTTCATTGCCTTGAACTTTAATACATATTTTTTACATGAACTATAACTAAGATGTCAAAAAATTTTAGTTGTTTTAACTTTAATTTTCTAAATTTTGTTTTCATGTTGAACACTTTCACACCATTTTATGTTCTAAACTAAAGTTCTGTGTTATTTCTCCAGATGTCAGTGCCTTCCTGGTTTTACCGGGCCCGCTTGTAACACTCCCACGATACCGACTACCTTCAAGCCGCAGAGCTACGTCAAGTATGCACTCAGCTTTGAGCCGGACAGATTCTCTACCCAGATACAGCTGAGGTTCCGGACGAGGGAGGAGCACGGAGAACTGTTCAGGGTTAGCGATCAGCACAACAGAGAGTACGCAATATTAGAGGTGAGCCTGTTACAGATTTATCAGCTTATTGTTTAAGTGCAAAAAGAACATTGTTAGGACAGTAGTGTACACCTGAGTTGTGGATACAATCTTAACTGAAGTACTGTTAAACGTTGGATCAATAAAGTCGTTTTGCTTGGCTTGGTCGTTTGGAGCATTAAATAAACGTACATTACGCCAAGCAAGAACACAGTTTTTTTATGTGGGTGAAGACTTTGTCCTTTTAATTTGCAATGGTAGTCCTGTACAGCTGTATCTAATGTGGTTTAACATTAGCTACTAGAGTGAAAATATATGCTCAATGTTGTTTGTTGTGGGATGTGTATGAGTGTGTTAGATACTGAACATGTTGTATTTTGCAGATAAAGGATAGCAAGCTACACTTCCGCTACAACCTCAACAGCTTGCGAACAGAGGAGAAGGACATCTGGTTGAGTGCCATCACTGTAGACGACGGACAGTGGCACGTGGCCAAGGTAAATAAAGTCTTGATGTCTTATCATTGAATTGTAACTACTAGGATTGTAGACTGCATTAGAATGGAATATATTCTTTTGAAAATTTTTGTAAAAAAAGACACTGTAAATCTAAACGTTTAAAAAAGTATGTATCAATTTTTTTTTTACTTTTCATTGAAGTCCTATTTTATTCAAAGTCTCATAACCTGAAGATAAAAATTTTGTATAACAGTAACCATAAGGTGTTTTCTGTAAGCAGTATGTGTATAATATATTAGCAGATTTTAAGCTTTTTCCAGTTAGTTGTGCTACAGTATTCTATCTGTTCTGCAGGTATCTCGCTACGGTTCCTCTGCCACACTGGAGCTAGATGGAGGTGAAGGTCGAAGGTACAACGAGAGTTTCACATTCGATGGACACCAGTGGCTCCTAGTGGATAAACAGGAAGGTGTTTACGCAGGAGGGAAGGCAGAGTACACAGGTGTTCGCACCTTCGAGGTGTACGCTGACTACCAGAAAGGTGTGGTAGCAATTTTGTACAAAAATAGATATGCAATAATTAAGAATTTATTGGAGTAAAATGTTTAAATTATAATTATATAGTTTTCAATTTATTGCTTATTAACCTAGATTGATCTTGTTGGGTTTTAGTTTTTTAAGGAAAAGTATTATCATTAATAGTAACTTAATACCCAAAAAGTCACCTTTTCACAACTGTCTACTATTTTTCTTTTTTTTTAAGTTAAATCACAGTTAATAACTGCCTGTAATCTTGGTCTTTAGAAAATGGCCGTATCATTGAACTGGTGAACATACTGGCCTTTTTTCAAAAACTTACCGACGTGGTTAACCGCAGCTCAGACAGTCGGGAGTGTACTGTAGTTTTGTAGTTTGATTAATATCTTGATTACTGTTTTGCATACTTTCAAAATTTGCCATGTTATTCCTGTTTTTCATACAGGTTTCTTTCTCCTAAAACAAATTATGTAAAGACTGTTCTAACTCAATCCTTTGTAGGTTGTTTGGACGACATAAGACTGGAGGGCAAGCACTTGCCGCTTCCTCCCGCCATGAACGGCACTCAATGGGGCCAGGCCACCATGGCTCGGAACTTGGAGAAGAACTGTCCTTCAAACAAACCTTGCGCCAATGTCATCTGTCCAGACCCCTTCGAATGTGTTGACCTGTGGAACGAATACGAGTGCACGTAAGTGTCCCTAGTGTTCTTAGTAGAGACATCTATAAGAAGGATGAGCAACTGCTCTGCAGTGCATTCAGTCATTCCTGTTGGTTGAGTAATGCAGCAATAGACACACATTTATGCAGCACAATTGCTTTACACTTGATCTTTTTATATTTTAAAAATATGTTATACATTTTTAACTCCAGTGTTTTCTGAAGTAGAAATATGTAATGTAACAAACTAGAACTTTGAATAGGAAAATTGTTTACAGCAACCTTCAAAAGCAATACCTTGGTGTAATAGAGTGCCTAAGAGTTATGATATGAGGATTAGCAAGTCAAACTAAAATCATACATGACGTGATCTTACTAAAAAAAATCAATTTATTATTTCTGTAAGCAAAAATAAGTTACTTTAAGTCTTCCAAAGTTTGCAATCTCTGCATCTTTCAGACTTAGGAAATGATTGTTTTAGTACTTCTTGTGTAACACTTATAATTAATTAACCTCAAGAGATTATTGTTATATTTTATGATTGCAAAAAAACATCAATTTTTAAGGCCCAGCCTGTTCACTCCATTACCCTCCTCACTGTGACACAATTTCCAACATTTCATGTATCTTCAATCCTATTCTTATCCTCGTGCTCTAACAACTCTAAAATCTCCCTTCTAACTCTTCTTCTACTAACACATGCAGCTGTGGGGAGGGGAGGATAGTCTCACCTGACGGGAAGGGCTGCACAGACAAGAACGAGTGTCTAGACAGCCCTTGCCGCAACGGAGGTGTTTGTATCAACCAAGACCCGAGACTCAGGTATCGCTGTGTCTGTCTCGACGGGTTCTGGGGCGAGAACTGTGAGCTGGTACAGGAGGGCCAGACACTCAAGTTGGGGATGGGGGCTCTCGCTGCCATTCTCGTCTGTTTACTCACCATTCTCAGTAAGTCCCTCCCACCCCATACTCGCATATCCAGCTTTTGCCCCTTTCCCAAGTCGTCTTTCCCATGCAATTGATGTTTTTTTTCTCTTAAGTTTTGTTCGCTTTTTTTGGTGCTCCTTTCTGATTACCCTCTGTTGTTCCCCTTCCTCAATCTCGTTGTGTTTCCAATGCAATCAATGTAATGGCTTTCTTCTTTCGGTTTAGTGGCAATGTAATAGTGAGTTGCTTTTGAGTTGATTTTTGTGACTTAATTCACCTGACTCATATTTTTTTTCTATGTTTGTAACTCTAAAAATAACTGCTATAATATTTATTTTGGATCAAACTGTTATCATTTGTATACAGTTTTTTATAATATTGTTTAAATGCATCATCAAATGCCCAAGTAATACATTACAAGGTAAGGGTATCAAAATATTTATTCCAAATGAACTAGAGTTTTTCATCAATCAAAATGCTTTTTCAACAAATTCCGGTTTTTTTCTCTTTAGAGAAGATTCTATGCCTTACCTTACCCGTTTGCTCATGCAGTTGAGCTGGATACTCAAAAATAACTAGTTGAAATATTTACAAGAACACACAATTTTAACTTGACATACCGTACCTACTATACATTCCGTGTTACAAAAAATTTGAACTCAGCAGAACAAAAATCATCACACTATTAACATTGCCGCCCAGCCAAAGAAGCTAGCCATGTAACCCTGCACTGTAACTAGTTGTTGAATGAATGTGAATGTTGGTACTAGTTGTCCCGCCGGGTTCCGCATGCAAGGAATTGATTGTGTCAACGAGAACGAATGTGAGTGGCAACCCTGTCTGAACAACGGCGTGTGTCGAGACTACGCAGACTCTAGACGCTACGCATGCAAGTGTCCGTTAGGCTACACCGGGCTGCATTGTGAACTTGAACTGCTGCAGTCAGGAATCATTCAGCCATCGAAGGACTTTATCATTGCCGTCATTATATGTTTGATTTTATTGCTCAGTGAGTTTTTATTATTTCTTATTATTTTATTATTTCTTTTAAGTTATGTTAGAGCTTTAACACACTACATTCAGAAACTTATCTTGGCAAAAAAGAGTGAAAGGTTGAGAAACTTGTCTGCTGTTTCAAGAGGTATTTTTATTTAATTTTTTTTAACTCATTTTAATACATTTTATGCTTTTCTTGTATCGTGATTTTCTTGGATGCCCCGACCTTAAATTAATATTAGATTTTGTACAGCTTAAATCTATCCACTTGACTGCTGTTATTAAAATACACAATATTAGAATTTTTTTCCCATTTTTTTTTTAGTTAATGTTTCCTTTTATTCTTCATTTAATGTGAAGGAGTGTGGATAGCTCTTTTTTATCATTTTTTTCCATTAACTTATCTTAATTTGGTTTTATTCTTTCAACATTATGTAACAATTGACTGTGTCGTTAAAGTGTTTGTAGCCACTAATTTATATATTTATTTGTATTACGAGTAATTTTATTAATACATATGAATTCTGAATAAACAATTTAGTTTTTGCATTTTGTTGGTTCAAAGAGAATAAATATTCTCAAGAACAAAAACTATACTATATTGTATAAACTTAAAGTTGTTTGATGCATAAAATATAGAAAACGTTAAACATATGCCTACTGTAGTTTCATTAATATTTAATGTGATTAGTTAAATTTAGTTAGGTAGAGTAGAAACATTACTGTAAAAATGCAAACTTCAATATTATATCACTGATTTTCCCCACAAACAAAAGAGTACCGATACTGTTAGTCCAAGCTTTGTTTCTTTGTGTGCAACAATAGGATAAACTGTTCAGGCTACTGTCTTTCACAAATTGGTACAGTTATAATCGTATTTTCAAATCATATAAGACCCGAACCTCGTATGATTTTCTAGTGAACATTTTCCTAACGCTTCACTTGATTGCAGTTCTCGTATTGGTATTCGTGGTGTACAACCGTCGTAGGGAGGCTCACATCAAATACCCTGGACCAGACGATGACGTCAGAGAGAACATCATCAACTACGATGATGAAGGCGGTGGAGAGGACGACATGACAGCGTTCGACATAACTCCGCTGCAGATCCCTATTGGAGGGCCGTTACCGGAGATGGCACCCAAATTAGCATGTAAGTACTCAATTTTTAAATTTCCTCAATTCCTCAAATTGTATTTTTATCTCTAAAAATGTTCCATCGTATTCTTAAAACAATAACTTATGTTTTTTCCATGATACTGATGTTGGTACTGGTGATTGTACAGCTCCCATTACAATTCGAAGGCTGCTGGTTCGATCCTGATTGATTGATTGAAAATCGATCTAGCTTTCCTCAACCATTCTTGTGCTGGGCAGCTGTGTGGTTATAGTACTTTCCAAACTATCAATAGGTTGTCGGTTCAGTCCTGAATAAAGTCAGAAGCTGTTTCTTGGTTCAAAACCTTGATTTAATACTTATTTTAAACACAGTAAACGGTCGTGGTGGAAGGAAATACTGGTCTCAGTTTGTAATTTACCAATTCAATATCTCTGTTTTTTTTATACCAAGTAAATCACTAAAATAAATTATCTACTAGACATAAACATGTTGGTAGATAGAATGTTAGATTAGGGGTTGGAAGTGAAGAAAGTAGGAAGAGAAGGTAGTCTGGTTAATTTGTTATCTTTTTCTTAAATGTTCAATGTGTCTATAGTAAAACTAAGTCTAAGTAATTTAGGAACTTCTGTAGTATCCTGAGACGATGAATAATAAAACCTAAAGTAGGTTATTGGGAATAGGGAAATTATGAAATATAACTCCTATCCTCCTCTTACCTATTTTATTAATCCTCCTTGCAGAGAAATAAACTCTTATCAAGCTTATTAATTATTGGATCAATAGGTCAATGTCCAACAGCTCAGGGGCTACACACATGGATTTAAATTAATAATTATTAGTAAATTCACTACGCCCTATAATTTAACATCCTGAGTTAAAAGACAATTTAGGTATAATACAATAATTTTTAATTATAATCGAGTTTGTCCTGAATTATCCAGAGTAACAATATGGTCTTTGTTTTCCAGTTCCTCCTCTAGGGCAAGAACCAAATGTGGGCATTTTCATTGAAGAACACAAAAAACGGGCAGATTGTGATCCAAACGCTCCGCCATTTGACGACCTGAGAAACTACGCTTATGAGGGAGGTGGCAGTACGGCAGGATCTCTATCTTCGTTAGCTTCAGGTAGGAATATTTAAGTGGATTGATGTTTTCAATATTGAAATTATGACAGTTTCATGTATCAAAAAGTTTTCAACCTTTAAAAAATTTTCTTAAAAAAAAACTTATAATAGTTAGTAAAATCTAAAAGATTTTACTCATTAATACATCAATATTAAGTATAACTTAATTTTTAAATAAGTAACTAGGCATCTCAGAGAATGTAATCAAACGTGTCATTGAGTATTGTACAAAACATGTTTTCTAAATCACAATCACTGATTATTTCAAATATTATCGCCACTTGCTCAATCTGAGTAATTTGTTCTGATTGTAGGCACCGATGACGAGCAGCAAGATTACGATTACCTCGGTGCTTGGGGCCCGCGGTTTGACAAGTTAGCAGACATGTACGGACCGGATGGGGAGAGTGAAGAAGAGGAGGAACAATAAGCAAGAGACAGAATAAGAATCAAAATGAGAGAAAGAAGATTGCGCCGCCAGTTCTAGTCACTCCCTCTCAGGACTTTAGTCGTGTATATTGTGTTCTTCTTCCGACATAACTGTAGTGGCACCATGCACCTACCGTATTGTATTTATACAGGAAACCTTTAGTTAGTCGTACTCAGCTGTTTGTACAAAGTCTGTGTAGCCACCGTATTTGTATTTGTGGGAAATATGTCTTTGTTATTATTATCGGTAAGTAGAGATAATGTAAATAGAGGTGTGAAGTTTTGAAGACACCTTGGGGTGCTAAGCTATCGGGATGTTAATGAGAATTACATTCCATATCTAAATACAGGCATCAATCAAATTTGAGACTTTGAGTTTTCCTCATGTTGAGGTAGTGCCATTGTACATTTGAGGCGGATGTTTAACTATTTATTGAGGCCTAGTCGAATTAAGATCGCCGGTCGAGTAAGATTATTCGCCTATTTTTCCACAAAGATATTAGGACGAGTGTCTCCCTTGCTCGTAAGTTATGATTTAGAATTATTTAATTACGTGTCATGTTCCTTAGTGAAATTTTATTGTGTTTACCTTAGTTTTAAGCTCTCGTTCACCACAAGGTTTTGTACATGGTTCTAGGTTAAAATAATTTATTTTATCTTTGCACTCGACACAATGCAAAGGGTGTTTTTATTCTATCTGTATAAATTGCTTTATTAGTTTAATAGATTTTTTTTGTGTGAGTGAGTGAATACAAATTTTTGGTGACGGAGAAAGGACTACAAACTCCATTGCCATTGACTCTGCTCAAATTACCTGATATTACGTTTTACAACTCAGCTGAACTCCTTTGTTTGGTTTATGCATCGCAGTAGATAAATATGTCTCACAACCGACGTTTTACGTTTTAAATTACCGAACATATATACCACAGGACCCCATCCAACCTAACATTGTTTGATGAAAGTGTCATATTATTTATGTAACTGTGGAACTCATACAATCAACATTTTGTACATCACTTTGTCATATTGAATCAGACAATGCACTTGTGTTACTTGGCGTTCTGTGTCATGTGTCCTGTACTTATATTTGTAAGCCACAGTATCAAAAGTTATTGGAACAGTTTTGTATCAGAAATCAGTGTAATATTCAATAAGTGACGTCAAAGGTTGTCTGAATTAAATCTTCAAATTTATTTTATGGATGTTCTAACTACTTGACGAATAAAACTGTTTTGTATTCTATTTTTAATACCCGTGACAGTGTTCATGCGAACAACAATATATGCTATGGGACTGCTCAAATGTTCTTTGTATACATTACGATGTAGTGCACCATTCTTATTGAGCCTAAGTTAAGCTAGAACAAGCGGTGCGGTGGCTGGTTACACTGCCATTCCAACAAGCAACCGAGATAGCAATATGGATCTGACTTTGTCATTCATTTCAGTTTCAAATAACTCATCGTTCATTACTCCCTAACAGGTAGTTCTTTGATTACAACATCGTGAAGAACAATAATGTACATATATTATTTCATAAACGTTAGTTCCTACCTTTAAATTTTAGTTTTAGTATTTGATTTTACATTTACATTAATTTTTCACCTCTATCGGTTACTTTGGCAGTTTTTACACCAAACATCACAGCAGTCAAATTTTGAGAATTAGATCTCTCACCTACAGATAGATAAAACTATCTTATTCTTTTATAAACCGATTTAATTTTACGCTTTTGAAACTTTCAGTAATGACAATGTACATACGATTCTATTTGGTTTTGAAACTCTGCATTTAATGTTAATTAAACAGTAGTTACTTTTAATAACTCACAACACCTTGTAAAAACATGGACTAAAACACATTTTTAAAATAATTATAGGTGTAAGTGTACATAATTTTAACAATGACTATTTTGTGCATTGTTTTTGAAGTTGATGTTTTTTATCTGCATTTAATCTGTTTGTACATGCATTATTATATGAAAACGCAACCGATCGAAAGCTAGAGCAAACATAGAGTATATTGTTGTGTTATGGCATTAGAGTTACCCCTTGTATAGTTTTCAGTTATACATTGACTGCCTAACCATAGAGACTGAATTCCCTGTTTGTTTTTGTTGATGAACAGTTTCGTTTGATATGTTTGCTGCTGCATTTTTTATTTAATATTACTTAATCCTATGTCATTGTTACGTGCAGCATTCCTAGGTGTACTCATTACAAATTAGGACACTGATATTATTTATTTTTATATTAAGTATGAGTGTGTTTGGTTCGTACTTTGTGTGTTTTGTACAATTATTTTTACGTTCAGCTGTGATTTACCCCTCTAGCTGTATAGTTTCGACATTGAAAAATAATAATAAATTCTCACACCTACTGAACGTCTACGATCTTTTATTCTCCACTGTCACATTTCCCCACCTATTTGTATTTAGTTTAATAACTTACGCTCCAAAACTTGTTCCCATTATTTTTTTGATTTTGGGAGATTTGCTGTAAACAGATTACAATGCGATTTACTACCACTATGGTGGCATTAATACTTAAACTTGTTGATAAGTAACAGTTGTAGTTGGTAACTCATTTCTGTAAATTTATCTTAGAACAATGACACTTGAAATGAAGGATGAAAAATAACAATGAATCAAGATAAAAAGTTGTATTGTATTTCAAATCAACAAAAAAAATAGTTTAAAATATAATTAAAATAAACTTAATGTAAACAAATAACTGTATCTGACAATTAATTTATTTTGACCCCAATAATAAGTTTAGGAGCCAAAATATATTTTATTTCGGTCCAAGACTGGGTTTTTTCCCAAATAATCTTCCAAAGTGTACCGTAAACTTGTAAAATAAGAAGAAGAAAGCTGATGCTGTGAGCAAATGTAGAAAATACAACCTGAAAATAATAATTAATTCATTATTGTTATAAGCTTCATCTATCTTTTATCTACAGTAAAATCCCTCATATCTGACCATGACGGGACCGGGCCAAAGGTCAGAGCAGCCAAAAGGTCGGATATCGGGAGGAACATAACTTCAATTCAATTAAAAACGTCTATTTTTTTCATGTACATAAAATACAATTAATCACTGCAATTGAAATTAAATGAAATGTTTATTCGTCACATAAGTTTACAAGATTGTGATTTTCACATACAGTATAAACATATGACATGTCAATACTACCCTACTTTACTATCTAATAATACCTTATGCTAAATTCTTTGTTTTTATCAATCAATAAAACCTAAAGCTAAGTTTTTATAAAATCATCTAGGGAATAAGGACACAAGAGAATGAGATAAGATTTTAGTTTTCTTTTAAAGGATGACATATTTTCTTCAGTTTTAATTTGATCTGGGAGTTAATTGTAAATTTTCCTACCCATGTACCATGGCGATCCTTCATACAGAGCTGTTCTATGCACAAGATATTGAAGATCATTCCTGTGTCGGGTGTTATATTGATGAGTGTAATTTTTCAACATAAATTCCTTATAATTTCTTTTTACAAAGCTGCACAGTTGAAAAATATAAACTGCATAAATTGTCAAGAGTTTCATCTGAATAAAAAGGGGGCGGCAAGAGGAACGTGGTCTGGTATCAGCTAAAATTCTAACGGCAATTTTTTGTAAGATAAAAATATTCTTGGTAATGGGGGAGTTGCCCCATGAGATAATACCATAGGAAGACCTAGACATAAATTAAGAATGATACACAGCAAGAGCTGCATGCAAACCCGAACGTAAATTCAAACTCAAATTAAAACTAACCTAATAAATTTCAGATAATTTTTAGAATAGAATTCATATTACTTATTAATTGATATAACTCTTAAAAAGCATAAAATACATTTTTTATTTTAAAAATGTTTAAGTGTATTTCTGAATTTTTAACAATTTTCTGTTAACTGTATTTCTTTGGGGATTTATTTCCAACTTTGTGCTCTCCATGATATCGGTTATCATCTCCCGCAATCACAGCAACACCTTTAAGCATTATATCTTACGGTCTCCATGACATCAGTTATCGACCCCAAGGTTGTGATCGTCTGCCGCGATTATGGCTACATCCATGATTGGCCTTTCGGTAAACCGAACGTGCTCGGCGTTATCGCTTCCCGAAGACAGAAAACAAGTCAATGGTCATGAATAGGTTAGGATATGCCAAGGAGTTTCACTGTATGCTTATGCATGGATTGGATAAACTAAGATGCATTATTATGGCAGTGCGTTGAACTCTGTTGTTTTTATTTCATTTTACTGTTACTAAATTTTCCGTAGAAAGACATACGTCAATCTGCGTGATAGGTCAATCTGCAGGATGCAAGTTGCCACTTTTGTTTATTATTAGTTATGCTTTGATTTAACCCGTGAATATTGTCCTAAAGATCAAAATAAGATGTCAAAGATAAGAGTTCAAAATGAGATGTAGTCAATTTTTGTCAGTTTGGTAACCTTAAACATTGTTTAAAACTGTCCTTTTGTAAAAAAAATAAATACGTCATTATGTGGTGGTAAAAAAGGGAAGAATTACAAATAATGCAGATTCAATATGTGTTTGAGAATTTTATATATTTCCAAACGTTTAAAGCTTCCTTCTCAAAAAACATTTTTGATTGCAAATGCACCTAATTAATAGTGTTGTTACTGATAAGTTTTTAAGCTCAGCTTTGCCTGGCTTATGAAACTGAATTTTTTAGGCCTACTGAAAACAAGGGCTTGTAACCATAATTTTCAAAAAAGCTAGTCTAAATATAAATTTGTTTGAAATCTTAGCTTTTTTGAAATTTTTCCCTTTATTTGAAAAATCTAGGTTTTACTTGAAGTTTTTTCAATTTGTAGTGCAAACGTCCATTTAAATTCAACATTTTTATATCGTACTCCAATTTGGAGCCAATACAAACAAAGACAGTCAAACCACACTCTGCAGACTTTGAAATGTTGTCAACCAACTCACATTTTGATTCTCCTCCTGCTCGCAACAATAGTGTTGTGTCCTTCCTTCAGCAGAAACCGGCGACACCCCAACACATAGGAGCGCAAGTACACGTTCCAGTCCATGGCGGCCATGTTGAACGGGAACATCTCTTGGTCTGTTGAATCCAGTGAGTTCCACAACCTGTCAGCGTTACCTTCCTCGAACTTAAACTCTCTCGTAGAGAAGTAGACGACAACTGCAGCGTACTTATCTAGCCTCCGGTAAAACTGTGTCAACCTGTGCAGTTCAAGGTTTCCTTGTTATTTTGTTATATAATAACAAGCCTCAAAATATCGTTTGCAGTAACCTAGGTTAAATAAGCTTAAATAAAATACATACTGCTGTTAACCTCAAAATATAATATTCTGATGGTAACCTCAATTTATTGTATGTCAACTACATTTAATATATTCAGCCAGCGTGTGTTATGCACCACAACTCAACGTTGGTTATCGAACATGTAATTTAGGTTTGGATTTTTAACTTGTAAACAGCATTGACAGCAATAGTCAAGTTAACTCAAAAGGGTTCACTTAATGGTTTAAATTTGTAATAGTTGAGGCACTAAGAATTTGGGCCCCTCCTTCCCCCCACTAGCAGAAAACATATTTTTGACCCCATATAATTCAGGTTCATAAATGAAAATACTTACTTTGTACTTACTACTGACTATAGCTTTTCAAGATTTTTATTCCTTTGCTTAATGCATTCTGTTCACATTATGTCTGGGGCCAGGACTTAGCAAAGGTTTTTGGCACACCTTTAACATGGGCTCTATTGAATTCAAGGATCCAGAGTCTCTATAAAGTTGACTTCAAAAAATATTGTGTTTTGTTTCAAATAAACATTGTTTTATTCCTAATAAGGCTACTGCAGTATAGTATAAAAACAATTCCGGCATTTCAACTTGTTCACCCTCCTCAGCTGGTCTTTCATCATAAAATTCCAAGAGCAGTCACCCCCCCCCCCCCAGACACGCCACTGGCCTAAGAAGCAGTCAGTATTGAAAGAATTCTATATCTTAATCAAGTAAAAAATTTGGGATTAAGTTTTTACTTGGTAGGTTGCCCCAGCCTGGCGGTCGCCCAGTCTACCAAGGCAGCTGGGAAGTAGTGAAACAACGTTCTCAGTCCCACATAGGACCAGTGGTGTCCAGCCCGCACAGTGAACGGGTACCAGTGTAGCTTAGCCGACGGGTATTGCCACATGTAGTGGTTGAGCAGATCACCAAACTTGCCCCATGTGATGGTGTTGTCTGCCGTTGAAACAAAGTTGACCACGGGCATTTCTCCTGGGGACACCCTGTACAGATAATGTATTCTCATCTCAACGCACACACTTAAACATTAAGTACTCATATGTACTTGGTTTAATACCTCTAACCTCTTACAGTTTTAAATCCCTAATACTACTGCTAGAATTTAAGCGCAGTAGTAACACTAAATATTTAGGTGCCCAAGCAAAATTGTTTTGGAACCTATATAAAGCCATGTTATTGTAAATGAAAATTTAACATTACAGTAGACTCCCTCTTATCCGGACTCCTCGGGACCGAGGCCAGTCTGGATAACAGGTTTTCCGGTTAAGCAGACGTCACCAAAAACTTGTTATGTAAGCCAAATATTTGACTTAAATTTAGGAGAGCATTGTATTTAGATACGTGATCACTGGTCTCAAATCTTTCCCACGAGAACAGTCGTTTCAGTACCGCCCACTTCCTGCCGATCTAGTCCGGCAAAACCAATGTGCCGATAAAAATCGTCCGGTTAAAGAGATGTAATTTACGCTGAGTGTAGTCCGGTTAAAAGGTGTCCAAACTTAAATACATTCCATCATTGGTCCTAACAAATTTCATGTTAAACAATTATATTTACTGATATGTTGTTTACAACATCATATAAATCTTTTTCTTAAAGCTTGATTTGTTTATGTCTTATGGTATTCTTTCTTGAATGCCCATTACACCTGTACAATGCTTCGACCGGAGTTCGACCAGTCATATTTTACTTTCAAAAAGTTACATAAGTTATAAGTTACTAATAAACATTCAAAGTACATGAAATTTCTACAAATATTGTTTGTGCACAGCACTAAGAAACGCAAGACAACACAACACAAGTTGACATAACACAAGATTTGATTTCTATACGTAGCTGCTGACTTTTCAAGGTCAGAACTTCTAGATCATTCATGCTAGATGTTAAGTAACAGAGAGGATTTGCTATTCCTAACTTCACCTCTCAATCAAAGACATTTTTAATTTCATCATAATTTCTTAACCTGAGGGGGCATGCAGCGCTGCAGGGTGTAGAGGCCACACCACCACTGTTCAAGAGTTAAAAACTAAAAGAGTTATTAGCCAGAACAACCTTGGTTTTGACACGATGTTGGTACACTTACCACTTACAACTGCCGACAGAGTAACCCAACGCGATGATGCCATTGACTGTGTAATCAACAGGGACTAAGTTGACTTTAGCTCCGTACTTGAAGTGAGTTGTGTGCAGAAGACCAGCTGATAGACTAGCAGCCATGCCCGTAGGACCCGACACATTGTCTATCCACCCAGGAAAGGGTTCAGACTCAGAGGACAACACTAGAACCAGGCATGGTGCAGGAATTAGAATGACAAAAAACTATCAACTAGCCAAAGTTAAGCATCTTAAATTGGGAAGCTTACAGAACTTTTGCTCCATGATTTACGCTTTTTTCATTTTACCCTACACTAGTACTAGTGCAGGTTGATAAATAAGTGGTTAAGCTATCTTTTGTGACCGGTCATATCAGTAACAGACTTTATTTAGTTATTAGTTACCTACTATAAATTGCAAATCAATAACAATTATTTTGTAAAAATATTTATGCCATTTATCAACTGTATTGATGAGAGTACTAGAATAAAAATGTTGTACAAAATTATATAGAGCCAGCCAATTTTGGCATAGTAAATAGTTTCATGTCAATTAATGTATAATTTGGATAGCTACCATATAAATTAACTGTTAAATATATCCAGTGTTCCACCTAACCATGGTCTCAAAAAAAAAAACATGTTACCCATTAATATAAAGGATTTATAGAAAAATACAGAGTAGTATTAACACCACTCATGGTGTACAAGGGAAATAAATCCAAACAATCACATGTCTGATTTAAAATTAAAAGCAGCATTCATTATGTAGAATAACTTTCAAATAATGAACCATTTAATTTTAATTCTTTCAAAAATTCAATAAGAACACAAAACTAGCTGTTATTGGGAAAATCAAAGAGGTGTTAAATATTTAGTAATTCAACTAAGGACATTTAATAAAATATTTATTTAATAACATATGAACTATATACAGTCAAATATAAACAATTAATCAAGTAGTATTAACATTCAAGTCAAGTTTTTAGTTCAGTTATTGAAAGGATACAACAGCTGATATGATGACATCACTGTCCAAAGTTCACTACAGCACTTCGTACTAGTCAGTTCAGTTTAGACTCACCTCTCTCACAGTACACAGTGCTTACCTTTTGGTTTAGTTCATATTAAATATTTTAATCTCTCTTTCTCTCTTACCGCTCCAAGTGCATTATTTCATCATTTCTCATTTAAATATGGATTCCAAATTTATAGTACCAAGTGTCAAGCTAGGATCCAAGAAGATATTTTTATTTAAAGTAGATGTGTTCCCTAGTAGCACAAATATGTATTTTATAAATATTTTATATATTTAAAGTTGTATTTGATAGAACCTCGAATAAAATATAAATATAATATATCTTTAATAATAGTTTGATATATTCAAATATATATTTAAAATATTACCAAAAAGCAATGCAAAATATAAATTAAATATAAGTTTTGAATATATAAAATATATTCATAATATATATTGATAAAACAAGTATAGAATCTATAATATACATATTTTATATGTATATTTTTCCTATTAAATATTTAAAAACATTATGTGTTGAGAATATTTTAAATATATATATAAAATATTTTTGAAACTATATTATATATTTAAATTATTTATAAATATATTTTGAAACACGTCAGATATTTTTTATTAATAAAATAATATTATATTTGTAGAATATATATCCTATAATCTTTTATAATTAACAAATAAATAATTTGCATCTTTTTGTTTTTCATAGTGTCTATCAATTTATACATGCATTTTTTGTATGATAATTGCTATTGTGAAAGCGTTAAAATTAAGTTAATAATAATAAGTACTCTGAATGGTGTCACTCTATCATACACGTAAAGAAAAAAATAGCATATAGTTAAGAGGCAGTATACATGTTTGACAGCTACATTCGGGTCAAACGAAAAAAGTGTTGATGGGGTTTTTTTTATTGCAATATGTGACAATGAATGTGATCATAGAAATCTCGAATGATTGGCTAGAAAAGGGTGCTAGTGACTGGCGACCTTTTAAGAAACTAATTACGGTTGTAGATGACGTTCTAAAAATAATTATTTGATTTACATATGCCATAAATTACATAATATTTGTCATAGTATTTAAATTGATTTTTGTAGTTTACTGTATTTGTATTCGTGGAGACTACTCACTATTCACTACAGCACTATTCAACTCAACTACTTGATGCCAAAACATATTAACAGAATCATATTATACTGTAGTATCAAAAATATTTCAAGTATTGCAACCATTGCAACTGAGGGCCACTCTTTCACCATTTGAAAACTGAGGCTAACAACAGTCACAAGTAGCTCAGAGGTAAGGTAGGAGGCTCATAAGTCGGAGGACCCAGGTTCGAGACCCACCCGGGATGAAAAAATTTTATCCAGTAATTTTTTCAAAATTTGTTTTTATGAACTATTTAATCAATTTACTCAACTGATAATTGTGTTTTTCATACTAAATCTTTATTATTTTGTGTTTTTATGTTAGGGCCCCATGGGATGTTTGGAAGATATATTAAATACATTTTTTATTTAAATATTATTCACTAAAATATATTATTGGAACATATTTTTTTAATATTTAATAGATTCAAAAACATATTTTTTATATATTTAATATATTTTAAATATTATATAAAATTGACATTAATACACACTTGAGATATATAAAATAGATTTTAAATACATTTATTCACATGTATTTAATATATATTTGTGCTACTAGGGTTGTAAATTTTCGTGTACAGTCCAGAATATTCATGAGTAGTGAATTGCTTTCTTTTTATTAATGAAGAAGAGTTTTAATTTAAATCAGTGAAGAATTACATACTACACAACAATAGTCATTTCTCAACATCATCTTTCATCTGTGGTCCTTCGATTCTCGTCACTCTGGCCAGAGCCATCGCTTCTCTGCTCATCTTGTTCCTGTTCTACCAAAACCCTAATGGATCTTCAGTTTTAGGATCTAAAGGTATTTCTCACAATTTTACCTCTTAATACCATATATAACATGGTCCTCACGAGCCGGAAGTTTCCCAGCCTATGGAAAATAATCTACTGTGACTATTAAGTTTTGTATTTATTTGAACTGAATAAATTAATTGAATAAATCTGTCATCAACATTAAGTATCATTAACAAGAGGATTAAATATTTTTGATCACATTATTATCAATTTATTAAATTGTTGCAGTAATTTGTGAAATAACACATAAAGTTTTGTTGTCCCAGACAGAAAATTTTGTTCTCAGACTGTACTGTCTACAACTCCTGTATTTTCATGCATAGTTTGTCTATTCTCTATTGCGCATTATCGGGCTGCATCCTGTCTGCCCCCCTCTCTCCCCCCCTGTAATGTGAAACAAGTTTCTCTCTTGTTGCTGAATATTCAGAAAATCATGGAAGTCATACCAACTTCACAGCTGATCAACACTAGCGCTGCTGATGGATAGAAATGAAAACTTAAATGTCATTATGCAAGACTTTGTTTATGTTTTCATAACCTCAATTGTTTGCTTACACTTTTAAATTAAAGTGACAGAAGAATGTTTATTAATACGGATTGAACATTTAATTACAGTTTGTGTTTGAAATAACATGTTTTATTGAATTTCAAATTTATTATCTGGAAATAATTGCAGGTAGATATTTTCTGGGACTTAAACTTTTTATAGGCCTATACTATGGCTGAATATTTCTCTCTGATTTCAAGTTGACTAATATTAATATTTAATACAATGAATCCTGGCTGTCTTTAAATAAGTTTTGCTCATTATAAACTTATTTTAATCTGCATTTATTTTTATTTTGGAATTTTATTGAATTTAAGACTTATTCAAAATGAGGTTCTCAACTTTTGTGAAGCAATCTGAGCTTGTGCTAGCCAGGCTTAAGTCAATTGAAGCAAAAGTGCTTGCTATCGAAAAGGAACCTATCACTCCTCAACTTATAACAAAGCTCACTCTTTTGGATTCCACCGCTACAGCCAAAAATAATGATTTTGACAAATTAGTGAATAAGTTGTTCGGCACTGTGCCTTTACCTGAGGAATTAGATGAAAGTGAAAATATCACTACAATTTCAACATTACAAGATGAAATAAGTGATCTCTATGTGTCTATTCACTCTTTGTGTGTGAACTTGATACCTTCCCCAAGCTCTAACCAGTCGAGCCAGCCAAACCTGGATGATTCCAATGCAGCTGTCAGCCAAGTAGCTACAACTAAGGTTAGTGTACAGCTTCCTAAACTTCAACTTGGTACCTTCTCAGGTCAACATGAAAAGTGGATGGCGTTCAAAAATTTGTTTGAAAATACTATTCATAAAAATGATAGTATTTCTGGTGTTGAAAAAATGAGTTATTTGTTAAGCTGTCTTGAGGGAGAGGCACTTTCAGTTGTTAAAAACATCCCTATGACTAATGCTAATTATTTTATTGCATGGGAATCTCTACTTAAAAGGTATCAGAATACAAGATTACTAATCTCTCTTCATGTCAACAATGTGTTAGACTTACCAGTTCTTCACAATCCCTCAGTGAAGCAACTTAGAAGGTTTTTGTCTGTTTTAAATGAAAACATTGAAGCACTTAAAGCTCTAGATGAAGAAATTTCTCAGGAAAATTTAATTTTGACCTCTCACTTGTTAAGAAAATTTGATTCTGATTTTCGCCATCATTTTGAACAGAGTCGAAGTGATAACTCTGTAACTCCTAAGTTAGATGAGTTAACCAAAGTACATTGAGTCTCACTGTGTAAATCTTGAAGCAGCTAATCTTACTAATGTGGGATCATCTCTTAAGGTTACCTTAGGCCACCACACTCAAGTAAAACCCCCTCAGCGCTCAAATAAATCGGCGCTTATTGCAACTCCTCGCACTGTTTGTACATTTTGCGCAGGTGCAGATCACAAAATCTATCAATGCAAAGGTTTTCTTAAATTGACTTCACAAGAAATGTATAATTTTGTTAAAGGCAAAAATTTGTGCACCAACTGTCTTGGCGATAAGCATAAGGTAAAGGAATGCAATTCATGGCGTACATGTTCTACGTGTAAAAGAAAACATCACTCTCTTTTGCATTTTATGGATTCTGAAAATAATCCCTCTCCTAATGTGTCTAAAGGTAACACAGACAAACGAGCTCCAAGTTCTGACTCAAATAAAAATGAATCTGGTTTTGTTGGTTTGACAAATACAGAGAACACAGTTCTTCTTGCCACTGCTTTAATTGTGGTAAAATCAAGCGAAGGTAAGACCCTAGTGTGTAGGGGAGTTTTAGATTCTGCTGCTCAGTCTACCTTCATTACTCAAAGATGTGCTCAGTCTTAAGGGATTAAGCGCTCTCATGCTAATAAAACGCTTATTAATGGCATCTCGTCTGCTCAGGTGAAAACAAAAGGGTTAACTCATGTCACTCTCCAGTCCCTTAGTGGATATGTATTGGCAAGCTCTCACCCTGTCTTCATTTTGGATAATATCACTCCAGATTTACCTCGAGCTAAGATCACTCCTGAAGTTCGCTCACAGATGCAACATTTAATGTTAGCCGATCCTACTTTTGATAAACCCGCTCCTATTGATGTTCTAATTGGAGCTGACCTTTTTGCCTCCTCTGTGAAAGGCCAGTTTTTGTCACTTGGTGAGAATATGCCTGTAGCAATTGACACCATTTTTGGATATGCGCTCTTAGGATCGACCCCTGTCGCCTCAACTTGCAAAAATTCATTTCATGGATTAGTCACACTCTTAACCACCAATAGTTTGGATCTTCACACCTCTATCCAACAGTTTTGGGTTGTAGAGGAACCCCCTCTTACATGCAAGCAATCCTTAGCCGAAGAAAAATGTGAAAAACATTTTGTATCTACGCACTCTCGCACTCCTGAAGGAAGATATATTGTCTCTTTGCCTTTCTCAGACGATCCGTCAACATTAGGCAACTCGAGCAAAATGGCAAAATCCCTATTCTGGTCTCTGGAGAATAAATTTCGTTCTAATCCTGATTTCAAGGAAACTTATGTTGATTTTATGAGAGATTACTTGTCTTCGGGACATATGACACTCTGTCAGTCACCACGTCTTAAAAATAATCCTCATTACTACCTTCCACATCATGGAATTTTTAAAGATGGAAAATTAAGGGTAGTATTCAACGCATCAGCACCTACATCAACATCTCTGTCTCTCAACAGTATTCTTCATCAAGGACCAAAACTCCACAACAACATATGTGACATCATTCTCAACTTTCGCCGACATGCGGTTGTTTTTTCATGCGACATCAAGCAGATGTTTCGACAAGTCCTTGTAAAGGAATCTGATCAGATATTTCAACTTATTTTCTGGAGAGAGAATGATAAAATGCCTCTTCAAATCTATCAGCTAGCGACTGTCACTTATGGGCTCACATCATCGCCCTACTTGGCAAATCGTGTCATTCAACAACTCATTATTGATGAAGGAAAAAATCATCCTCTAGCCGCAACTGCTCTAAAGGATCAGATTTATGTCGATGACGCCCTATTGGGTAGTAATTGCGTAGAAAACGCTCTTTTGTTGAAAAATGATGTGGTTCAGTTACTCAAAAAAGGAGGTTTCGAGTTAAGAAAATGGTCTTCGAATAATCCATTACTCTTACAGTCGATCCCTGAAGATCACAAAGAAAAACCTATTGGTTTTCGAGCTCCCGAACAACCAGTTCATAGTGTTTTAGGACTTAAATGGATTCCTAATGAAGATGTTTTTTCTTATTCTGTAGGAACTCAAAATATTAAGGAAACTCCTACAAAAAGAATTGTTTTAAGTGTGATATCACAGATCTATGACCCGTCAGGATGGTTAACTCCTGTAACCTTCTGGTCCAAATCCTTCATGCAATACTTATGGACACTTGGTCTTGATTGGGATGAACCCCTAGACGACAGCGTTATATCAGTTTGGAACAAGTTCGCCAATGAACTTCCATATATTGAAATGCTCAAGATACCTCGCTACGTGGGACTTTCTTCTGCTAAAGATATTCAGCTACATGCTTTTTCTGATGCAAGTGAAGCAGGATATTGTAGTTGTGTTTACCTGAGAGTTGTAAATTCACAAGGAATTATATCGACTTATCTTCTGATAGCGAAGTCAAGAGTCGCACCTCTGAAGCGTATTTCCATACCTCGCTTGGAGCTCTGCGGAGCACACCTGATGTCTAAGCTCCTAAATTACTGTATACAACTTCTCTCACCTCACTGCAAGATTAGTTCATACACAGCTTGGTGCGATTCCACAATCGTGCTTTCATGGATTGGCATGCCCTCTTATCGACTCAAGGTTTATGTGTCAAATCGAGTTGCAGAAATACAGGAAAATATCCCATACCTTCATTTTGGCAACATATTTCATCACTAGAAAATCCAGCGGATGTTGGGTCAAGGGGTACCGCCCCACAAGATTTGATTAACCACACACTTTGGTGGAATGGACCTGTCTGGTTGTGTAACTCTGAAGAAAATTGGCCAAAGTCTGTCTGTAAATCTTTACCTGAAGAGTCTATCCCTGAAACTAAGATTCTCACAGTTAACACTCTCTCTGCTGTTCCGGATGAACCATTTTCTCTCCTCACTCGCTTCTCATCTTGGACAACACTACTTCATGTTTCCGCATACCTGCTGCGCTTCATTCATAACACCAGAAATAAAGTTAAACAAATTGGGAATTTAACTTCTCAGGAGATAAAAGAGGCTCATAACCTGATTTGTAAATTGGTTCAACGAGAATATTTTTCTGAAGAAATCTCATGTTTGAAATCCAATAAACCTTGCTCTGTACGCATTAGACGCCTAGCTCCTTATCTGGATAAAGATGGCCTCATTCGAGTAGGGGGAAGAATAAACAAGGCTGATATCTCTGAAGATCACAAACACCCCGTCTTGCTACCTAAAGGTCATAGGTTAGTTGATATTTTGATTGACCACCATCATGTCTTATATTTGCACTCTGGTCCAACTCTAACTCAGGCTATGCTGGCAAACAAGTACTGGATTCTCAGTGCTAGAAGCTTAATAAGATCTAGGATCTTTAAATGCATAAAATGTTTCAGATGTAAACCTCCTCATTCTTCTCCACTCATGGGGGAATTACCTATGAATCGAGTTACACCTTCAAGGCCATTTTCCATATCTGGTGTAGATTATGCAGGACACTTCTTTGTGAAGCAACATCTACTAAGACGAGTTCAACCTATCAAGGTTTATATTTGTATATTTATTTGCTTCTCTACTAAGGCGGTACACATAGAAGTAGTAACCGACCTAACAGCGGATGTCTATTTAGCCGCTCTTACCAGATTTGTCTCCAGACGAGGAATCGTTTCAGATATTCACTGTGACAATGCTACAAATTTCACAGGTGCATCCGAAAAACTCAGACGCAACTTTGAAAATTTAATCAAGGATTCCACAGTACAATGCTACGCTGAGAATTTCAATATTAAATTTCACTTCTTACCTCCACACGCACCTCATCAGGGAGGCCTTTGGGAGAGGGCCGTCAAAAGTGTGAAATTTCACCTAATAAGAGTCATTGGACAACAGACCCTGTCACTGGAAGAGTTTTCGACTTTAATCACCCGTATTGAAGGAATGATGAACTCTAGGCCTATAACTCCTCTTTCTTCTGATCCCTCGGACCTAGAAGCTTTGACGCCAGGTCATTTTTTAGTAGGTGGTCCTCTTATGACACCTCTTGAACCTGACTTGCGTAGCATTCCTATCAACCGATTAAAACGCTGGCAGGTAGTCCAACAGTTCAGTCAACATATCTGGGCTCGCTGGCAGAAAGAGTATCTGTACACTCTTCAAGAGAGAAATAAATGGGTCAACCCCAAGAAGAATATTGAAGTCAATGACTTGGTTGTCATTCATGAAGACAACTTGCCTCCACTCTCCTGGAAGCTTGGACGAGTTCTCTCCGTTTCACCTGGTACTGATGGAATAGTACGGGTCGTGCACCTGAAGACCGCAAGTGGACACCTCTCTCGTCCTGTGACAAAGGTGTCTGTCCTTCCTATGGAATAGTGAAGAGGAGTTACCACCCCCCTTTTTTATTGATTTTCTCATTTTTTGTGTTGTTTTCAGAACCCAGGGGTTCAGGGGGGGCCGGTATGTTAAATATTTAGTAATTCAACTAAGGACATTTAATAAAATATTTATTTAATAACATATGAACTATATACAGTCAAATATAAACAATTAATCAAGTAGTATTAACATTCAAGTCAAGTTTTTAGTTCAGTTATTGAAAGGATACAACAGCTGATATGATGACATCACTGTCCAAAGTTCACTACAGCACTTCGTACTAGTCAGTTCAGTTTAGACTCACCTCTCTCACAGTACACAGTGCTTACCTTTTGGTTTAGTTCATATTAAATATTTTAATCTCTCTTTCTCTCTTACCGCTCCAAGTGCATTATTTCATCATTTCTCATTTAAATATGGATTCCAAATTTATAGTACCAAGTGTCAAGCTAGGATCCAAGAAGATATTTTTATTTAAAGTAGATGTGTTGTAAATTTTCGTGTACAGTCCAGAATATTCATGAGTAGTGAATTGCTTTCTTTTTATTAATGAAGAAGAGTTTTAATTTAAATCAGTGAAGAATTACATACTACACAACAATAGTCATTTCTCAACATCATCTTTCATCTGTGGTCCTTCGATTCTCGTCACTCTGGCCAGAGCCATCGCTTCTCTGCTCATCTTGTTCCTGTTCTACCAAAACCCTAATGGATCTTCAGTTTTAGGATCTAAAGGTATTTCTCACAATTTTACCTCTTAATACCATATATAACAAGAGGAGATAATGGTTTTTACTTAGATTAGTCCATGATTCAGCCTGAATAGTTCATTTGATGAACTGAAATCTAACACATGAGTGTTGTCATAGCACTAATGAAACAAAAAAACAAGAATCACTCACCGATTGAAGGTCGAAATATAGCAACAGGTAAAGAGGTTTTGAACTTGTCAATTATTACTTCTGCAGCACACTTTGTAAAAATATAACTATTAGGTTTTGAGCCTAACAAGCTGAAAATAAAAAAAATAACATATTTTAATATCCCTGGTTTCATACGTCAAAAATGTTGTGAATATGGGAAAATAAGTTAGTTATTAAATAGTAGATCTACTGTAGTAAAATCAATCAAATATAAAATATTCATAAATTTCTTTTTAAATCACTTCATAATCACAAAACTCTATTCATACTTTCAAATCCTTCTAATAGGTCTCTATAATTTAAAAAAATATTGACCTACACTGGAGTAACTTCATCAAGTGTATTTTCATCCAAAAGATTTGGAAGGTTCATTAAATTCTCAGGAGAGATCCGACACCCAGACACCTTCTCCTGCACCAACGGACTGTCACAGTTACAGTAAGCGGTTGAAACATAGACAAATGCCTGTGGGAAAGAGAAACAAACAACTTAGAAACCATCCCTATAAAAGAAATCTAACTTTTTGGAAGCAACTAAACTGTATTCTGTTTTGCAGTAGTTCAGAAAGTAAGAAACATTTCTGTCTGACGCCAAAAGACGTGCAATGGTCAAGCGCACTTACTAGTAAAGACATGTTTGCCTCATTGACTGTTCAGCCATTACAGCCGAAGCATCATTGTGCTGCCCGGTGTTGTAAAATTAGTTTAAAGTGTGCTGCAATTTAATCCTGCCAGATGCGGAGCTACAGTTTGTAATATGATTTTTTTTTTTTTTTGTAATTTAGTTCAAAGCTAAAACCTCTGTAGAAATTTATCGCCAAAGGTGTGATATGTATGGAAGCAATGTAATAAATAGAAGGTCTGTTCAGAAGTAATAGTGTATCTATTCAGTTACAAAATAGCCAAACATAAAACTAGGCCGACATCAAATTTTTGTTTTTGCATGACATTGCCCAATCTCACAAGTCAAATTGTACACACAATCAACTTCAATCATTCAAATGTGTGATTTTCCCTCTACCAAACCATTCCAGTCCAAAACTGGTTCCAAGTGATTTTCACTTTTTGTGTGCACTAAAATTAAGACTTGGTTTGCAGCCAGCACAGTGCTTTGACCACAGCGAGAACCTCCGAAGACTTGTCACGAAATTGCTGAGCTGCAGGTGGTAAAATCCTACATAAAAGAAATTTCAAAGCTTGTCCACTGCTTTGATAATTCCTCAATTTGTTTGTTGGACATTTGGAAAAGTTGTATTTTAGTTCCTATTTTTTTTTTTTTATGTATACAAAAAAGTTGTTCCTGATGCAAACAATTTTTATTTAGTTCAAAAACATTCCTTACTTTCTGAAATCCCTCTTATATTTCTAGTTTAATTGGATTCATTGTTGAATCTCTCATTAAAGTGGTATTTCGCGGACTAATGTATAACTACCATACTTTTAATTTAATATACATATGTAGCCTACAGTATTGCTATATTCAACCCATCATTGTTTTTATGAATACTGAATTAAAAATACCTATTTAAAATCAAATTATCAAATTACCTCCAGTTTCAACATGTTTTGGGCGAGCAAACAAAGTTGTTTGGTTGCTGCAACATTTGTACTGATAGCAACACTAAGGCGCTCATCAAATCTGAAAAATTGTGATGAAGTTATTAAAAGCATTATTATTATTTTATGTCTTGTTTGTTGAAATAAATTTAAATGTTTACTGAAAACCTTTTCCTTTTAAGTTTGACTGAAAAAATTCTAGAGACAATATGTATATGATTAAAATTAGTAATCCACACATTTTAAGATGGCCAATTATTGAGAAGCTTATGTATTAAAATCTGATTAACAAGCTGGGAATTTTATTCCTAGCTTTACCTGAGTGTTGCAGCCGAGTGAAAGATGATTTGGACGTTTTGCGAGATGACAGCAACATGTTCGGGAGAAAGACCGAGCTGAGGACGGGACAAATCCCCAGGAATCACTGACAGTTTACGAGAAATCTCAGGATTCCCTTGTATCTGTCTTGCAAATACCTGCAGAAAGTTTTGATTCAAACTTAGGAGTGTTTGGTGTAATGTTGTGTTGGTTTTGTTTACATTTGGACATGGACAAGCTGAAGTCATAAGGAGTGACTCCTCTTCTCTACCTCAGTATTATTTTAAAGCTAAATTCATGATTACTGTAATATTTTGAAGAGAAAAATGTGTCTTCTCTATTTTTCATGTTTTAATAAAGTAGGCTAGGTATAAGATTTTAAGGAAATTTCTTGTAGGGCTATTGAGCATACAAATATAGACCTAACTTAATAAATTATTTACACTAAGGGTCTGATTGTTACTATTATCGTGTATTTAAAGCTATTTCCTGATGCTTGCGATGTTATGCATGATAAATTCTTGATTTTCTATTGATTTTTATAGAACCATTTTCCGGGGTGATGTTTACTTACAAGACACCCTAATTGTTTAAGAAAATATAAAAATTAAACTCAACTCATTTATTTGGTAGGCCTAGGCTTACTGTAACAGTTCTAAATAAACTAGGTATCAATGACGTTCTCTCAACATCCTTTTTAATTGATCTTTGAGGCCGTAATAAAATAATTTCTCAATCTAATCTAAAAGAAACTTTCATTTAACAAATCTAAGCAGATGAATTTTCAATATTGACATTAGTTTTCTTGTGATGGAAATAATAAAGATTAGCCTAATCAAAAGCTAACTATTTTTGAATTCATTATTTTGTAAACTTGTCCTTTTAGAACTTAGATAGGTACCTCACATTGCAGCAATTTTTTCAGCCTTTCCTCAGCTTTCATGCCCCTTTTTTCTCGCATTAATAAAAATATTTGTTTGACATTTGGACAACATCGAAGAATCTTTTCTACCAAAACCTTTCCTAGAAAACCCGTCCCTCCAGTCAAAAATATAGTCTTCCCCTCGTAATAACGTTGAATCTTTGTTTTTCCTGGATATATTTGTGAACTCATTTTCAAAAAGTCTGCAACTTTTTCATTAATTAGTCTTCATGCATTGCTGTCTACAAAAAATAGTACACGTCACGAACTAATACTATACATACACTTCACAATGTTTAGTAAATAATCATATAGACACATGCAACATGTTTTTTTACCGTAACTTTAACTAATAGGTAGTGGTTCTCTACAAAACAGTATTTTTTATGTATATATTTTTCTAAGCTATTTTTGTTGTTTGGACTTGGTTGTTAAATTTTGACTCTGCTCCTGTTTGTTTATCTTCCAGAATTTTTCAAAGTAATATACTCAAACAACTGGCAAATCTCATAATGCATCTAAATAATTATTAAAAATTAATATTCTATGTCAGTATTTTTAATATCATTACAAAAGCACAAGACAATGTCATCAACACATTAAGAATAACAACACAATAAAAACATACTAATTATTTACAGGGATCAGCTGAGTATGTAGTGTAATTTTTGGCTGGCAGATTTTTGTGTTGTGATACTGCCATTCCTTATCTTGACACTGCTAGAGCTTGCAGCATAACGCAGTGTTTTATTACTATAGTTAGTAATATAGTTAAATAAGTTAAACAGTTTTTTTTATATCTGAATAGAGTGATTATTATTATTTTATGACTATCCTCACATTGTGAAATAAAAACTGTATTGAAAAACATCTCTAATTTATTTAATACATACATTCAAAAATATATTTTTTTAAACTTACCTTTATGGTAAATGCAGTACCATGCGTTACTGGAGTCGTACTTCCCCTGATGTACAGCAAAATTGAATTTTAAACAATCGATTGTTTTTATGTTGCTCCTGAATCAAAAATAGGAGTGATGACTTTGACAACATTGCAATATGGTTTTCTTCGCCTCATAGCTTGTAGAGTACATTCTTATTCTTGATCATCTCTATTATTGCAGAACAAGTATGTTTAATGACGAGCTTTGAATCTAATAATCTATTTCAAAAGTAACAAGTGGTTTCCAACCAAGTTCCAATCCACATATTTACTTCGTTTGGGTGTGGAATATTACTGTTACTGTTACTGTTTAATGAAATGGCGACCATACAAAGTAGGTATTTTAAGCCAAGTATGAATGGAGATGAGTGTAGGATGAGTGCCGCGATCTTGTAGTCTTGTTAGTGACTAAGGCCGACATCCCATAGACAAGGACCAAGGCCACACACAGCTGTATTAAGTTTGTGTCAAACAAATTAGTACATCAACCAAACTACATTGGATGAAATATTTGAAATTCATTGGATTTTTATAAAATTAATGTCAATAACAAAACGTCAAATTTTAAGTCTTTGTTGTTAGTTCAAGATGTCAATGTCAAATATTGGTGATATCAGCAAAGTTTTCAACTTATTTTATAAAACTACAAATAACCCAAAACTTCATGATTTTGAACAAGCCAAAAAAGAAATTGTAAACTAGTTTATGATGTACTGTACCTATGTAAAAAAACCGATATTTACTTTTTCTTATGAAAAACTTCTTAAATTAAGATGGTACCTTAATGCCATCTTTTAATCTAAACCAAAATAAAATTGAATTTATGAACAGATTTCTTAAATTATCCTAGCAATTTATATTTTTTAATACTGGACCTATGATTAAAATAACAACATAAAAAATTTTTGAGTTGTAGTTATAGCTTAGGTAAAATATTAAAAAGCCAATTTTGTGTTATTTGGGAGGTATTGGTTGTCGAGGTTAAAGTGGTTGAAGATGTGGTTGAAATAACAGAGCAATTTGTTTAATTTCATTTGGTTGAAGCATTGTTGATGTCCATTATCGATGGCTGAGTCAAGTTTAAATGTCCACCGGTGACGTGCCGTTGCAACAATTGGCGGGTCTGGGATACGCCTTGGAGTGAGCCAATCAAAGTACAGCAAGTTTATAAATGACCGGGAGGACGCGCTCAGAGCCAATGTGTGACGCGTTGGTATCAGGGCGACAGAGGTAAGTAGTGGCCAGCTCCAGCTGTTCAGAGTTCAGACTACTACCACAGAGCACTAAATAAGAATTCAACAAACGGAGGCCACTTCTTCACATGTACAGAAACCTTATAATGACGTCACATGACTATATCGACTACTTTTCAGCTATCGGAATCGTGATGGTTTATGCAATCGATTATCGAAGGCCGAAGGGACACGGCTTTACATTACATCGTCACTTATTCACTTTGCTGTGCCCGGTGACCATGTTATTAGACTCGTTCTGATTATTTTCAATAAACCTACTACTTTTTAAATGGAGCCAGAAAAGTACAAGTGGGCTAAAAGCTATGATGCATTTTTAGATGTTTTAAGTAAAAGTAATAAACTATCCTACAAATTAATCGGATTACTACTACTTAATGTTTCCTTATTTATATTATGTCCCAGTACTTTCATTTATAAATAACATGATAAGGCTTAGTAAGTCTATCTATCTAACATGTTTGTATTGCACTAATTTGTACGAAATATCAAAATGGAGCTGTCCGTTGGAATGTAAAATGTAAAATAATAAAAAAAAATAATAAATAATAAGTATAACGTTATTGTGAATTAAATGGAGCCAGAATAATATAATTGGGTAAAACTTATGGTGTTTTATTAAGATGTACTAAAGGGGAAAATGAGAAAAAAGCTCTACTTTTTTCTGTAAACCTAAACCATTGATTAATATACTCACAGTACTTAGTCAATGGTTAAACTGTAGGGCCTATTTTACGTGACTGTAAATTCCATAAAATAATATATCTAAAACAGTCCTCTTGGGCTTCTTAAATTGTCACCTTACACTGATGGGCAATATCTATTAGTAAATCATTCCCAAACATTAACATAACGTTAACATGTCAAAGTTACAATTATTATTTCACTCTCTTCTAGAATCGATAATAATTTCTGTAATTCGTCTACTTTAATTACAGTTATTGTATTATTGTGGATGCTATGAAATAAATTCTTAGTATTCAACGTCCTGTGAACTCAAGTTTTTATTTTATAAGTCAGGTAAATACGAAAACAATAATTGCAAACATCTTGGATGTTCAATCCAAAGTATCAGTAATTATTTTATTCCCAGCCTGTAACGAATATTATTGTATTTCTACTATTTGATTTATAATGGATAAACTACCGAGAGTATTCAATTCGTCAAATAAAGTGTTACAAAAAAAAACCCTTTACTTATTCGGTGCAACCAATACTTACATTCCGAAGAAAAACCCGTAACCACCCGGTACAATCGATATATACATTCGATATTTATGACGTCAGTATAAGGTTTCTGTACATGTGAACTTGTGCTCTCCTCAACAAACTCACGACTTACAGCAATCCACACTAAAAAACTATGACTACTATTGTTTTTAGCGTGGCCTTGCTTACAGAAAAAAGGACAAAAAGAAATAACCATATTGTCTGTGTTGCGCTGCAGGATCTATTGTACAACCATTGATTTCTACAGTCAATTGTACAAAAATAAGATTAGAGATACTCCTTCCACCAGGACTATTCAAAGTCAATGCTATATTCATTTCTAGCGTCCCCATCTTAAATGAATATGAATATATATTACCCGATTAGTGTATTAAATTTATAATTTATTGGACCTACGTTGTAAAGAAAACATAAAAAATAGTAAAGGGTGTTTTTGTTTTGTCTATCTACACCGAAAATAAGCACATATAATTCATATTAATTAATAGACATGGTTATCGACGGCTAAACCAGTAGGAGAGATTAGAGAACAAAATCTGTACATCAAAAACTGTATAAAGCAATAAAGCTGACAAAGAAAGTAAGTTTTCTTTAATTTTATGACATAATTACATAAATAAAACAGACTTGTGTTGGTTAGTCTGGTTTCAATATGAATAAATCAGTTAATTTTGTTCGCAAAATCTATAGTCTTGTTATAGCAGGTTATAGCCTCGAACTGACCTTAAAGATCTTATTAATTAAGAAACACAATTTTGTTCTGATAAACATAATTTATATCAATATTCTCAGAGACAGATTAACCCCGATCCCCAACCATCGATGTATAATACTCTACATTATACATCGATGTCCCCAACAACACGTCATGATCCACTCTGCTAGATGTACTGCGGAACATGAGGTGCTCCCACCTCCAACAAATATTATGCATACCATTACCATAATAAGGATACACCAGATCTGCTGTCTGTACGAGGCGTACCCAGCACCCTAGGAGGATTAACCACTCACGTTAATGTTTAATCCGCCTTATATCCACCTCCAACTAAAGCTATAACCACCGTCATAAATGAATGAGAATAATTAGTCATATTTGAAGCATAACTGGACAAAATTATTTCATAAAAGCTGCAACTATAATATGGCAACAGATTGTTAACTATTATATCATAGACTGAACCAACACAAGTAGACTACTCGTCCCATTGTAAATTTTGAAGCGCGTTTTTCGTGTCTAATTCATGTCCGGTGACACCGATTCCTTGTGTCAACAACATTTTGTTTATATTACTTTTATGTTAGGGTTAATGATTTGTGCTTTACGGTACTGTTTGGTTATTGAGCGGAGCGACGCGAAGCTCTTATACAACACTCCTGCTTTTGTTTTACAAATACTCTTCCTGAACGGCTGAAGCGATCTGCACGAAATGTAGCACAGTCAGTAACCATCCATGGGAAGGTATTGATCTGAAATGGTACAAATTGGACTACAGGGCTTTTCCCTACGTGAATTTATAATTTTAGAAATTTAACATGGGCTTTTTTAAAAGGGGTAATTTGTCACCATGGAATTATTTGCAAAATAACAATAAAAAGGTAAACAAAATGTGCAAACATTATGTTAGTTTTTTTTTATTGGTAGGTGGAATGCGTTACGCACTTCCTGATACACCACCTCCTGGAGCACCTGACGTGCCGGGGGAGTGTGGGACTCCTACATCGCCCTGTAGAATACCGACTAAAGCACCTACCAAGCTTGCACCTACCCCTCCCTGTCCATGAGCTCGGGAGAGCGGTCGCAGTGTAGCAGGCTGATGCGGTGCTGCTTGAAGATCTTTCTGGGGTTGTCATCTCTAGAAGGGGTCTCTCAGGCGGGGTGGCGGATGACACGTCGTGCTCCGCTGATTCTGGGGGTTGGCATCTTGAAGTTTCCTTCGTCGCTCAACCGGGGAGGCTGCTCGTTTTTTTATGTTAGTTAACGAATCGTGTACACGTAGCACATTCCAAATACCGTACAGAGAAAAAGGGACGAACAATTGGATTATTATCATTGAGCATAATTTACTTCAAAATGAATAATCAATAATGAGGGTTGACCAAATTAGGGCTGCACTTTACTTTAGGTCCTACACTCATTCGATTGAAAATATCAATTATTCGATTGTTTCATTCGATATATCGTTTGGTTAGTTAGGTTAGGTTAACCTTGGATCAACCAAAAAATATATCGAATGAAACAATCGATTAATCGATATATAAATTGATATTTTCATTCGAATGAGTGTAGGACCTAAAGTAAAGTGCAGCCCAAATTAGACTGATGCACCATTGACTTTACTAATCCAAATAGCCATTCCATTTATGTGAACCAAATATAGGCCTATCATTGAGTTTGGATACTGCAAGAGTAGATTTTCCATTTACGTTAATGTTAATCATACTTATAATTGACTTTGGAAATTGAAAATATACATTCCGTTTATGTGAACGAAATATACCATTTCCATCGGATACTGCAAGTATATATCTCATTTACGAGACACTGGTGTAGCATTGACTTTAGAAAAGTTTTGGATTAATAATATTATGCTAGCTCCGCACAATATTTGCAAGCACAACTCCATTGTACCACGTACACCACACCTATTGTATAACTAGGGGATTTTTTTAACTCGATTTAATTTACAATCTGTTCAAGCTGAACAATAAGCAATCGAATTAATGATATAAATAATAATACAACATAACATGAAGAACATGAGCTATAGTGATTGATGACCATCGTCAAAACACTATAGTTAAAAAAGAGAATTTTGATAACACTTAGCCGGATCTGAATGGGAGGTCCAATATCATATGTCTAGGGGATGAGTTACTTTTTATGATCAGATGGTTTTATTTGGTTAAACGAGGTTTTAAATTACTGCAACAAGGAACAAATTATAAACAAAACACGACCTCCAAGTAGTGCACCGGACATAACTTACAATACAATTGACTTCAGATGTTCCATAAGGATGAAAAATCTTCTAAGGGAGTATGATTTATCAATGCTATTATCATAGATAAAACGGTGCTATTAGGAGTATTTGCCTACTATTCGAAGTCAATGTTATTTCTATTCATTTATAATTCCCTCATTTTTCCGCTTAGGCCGGGGCCACACGACGCGGATCATCCGCGCGGACGGACCACGCGGATGATCCGCGTGGTGCGACAACACATTGAATCAAATGAGAGTGGCCACACGGGGCGATCCTAAGGCCGGGGCCACACGTGGCGGATCGTCCGCGCGGCTTATGATCGTACGATCATAAGCCGCGCGACGATGTCCCGGCCACACGGAGCGGATGAACCGCTTCCGGTTGAGGTTTCCCAGCCTACGTACTGAGATTCTAACATGGTTTAATTTACTCGTTCTCGTTGTGGTCATGGAAGAAACACGTATGTTAGTTTGTGCATTAGAAGCGTGTGGTGAGCTAGAGCCTGAGGCAAACCGAAATCATTGGGTCCATCATTTCATAACCGATAAACCATTTGTGTTCCAAACCTTTCACTCATTTTCAAGCTATGGTTTCGCATGTGCTCGTAAAAGGTTTGGAACACAAATGGTTTATCGGTTATGAAATGATGGACCCAATGATTTAGGTTTGCCTTAGGCTCTTGCTCACCACACGCTTCTAATGCACAAACTAACATACGTGTTTCTTCCATGACTACAACGAGAACAAGTGAATTAAACCATGTTAGAATCTCAGTACGTAGGCTTGGAAACCTCAACCGGAAGCGGTTCATCCGCTCCGTGTGGCCGGGACATCGTCGCGCGGCTTATGATCGTACGATCATAAGCCGCGCGGATGATCCGCCACGTGTGGCCCCGGCCTTAGCCTTTGAAACAAAACTTGCAGCATGTATATGAAATATATTACTGTATTGTAGAGTTAAGTGAATTATTTTCAATTTAATTGTAAGATAACTATATTGATTTTTTGATACTAATGCCATAATACATGGTATAACAACATACAACGAAAAACATATATAATCAATTATCTTGGTGTTTGTTGGGCTGAACTGAAATTACGAAATGAAATAAAATCTTTATGTTCTTCTTCTTCATCTTAACCATTTTCTTTTGGTTTTGATTTTGTTTGATGTCGATTTCGACGATTGCGAGCCGCGAGCGATTCCGTCCGAACCGAATGATTGTGATGTCGAAGTGAACTTGTGATTGAGATTGAGATTACGAAACGTCACTTTTCTAAATCATAAAATTTCGTTAATTCGTGCTTTAAATAAATATTTAAAAGAACAGTTATATGTTACGAATCGGAAAATATCTGAAGTTATAATTAGTATAATCTGATTTAGCTTTTGCTTGTGCTATTTTTTTTATTGTAAGGCTGCGAATACCTGTTAGGTTAGGACCTAGTAGGAACAATTAATTTCAAGTCTTTTTGTTTTTATACTATCATTTGCGAAATGTGTATACAGGTTCCATTATTGGATTATGGGAAGGTAAGTTCTAAGCTGTCTAATTTTATCAGCTAATGCTTTCTTTTAAGTGCATCAACTTCTCAAAAATTGTAGTTTATGATAACCTTGGGTAGCCTATAGCTTGGAGTGAGCTATGGTTGAAAATAGCCAAGGACTTGGGCCTAGCATTAACTTAATACAAATTTTACTTAGGACTTAGGGGTAGACTTCCGTATCTGTTGGCACAAACAACCGAAGGAAAAGATCGATTAGGCTATTCGATTGTTTCATTCGATAGGCTATATCGCTCGGTTAGTTAGGTTAGGTTAACCTTACCTAATTAACCAAACGAAATATCAAATAATCGATCGGGGTACAGTTTTCTTAACTGGGCTATGCTAATATTGATTGAAACTATACCTATAATAGAAAATATTGATTAATAATCGATATTTTTTAAATATAGGCTATCTATTAAGTTATTACAAGACAACTTAGAAATTTCATGACTCAACATTTCCTTAAATCCTAGGCCTAACCTATTTACTACCTTAACTTTAGGCAAGTTTAAACCTAAGTTAATTGAGGTAGCAGAATTTTTACCCCTGAAATTATCTCCAGAGCGAAACTGACGCCACAGCCTAGGGAGTAAAATTCCAGCTGCAAACTTTTGAGTTTTACAACCTGAGTTCATGGTTTATTTAACCCTCCGAGTGTTATGTGTCGTAAAAGCGACTCATAACACATCCGCTGTAGTGTTATATGTCGCTTTTGCGACTCACAAACACTGTTTACGGCGACGGTTCTGGGACTGACTGAATCGGATTGAACTGGATCGAGTTAGGTATAGGAGTTTTTTTTCAGCAGATTCAGAGCTTTCTCCTGATGTCTTACGCTTTTCATTTCAGTTCCGAAAATATGATTCAAATGATTCAAATGATTTATTAGGCCATTCAGTGCATACAGGACAATAGGCTACGTCAATAATACAATAAATAATAAATAACATGCCAAGCTTCTTCTAGCATTCTTGACTAACAAAATTAAATTAAAAGCTGAAAAAAACATGCAGGATCTCAATCAATACAAAACATGCAAAGCAATGCATGCAACTAAAAATGAAAAAAATGAAAACTACATGCTGCAAGCCATGCAAGGCAGAGAAAAATAAATAAATTTACATTTTTGTAATACCTCTACTGGACTACTGTGGGTTCAACCCAATAGTAACAAGCTGTGCATTCCAAAACTCTTTTATGGAATAGAATGGACTGGCAAGCATCCAAGCTTTTAGTGTGGTCGCAAACTTGTTCGGTAAGAGTTGTCTTACAGTTATGGGTAAGGCATTGTAGAACCTTATTCCTGCAACAGGAAAGCAGTTGAGAGTTAAATCTAGTCTAACTCAATCTCTAAAAATATTTTCATTGTTCCTAGTGCTATAATGATGAACATTATTAACCAATGGAAAAGCTGATTCATTGTTCTTAATCTCTAACTTAACAGGCATTGGTAAATAAATACATTGTGTACAGGCATTATACTGTAGCAGATAGATTATATTATATTGTAGCAGACAGCTGACATTCGTATTTGTAAACAGCTTGGTTAACCTCGCACCGATGACTGATGTGTTTTATTACGTTTATCATTGTTTTAGTGTTAAAAATCAAAAGTAGGCTAAGTTAGTGATATACGTGGTGCATTATAAGAAGATTTAAGTGGTTTTGAAGTGCTGGTTGATGATCCTGAAGAAGTAGGTGGTGATATTGATGTAAATTATTAGCCAGATTCCTAGCTATGGTTAGGCTATGCATTCTTAGCTAAACACTATGTACGCCGAAATCAGTTTTTTGCCCATAACTTATTTATTTGCAAACCTACTTCCTTACATTATTATATTTTTGGAATCCTCATAAAATTCTGAACAAAGTGGCTATTTTAAAATATTTGTAGACCTATAAATTATAACAATATATTGAATTTTGAAATTTTTAAAATTTATTTTATACTTTTTGAGAAATGTTGACCCCACAAAAATTGTTTAAAATTTTTTTGTAATGTTTTTTAAGACCAAAACTAGAGACACTTGGAGGGTTAATCAGAAAAGAAAAATTAAATTATAAATTCTATAGGTTGTGTACGGGCCATAATTTTACCCCTGGACTTTAACTTACTCCCTTCACGACTTTTGCGGCCCGTTTTTTTACCCCCGTACCTATTTTACCCCTGTCCATATATAGTCCTATAGAATTTGGCGAGGAATACGGTACTTTACTTAATTTTGTACATGATACCTACGTGTTTTTATAGAAAGATGTTTTCAGTCAATTATTATTTAGGGCTTTTTAACTTAACTTATATTAGGGAATCGTTAAAGGAAAATTTAATTTTTAAAAATATCAAAATAGGCTAGTTCAAAACATTTAAAAAACTTAAAACCCAAATTTTTCTTTCTGTCACCGTGAAAAATATCACTAAAATAATTGTCATATCCTTAAGTTAGGCTAACTCAAATGGGATTTTATGGGAAATTTTAGTAGGTACCAACCTACACGAAAATAAAGCTCACATTCTAAGCTACAGGCTAGCAACAATTTTAACGTTCTCCAGCAATGGCTGAGCTCATACTGAACTAATGTCGTGGGGGTGGCCACTACTACATCAATGACTAGTCAATAGGCCTAGTGGACTACATCAATTGATGTAGTCGCGCCACGAGCGCTCCTATCGGCCTACATAAATTGATGTAGTCAGCACTGAACTTGTTAAATGGTTTCCTCAAGATTTAGAAGATTTACAGAAGAGTGTGTACAAGAGTATTGTCATCTGCATAGCAAATGACCCTACTTCCACGTGATAATCACAATGTAGAACAAATAAATCAAAACCAGCTCATAGTTCTGCCTAAATGTGGAATTTCATTTGTTTGGATCAGCTGTCTGAAATTGTGGAATAAGCATGTGATGTCCTGGCCATCTGCTGATCTGTTCACGCCTAGACCAGTCTTGCACATTAGATGATCTTTTACAAGCGAATGACAAAGCCATATCGGTAACAAATTTTTGGAAAAGCGAAGTCTGATTTCCGGACACGGAAAGTAAGTAGGCCTACAGTAAGTAGCATGTGATAGTTCTGTATCAAATGTTTTTAAAACTTATTAAAAAATTCTTATTGTTTACAAAATTAGCCTAACTATCCTTGCCAATTTTAAGCCAATTTTAAATAAATTCGTCTGGTTAGGGGGGAAAAAATTCCAGACTTTAAAATTTAACCAAGTAATGTGCTGTACATTTGTATTAGTAATGCACCTACTGTATTTTCAGGCATGCCGTATGGCGCAAGGAAGCCAAGAAATCGAGAAGAAAGAGGATTAGGACTATGTTAGCTGTTGCCCGTGACAAAAAATTATTGGAAGGTAAGCGATAAGCGAACCCTACCTACCTGCAGGGTTTGTCTACTTATCATTGCAATTAATTGTCTTTTTTAATTACCATGTTAAGCAAGAGAATGTTGTTGGCCCTAAAACAAAAATTGTCTTATAAAAGCCCATTTTAAATTTTGTTTAGGCTACCATACCATACTTTATTGTTCTTTATCGCAACACAGCCGTTATATCAGAATTTAAAACTAGTTTAGCCTGTACTGTTAAAAATGTTTATTTATTGTACAACTTTATAGAACAAGAAAAACGAGAGAAATCACCTACATACATAGCGTGGCTAGAAGAGCAACGTGTGTTGGAAGAGTTTAATGCTGCTGAGGAACAACGTCTTGCCATGCAGAGACAGCAGCAGTTTGATGCAGCAGAGGAGTCAGCTCTCTTGCGTTGGAGAGAGCAGCAAAGTCGCCTGGCACAGGCTAAGGCTGAAAAATTTAAACGGGAGGTTAGTGCTTGGTGTTTGAATCAAACAAAAGAAGAATATTAATGTCTTAATCATCTATGTCATCTATTTTCTTGCTGCGTCTGATGGTTCTCTTTTCTTGTTATTGCGTCCCATTGAGATAATCAAAAGGCGTGAAATAATATCTAAATTGCTGTAGGCCCTAATCTTGGGTGATAATTTCGGATTTTGCTGCAATCGGGTTGATTACGATCTAGCTGTGATTTGATCAGATATTTTCTCTCGCAAGTAACAATCGGCAGATATGATTGCAGTCTTTCAACCAATTTGAATTAAAAATCACTACGCTCATAAGCCTATTTAACCAAACTAAAAACAATATGAATGTCCCCAATATTCAATCACAGTGGCTCACTTTTTTTTATTTCATTCGTGTATCACTCACTATCAAAGCTATTAGTTATAAATCTAAGTCTTTGGGTGATGACCGCGTTGTTGAATAAGCTAAACCAGAGGCCGACATTTTGGATGCTTCAACTCTTCCAGGTTAACTACTTTTCACAGAATTAACTTCAAGAAGTTCTGTTGAATAGTGGTGTACTCTGAAGATGTAAGCTGTTACACATCCGAAATGTCAGCGTCTAGAAGCTTATTCAACGGCGCGCGGTCATCTTCTGAAGACCTAGATTTGATCATGTACTGTTACGATGGACAGTGGCGTAGATACGACCCCCCCCCCCCCTTGAACCTATGATTATTTAAAAAATTTTAATAACATTTAAAAAATAATGTTTCAACGTATGCAATGAAACAGTGAATATTTTTAATATTACTTCTTTTGTATTAAGCTTGTTTTTCGTAAGTATACTTTCAATATTAATAAATCATAAATAAACTGCAGTGGCAGTAGCATGGTTTTTGGGCGCAAAACGGAGTAGAGTCGCGGAAGGTCTTGCTTCGCTGGCAGTGCATAAGAACATACCGTTGTCGCAAGTTGAAGTAATGGATGAGTTGGCAAAGAAACCGAGAAGAATTCTTCTTAAGTAAATCAAAAGATGACTTACACAATCAAAAACGTGTTTTCTTGGTTATTTTTTAAGTATTAACAACAGATTTCACTTTTCCGAAACACTTAAAAACAGTGTTTAGAGAAGTTAATTTTTTTAATTTTCCAGGCTAAACCCCCAGACCCCCTTTGCCTACTGGGGGGTATTCCATACCCACCAGACCCCCCGGCATACCCCCCCTTGACATGAGTCCATCTACGCCCCTGACAATGGACACCTATTATCTAGATTTACCAACGCTTTTAGTTGTAATCCAGAATATCTTCAATTTTGCCACATCTACCCAACAATATTTAAAAATAAAATATCTAATCATAGATTGGAAGTAAATGTGTGTTTTCATAACTTCTTGCTAGTTTTTACAAGAACAATGTTGAGAGCAGAGCTACCTGTTACAATAACCTACCAGACAGTGAGTTAAGTAATTAGATAATTCTTTTTACAATGATTAGGTAAAAAAATATGACGGTGGCACTATACAATTTTTTTCATGATTTACCAAGATTTTGTTTTTAGATGATGATAAAAGAAGATTGGGAAAGAGAGCAGTTAAAAATACAAATAGCGGAAGAAGCTCGTAAGAGGATGGAAGATGAAAAAAAGAGAAAACAGGTGAGAAATGTGATTTGTATTTCTTTTTAGTCAGTAAATACAAGCATGCATTTTTCATGGGCTAGCTTCTAAATCTAACTAGGTCATTTAATGACAGACCTAAGTTTTTTTTGTTACAATTACACATAGGCCTACAAAATTAGTTTCTCTAAAATGTTTGTTTCATAATTGGAAACATTATTTTCAAGCGATTTTTTGTTATTAAAGAACATAAAATTTACAAACAACAACAACAGTGAACCGCAAACAAAAACCGGCTGCTACAGCAATGACTGTGTGAAAGATAAAAATTAAATGCTATGACAAATTGAACACTCCTATATGTCTACTACACACTATTAATCTGAACATTGTTGGCTACAATCATTTTTCTTCAACCAACAATGCTGCTAGCTTAAATCTTCAAGAGGAGTTTACCAAGCTTCACCTTGTATCCTATATGACAAATGTCTAGGTGATACTCAGCAATAGTCTCTTAAGAGTCCTTGGAGCCTAGACGTTCTAACTCATAAAACGATTAAAGAACTACAAAGAAAATTTCCAGGGCTGTGCGAATCCAGAAATTTTGGTTCGAATCCGAATCCGAATCATAGCTGTACAGATTTTATCGAATCCGAATATTTTAATTAATCCCGAGTCGAATCTGGGTCGAATCCGAATCTCAAATTTACAGCCATTATCGAACCTGGATCGAATCCGAATCTGAAATTTAAAGCTGTTATCGAATCCGAATATTTAAACCTGTTCAGAGTCGAATCCAAATCCGAGGAAAGTCAGCAGTACCAATTTTCACATTTTTAGACCACATTTTCTGGGGCTGAAATAACTTAGGGAATTGCTTAAAAAAATTCTTGAAATGGGCCAAATAAAAAAGTTATAAAATTTAGGCCTACCTATTTGAAGTTTTGAAACTAAAAAATTGGGCATAAGTTAGGCATACCACCTAGGCCTAAGTTACTCGCTAAAAGTGATGGACTACCAATTTGTGTAGTCTAAAACATAGGCCCAGCCTATTATACATCTCGGTGTTAATCCTCCACACAAGCCTATGTCTGCATTACTATTACAAGTAACAACTAACACTGTGAGGTTAAGTTTACTGATAGCCAAGATAGGGTTCAAATGCGACCTACACTAATGTGCCTAAAACCTAACACCAAGTTGGTCAGGTTCCTAACATGAACCAGTACACAGCAAATCGGAGTGCACAAGTAGTTTTTTAGTGTCTAAAAAATTATATTGAAAATTATATTCAATCAGAATCTAGTAAATTTGAATATCGAATCTCAACTCGGATCTATTTCCAAGAAATTCGAATATCGAATCCGAACCCGGATCTCTTACCAGTAAATTCGAATATCGATTCCGAATCCGAATCCAGTTAGAAACAGTAGATTCGTTCTCGAATCCGAATCGAATCTCTAAAAAGATTCGGATTCGATTCGTTTTTCGAACTATTCGCACAGCCCTGAAAATTTCTAATCTCTCATTGATACCAATGAAAATGAATTAAAACATGTTTTCCAGGCGGAGCTTCTTGCTCAAATAGATGCCTTTATCGAGGGTCGAGCTGAATTACCTGAGGAAGTCAATGTGTCAACCCAAACTCAGCCTGGCCAACCGGATTGTCCGTTCTTCTCTAAAACTGGAGCCTGTCGCTTCAGAGACAGTTGTTCTAGGTTTGTCATGCATTGTAATGTTTATGTTTATTGAAGTAAATCCTATCTATATCTTGGATATTTTATCTATCATTTGTCAAACATCTTTCGATAAATTCAAATTGCCTGTACATGTAATATAGCCAATTGTGCTACTTGCTTTGTGATTGGAGTTGCTAAAAGACAACAAGTTCCAACTTTCAAAAACTATTTCTTTAATCCTTTACTATTTCTCCTTAAATTGAAGGTTACAATACCAATATCAATAGGGAAGGTTGCAATAGGGTGAAATATGGAGACTCAGTTTTAGATAGGCCTACTAATCCCTACATTACAAAATAAATAATACTGAGAGTTAACCTGTTTGTTTTTAGCCTGTCCTTATTTCTTTCTGGAATATTTCACCTTCCATAGGCCCTATTAGGGATGAAGGGAAGCCTGTAAATTTGTAGGTAAAAAAATGAGTGGATGTTAATATTTACAGGACAGTATTGGTTTGGAGCATTAACTTAACTCAAGTTTAATTCTTGGCTAGGAATAATGGAATTTTTTTCTTTAGGAATCATGTACGCCCCGGAATCAGCAGAACATTACTCATACCTAACTTCTACGACCATTTTGGGCTGACGACTCTCAACCAGGATGAATATGATACAGACCTTAGCCTAGAATATGAAGAGTCTGAAACCTACCAGCACTTCAAGTAAGTTCTTTTGTTTTCAAACTGTACAGGTTAGAAATTTATGGACGTATAAAAAAATTTTAAATTGGGACTTTCGTTGCACTATAAAGTCTGCTAATTTTACGTAAGTACTGTACGTTCTTAGGTTGAAAGTTCTTTAGCTTTAATTACTGCAAGCTGATTTTATTTGACAACAAAATCCTAAAGTTTCTATTACCGATTATTAGATGACAGTCTTTTCAAGAATTGGAAAGTTATTCGTGAATTTATCAACACAAGATGGGCTTTAAACTTCTCATGATTTTGTCATAAACAATCAATACTCATCTACTCCTATTTTATTTATCTTTACACAATATTTTAGGTTATAATAAAATCAAAAATGTATTACCGGTATTTAAATTTTCTCACTTTTTACTCTGATTCTGATTCCTTAAAATGTATTCTCAATTTTGGTTCACTAATTAATCCAAAAATACAAATATAAAACTTAAACTGCTATTTTTCATTTCAGTAGCCTAATATAATCAGTACCGTAACATATGAACTCTTAAAAATATGAACAAGCTTTTTAACTTAAACAGAGTTTTATCAAAAAATATTCCTTTGCTTATTTATTAGGCCTATTAAAAAAATGTTCTTTCAGCAAGAAGACAAAGCCAAGAAATTACATTTAAAATATGTGTCTTGTTAATAAGATTAAGAATAATTTATTCCATTGATATTTTTACAAACAAATAGGACATGTCATACATTACAAAATAATCATCTAAATACAATCAAATTTCCGATACATCAAAATATTACATAAAATACAATTAGTTAGGCGTAATAACTTATTTTAATTAAAATTTAACATCAAAATTGCACTTGATAAAGTCACTTGGGCTGTAAAAAGGATTTTGAATTAGACAATTATAAATTCTATTTTTAAAAATCAATCTTAAATTTTTTATTATTTTCTAATTTTTATTATTGTATCAGAATTAATTGTAATAAGAATAAATAAATAAAAAATGTATGTAGGGTCCAGGCATTTTGACAGTAACATTTAGAAAATACACGGAAAATATGATCAGTTTGCGTAATACCAATGAATACAAACCTTATAAGAAGAGAAATGTTTATGTAGAATAGTCAGATCTCTCTAAGCCGATTCTTTGTCAGTCAGCTGACTTTGCCGCACGCTCCCGATAGCAGCACCTTCACTGCCTAGCGGACTGTCCGAAATTCAAATATTCCCAACGGAATTTTTAACATAGGCATTGCGCTTCGTATAAGGTATGTATTCATTGATAATACAGCTGGGTTTCCTTTATTTTATCCTATTCAGTACAAACAGGTTGTAAAAAAATTGGTGAACAAAACGCAGAATATTACTCAATATTTTAGAGGATACTGTATTACTCTATGATGCTATACCGTAAGACTGCATTGATGACTGTATTATTTCTAGCTATTTACCTGGTGTTACAAGAAACAGTTAAAATCGATGGAATCAGGACCAACTTTATGTGATCAATTCTTGGTTTTGTTACCAAAGCTAAATTAGCCAAAACCAACAATTTATATTTTTGGCAACACCTGTCTCTATTCAAAATATACCTTTGAGACTTCATAATATATAAAAAAAAACTTCTTGTGTTAATCTGGAGCTAAGCAACATTTTAGTGTTTCTACCACTCTATTATATTTTAATGATGCAGCTGTTTAGGAATGGTTTTAACATGTGACACTAGAATGTATGACAGTCCATTAATGTGTTGGTTGGTTCAGATCTCTTCCCTCGGCAGTGACGGGTAGACACCAAGCCAAGGTGGAGATCACTCCGTGTACATGCACCAGTGGTACAGGCTCGTAGTCACTCTGTATTCTGTAAAGAGAACAAATTTAAAATGTCAGTGTTTAAGTTGCAATTTGAAATCCCCTGTATCCTTTTTAGACAGACGGAACTGGTGGTTGAATTGTGATAGTAGCCTATAATACTCTGCATTAAAAAAAAATATATTATTTAAGTAAAAAATACAAGAAATAAAAATAAACCTAACTGTTAAAAAAATTGAAACATTTGGTAAATAATTAACAAAAATACCCAAGCTGGTCTTTGCTCCATTCACAATATTTAGGTGGTTATAAGGGAATAAATCTATTCAATATACCTTTAAAACAATAATTTAACAGCTAAGGTTTGCTAAAACGTCAATCAACTGCAACATATATATCAAGCAAAGAAAATAGAGGAACTTCCCTTCAAACCGCATACATTTTGTGAACGGACCATGGTTAAATTAAATAAATACCTATGAAATAATGTCTAAACAAACCACATGCAGCTACTGCGGTGTCAATATCAATTGAGCGATTCTGATTGACTCTTTGGAGATCTTAGATGCTTGTTGGTGAAAGCTGTCCTATGCTCACTCCTTACCCCCATATTTTACTTAACCCTCCAACTGGAAGTGGGTGAACTCTGTAGATGCGAGGGAGTATTTTTTTAGTTTTTGCAGTCAAATCTGCAAAAATTCATATAAATTAAACCAACAGAGTAAACCTGTTAAAACATATAGTGAATGGTTTGTAATGAAATGAAGAATTAGAAAGGGGCAACAGATTAATATTTACAACACCAGTTCTTAAAATTAAGTTGAAAAAACACAACAAAATTTTTTTATTCTAAAGTAATTTTGTTGCGTGAACAAAAGTTTTTTATGTAAAATTTGAGATACACAGAATGTACATAGAAATTTACCATCAAAAAGCTACAGACTTTTCTCAGGATCGAACCAGCGAACTTTTGATTGTCAGGCGAGCATTTTAACAACTCAGCCCATGATAAACTTTAGGAGTAAACTAAGTCATGAGTCATGAGTTTAACTTTGGGCCCATAAGTGAGTAAGGTTGGCAACTCCTGGTTCAACACACTAAAACTGTTAAATACAGAACTTATGATAGTTATTCTGTTTGTAAGATTGTAACCCTGGTTGCAAAATATCCACATGATTTTATATGTTTATTTATTTTTTTTTACAGAATGCCATTACATCATAAAATGGCAGGAAATTTGTCAATCAATGCATCATAATACTTAAATCTAAATAGTCAAAAATCCAAATAAAACAATTTCAACACTACTTAACCCTCCCAATTTCCACTTAAAAAATCATTTAAAGAATAAAATGTAGTTGTTGGTTCATGCTCCCATAGTTAATGGTAAGTGGCAGGTTCTGGTCTAGTACCCTTGATATTTGATATATCAATATAATAATCAACCTTTTGGGGGATAGATCCTAGGGTTAGCTGTAAATCTTATGGATGAAAAATATCCCTAACATATCACAGATAAAATTCCTTTAAAAAATCAACAGCTAACAAGTTGAGTCGAGCTAAATGAAAGCCTGACATTCTAAAATCTGCTTTTCCTAACAGCCATTTTAAAACTTAAATTGGAAGCTGGTGTATAGGCCTAGATACTTTGCTTTTGTGAGTAGCTATTAGCTTTTCTCCTTAGCTTAACTATTTTAGAGCATCCAAGATTTTTTATATTTTTAACTGAAGTTACAGTTTTTGTTTGTTATATTGAATGTGAAGTATCGTAGTATAGGATGTGCACCTATGAATTCTGCCTAGCCTTCAGTCCAGATTTACACACTCCCAAATAGACGTCAGTCAAAAAACCGCCCACAAGTAATGTACTTTAGTGTCCCCATGGCATCTGTCAATTACAATTCCTTTTAAGATTTTGATTTTTCGTTTTATGACGAAAGAGGTTCAATGGTGTAAGAGATCTTTTAATGTTTTTGATATAAACCACATCCAGGCTGTTCTTTAAAACCTAGCTTAGCCTAAGTTTGATCCTTAAATTAAACCAACAAACATTTCCTATATCTGCATTTGTTGATTTTTAAACTCAATTTGTTGCAGGGAGTTTTACAATGATGTTTTGCCGGAGTTTGAGCAGTTTGGAAAGGTTTTGCAGTTCAAAGTTTGCAACAATGAGGAGCCACATCTGAGAGGCAATGTTTACGTGGAGTTTCAGAGTCGTAGACACGCCCTCAAGGCTTATCGAACCTTTCAAGGTCGCTTCTATGCTGGCCGGCGACTCAACGTTGAGTTCACCACCATTCCGTCCTGGATAAACGCAGTTTGCGGTAAGTTATCATCATCATTACCAATCTAGCAGCTTAAGGCCTAAGGGTACGGTATGCTGTAAGTCACTCTTTCATGAATTGTTAAGTCTAGTCAAATCCTGAGCTGTAGATTTAAATAAGAGACAGTACTTTTTCCTGATATCTTCTCATTGAATTTAAGTCCCAAAATTCTGCAGACGATGACTCAAATTTCAGATTTCTTGGCAAACCTGTAGAGGCAGTACATAAGTAGCACAGAAGCCTACAAGTTTTAGTGCTGAGTAGATTCATTAGTTACTGGTTTATTGCCCTTGCCATTCGGACTTAATGCTGATTGCAGGCATTAAAGCGTAACCATACTCGTACCGGAGCGCTAAACAGTAGCCTAGAGTCAGTGTGTCAATCAGCACCAAAACCAGGATTTTTTTTAATATTCTTTAACAATTTATTTGTATTATGATTCATTATCTATGTATGGAAAATGAAGGGAAATGTATTACATTATGTATCAGTTTTATATTTGGCCTTTTTCACAATATCCCGGTATTTTTCAAAGTCAGCTCATTTGATGTACAACACACTAATTCGGAGCCTCCAACACTTTTTTTATGGCAAGATACTTTGTAATGGTTGCTACATTTCATGAGTCAGAAAATACAGATACAGACACGAATAAATACTTTTAAAGTGGTTAATAACATAATATTTGCTGAAACCGTGAAAAAACTATTTTTTAAAACTGTTCTTGTTCTTTTATAGGTCTGTTTCACCGAAAAAAATGTCCTAAGGGTAAGACGTGCAATTTCTTGCATGTTTTCCGAAACCCAAACAATGCCTTTGCAATTCATGATGGACACTCATCTTCGAGGCGCCAATTCTCTAGATCTCGCTCCAGAAGTCCTCAACACAGATCGAGGTAACAAACATTTGCTTTATTCAATGAATGTTTAATTTTGTTTGACTTATCCCTTACAAAGGTGTTTTAATAGTTATTTGTGTAACTAGTGGTGAAAGTGGCACTTTGCTGCACACGAGAGCAATGTTTACGCATGAGCCGCAGGCGAGTGCGGAATGATCTTGAGTGCAGCAAAGGCCTTTTTCACTCGTGTTACACATTATATTTTTCCTACAGTCACTATAAAGCATATAAATAATTAGTCTTTCAAACACTATACAACACGTTTTTAGGTTCAGCTGGCAACACAAATGGTGCACTAGAGAAAGTAGTACCCGCGGTCCGTATCACTCCGCTATTTTTCCTCGGCAAGAAATGTGCTCCGCGTTTTGAGAATATAGTTCTGTATGTTTTTTTGGAATTTGAAGTGGTTTCCGCGCCTAAAAAAAATGCTTTAAAGGTATTTTCTTGTTTATTAAGATCGTAGGAATGTTTTAAAAACGTTTAAAAGAAAAGACCAGAAAGTTCAGAAATACCGAAACTATAAACACAAAATGACAGGTTAAATCGTAGTTATAATAGTCAATCAGCTGCTCATAGTATTATTATCTTTAAGTGTTGCCAACTTATTTCCAAGCGTACACGGATTACGTGCATAATAGAACCACGCTGTTTTGTGTTGTTTCGTTGGAATCCTGATGTGCGGCAAAGTATAAACCGTACGGCAAAGTATAAATATGCAGCAATTAGCAGCTTTCTGTACCATAAACAGTACAAGGAAGCCAACTTTGTCGGGTGAATGTAGGAAAAATAAATTGGTGCAGTGGAGTTTTGAAATAACAGTAAAATTCCTACTATTACCATGCATATGTACAAAATTAATAGACCTGCATAGTATACATTAGTTGTTTTGGTAAGTTACATGTGCAATTCATTGGTGCACATTGCTTGATGCGTTCTTATTAGAAATGACTGGTTAGTGGTTAGTCATTATTTATTAGAAGTAAGTTATAATTATTTTTTTAAACCTCAAACTATTGTTTATGACGGTCTTCACATCGGTTTAATTCAGGCCTATATAAAAAAACTACACTCTGCTACCAATAAAAAAAATGTATATTGTATGTTTGTCATTACTTTTATTTTTCAAATGTTTATTTATAAAAACCACAACATTTTACAAAAGTGTATAACCAGCTGGAAAAGCCAGAAATTTTGGCTTGTCTGCAGCTTATAAGGAAAACTGGTTGTTAGTTTAAACAATAACTGTGACCTCAGTCACAATTTTGTCTTCCTTGTTTCTGGTGCACGTCTGCCTGACTGTTGATTCTACCTTCAAAGACAATTGTTAACCATAATATTAACAATTTTTTACTAAAATACCTATATGATGATCAATAATCATCCACAATAAATAAAGAGCATTAAATCATTTTTAAGGGTGCGCTTTACCTCAGCTCGGGCTTCAGTAGCTATGTTACACCACTGGACAGCGCTGCGAGAAGCGCTTGCAGAGGTATCCAAGATTACTGTTTTCGAATTAACCAATAAAGCTAGGGTTTCCAAGATCACGCCAGCGTGATCTGTCCGGCGTGATGTCTGTTGGCGCTAATTTTTGTCCGTCATATGTCCGATCAAGCTCGGCGTGAGAGTGGTTTGCATAAAAAGCGGACATTCGCAGTTTTTTCACATTTTTACAAGAATCCTCACAGAGTCCTACACTTGTCCGTTCGGCGTGCACGCCAGAAATGACTTGGGTCATTTCCAGCGTGCCACGCTCTAGACTCACGCCGGACAGATGGCGGGAAAACTCATGTCCGGCGTGATCGCTCGCGCTTGGAAACCGCACCCATATAAAAGCATGGCTTCAATTTAAACTTGATTACGTAATCACGCTTGTCCACTCACGCTGTCCGCCCGGCGTGATCTTGGAAACCCTAGCTTAATGATAGCTACACACTCTAAACGGCTTATAGTAATGCAAAGACCAATCTATAGTTCTTCGTTTTTCAAATTTTCAAATAACGTTTTTTTAATAAGTTAGGGCTAGTTGAAAAGACCTTTTTCTTGTCTTACAACTCAATTTTATAAGGTGTGTATTGAAAATAATTGAGATATAGAAACAACAAACTATAGAAAATTTCATCCTCTTTAATATTAGACCTTAACTTTGATTCTACCTTCAATTAGCCCAGTCAAATGGTGTTTAAAAAGGGCTCAAAGTGGAAAGTTCTGGTGTAATTGTTTTTTATGGCTTATTTTATGTTTTTGGGGTTGCTGAACACGAATCTGATGTTTTCCAACAAAAATTATTTCGGCAAATATGAATTAATTCATAAAAAAATGCTTTATTTCTAGTTTTTGGCTTACAACTTTTAAATTATAGGCCAGTAAAATAGGTTTTTGCCCAGAAATAATTCCTGGAAAGCTGGAGATCATTTTAATCCTTTCTATTTATATAGAAGTAAAAGGATTTGAAGTTTGTCCCATTTTCCAGGTGAGCTTCTGACCTGGGACCACAAAAACCTTGAAATTCAGGGTTATTTTATAAATTTTGCTAAAACGTCAAAAAACCGTCTAGCCTACAAAAAAAAAAAACAAAACAAAACAAAACAAAAACAAATCATAAATGAATTGTTGAGCATAAAATTCCGCATACATTTAGTATCTGGTGATGAAAATCGAACCATAAGTGATTTATAATAATATAAATAAAGTTATTTTATTTAGAAATTATTAAACATTGAATACCGGTATTTAACATTTATATTACTTCCAGAAAATGGATACCAAGCACATTATCATTTACAAAGTAATAAATAGAAATTACAAAATACCCCCGCCGCAGCAAACCTGCAGACTAAGCGAATTTTCACTTCAGTGAAAAGCTATTGCTCCAGATCAGAAAATAGACAGACTTAAAAGTATTTTACCCGCTCATGCAGTTGGGGAGATGGGAGTTTGATTCCTTAAAACGTTTTTAAAAAGGAAATTATCATGGGCTACAAGATATATAGATATAACAGTTGTGGATCTCAGCAACTTATATACTTCAAAGGATAATGACAAACCCTCTGTTGTGGATTTGATGTGGATTTTCAGCAAGTGGAAGATGTGTCCGACATTTTAGGATGGGGTGGATTCATGAAACAAACTACAAATAATCTCCCTTTTCAAACAATGTTCGTAGCTTGCTTGCCTTTTATTAATGCCCTGCCACCTGATTACAACATAATATACACATGGCCCTGTGTAACTTCAGTGCTACAGTGCAAATCTGCTAATCAACAAGCGACTGTGTACACTTTTGACCAACAAGTAGTTAGTCTACAAAGTGATTATTATTTTGACAATGTCATTATCAGAATAGGTAGATTCCACCTACTTATGTCCTTTCTGAAGACAATATGTTACATCATGGATGTTTAGTACAATATATGCACTGCTTTCAATAGAGATTCTGACTGGACATGCCTATTCAAGAGCTGATAGAGCACATATAAAAATGCATATGTTTTGCCCATGCATGCTTGGCAAAACTTATTTTGTAAAGAAATTGGAAACTATGTTTTCTGCTCGGCTCCAAATTTTAGCTCATCATGGTGCTACTTCTAAACTTTGGAACTTTGAGATGCTAACACTTGTTAAACTATTCATAGAAGCTGAAAGATAGGCGAACTGCAACCTTCACCTCAAAGTTATTTATCAGATGCTACCATATTTCCATGCAAGCGGACATTTCTTGTATACTAAGTGCTGTAATCTGTACCTCCAAGACGCACTCGTTGAAAGACAAAATGAGCCCTGAGGAATATTAAAAGTTTATTGGTGGTGGATTTACCATTCAAAGGACCAACATGTTCTGGAGTGGATCATGGACGGACATGTCCATAGACCAATCTCTTATGAGAGTAATGAAAATTGCTGGAGCGCTTACCCATGACCGTGGTGTAAGTGAAGGGTTTCTGTGCATATGAACAAAGGAATGACTTCACTACAAAAATTTGTGAAGAAATGGAGAAGATGTGTGGAGTGACAGAATCAGCTCTGAACAAAAAGTTAAAATGAGATAAGCTAGAATCAAAAGAGATGGAAATGATTTAAAAAAGTTAGATGATTGATTTACGCAACGTAAACCATTCGCTGATGTCTCTTAGCTCGGGTGTTGTGGGAGACAGCAATATAAACTGCCACAAGGCTAAGGAGATTGGCCAATCGTGGGAAGTGATTTTCAACAGGCAAAGTTTTACAGAAAAGGCAGAGTTTTGCCACTTTCCACAATGATCCACTCCCTTAAAATACATGATGACCTTAATCGTGCCTATCAATCCAACTACTATTTTTACAGAATGACAATTGCCAAGCAGTCTGATGAGAAACTTGAAGGCTTTATGAAATACGAACTATGCCCGTACCCAATGCCTCTATTCGATGACTTTGGTATCAGGAAAGAGGCCAAGTCTGCATTATGTAAAGCATTCACACATACTGAAGATCCAAATCTTAAAAGGTGTTTTAGGCGAAAAAGAACCTGAAAGTAGCTCTACAGAAATCATGGTACCGTTGGCCAAGAAGACTCGGAGAAATTAAAAATCTTAACTTAATCAAAGTCATTTGTATCTACCATTATGTTGGTGTTCATGTATTTTTAAATTAAAAGGGTTTAATATTTATAAATAAAACAAAATTTATGGGACATTTTACACTTTTACATCCTATTATAACCTGGAGAAGTCATAACAGAAATTAATTTGGCTTTTTTCCTAAATCAATGAGTTTTGCAGAACTTTTAAATTTAGTTTGATTAAAACTTCTTTGTTGTAGATAAAAGTTATAGAGACATAAACTGTAGAGAATTTTATGCTCTTTATTTTAGTATCGGATGATATGTGGGAAAAATTATTATTCGATAAATTATGAGCCAAAAACTAGAAAAAAATACTATTTTCATCCTATTTTTCAAAAAAATTCATACTTGCCGATAAAATTTTTGTTGGAAAACTTCAAATTTGGATTCAGCACCCCAAAAAACATAAAGAAAACAAAAGAAAACAATTACACCAAAACTTTCCATTTCAAAACACCATTTGACTGGGCTACAATGTAGCAAGTGCAAACAAATATCTTGCAAACCCTTGCATTTGGTGGCACACCAGGGGTAAAGCCTTAACTATAACATTATAGGCCTAAGCAATTTAAGCAGCAATATTTAACCAGGTTTGAAAAGATTCATTAAGACAATATAGCTACAATAATTTTCACATGTATCATTTTAACTTCAACATTAAAACAGAAAAAAATTGCTGTACAAACTCGTAGCCTGTTTGTTACTGTCTTAATTTGTAATTTATTCCTTTACCAGGATAAAGTAGGGTTGAGGGTTCCCGGATTTACAAAAACTTGGTAAATCTACAAAATATTATTGAACAGGAAAAATAAAAAACATTATAAGGGAAACATCTCTTTTTGATTCTACTTTCACTTCTCGTAACACAATTTTGTCTGCAATTGGAGCATTTTATTGCAAATGTATTGGGTAGGGTTATGACCTTGAGTTGGCTGGGCGTAGATGAGTGATTTATGATTTCTTTATAAATATATCCTACTGCGCTGCTTCCCTCTGAGAAAAAGGATCCTGCAGTTTAACAAAAATTTACCTACAGTTTGATACAAAAAAAATGACTTGTGTTGGGAATTATGACTGTCTCCGTCAGCGTTTGATTTTACTTATTGTTCCTAAAATGTGTCCTGGTTAAGCTGCAACACGATTAATCGGGAGTTGAGTGTAATAGAGTTACACACCTGTTTTGTTTTTGTTTTTAAAACTTATACAAATATTTTTTGTTTAAACAGGAGCAAAGACTTGAATTGGTCAGACAGTTCCGATTCAGAAAATGAGAAGAAAAGAAGAAGAAGTCCCAGTGGCAGCAAAAGTAGGATACGATCAAGAAAATATGAATCTGATTCCGAAAATAACCAAAGAAGTAGAAGTGTAAGTCCCAAAAGAAGCAAAGCTCGTTCAAGAAAGCGATCAAGAAGTCGTGAAAAAGATAGAAAGAGAAGAGAAGGTAAAGAAACCAAAAACCACGAATCAAGATATAGGAGTTCTTCAAGAAGTCCACATCAAGATAAAAAGTACTATAAAAATGATAAGCGTGATGATAGAAGAGCAAAAAAAGACAAACGTGAAACAGTGACAAAAGAAAAAGATGAATCTAGTAAAAGAAAGAAGTATAAAGAAGATGACAAAAAGAGGATTGAAAAAACTTTAAGTGGTAGTGGCAAAAAACATGCTGATCCTAGGAACGGTAAAGAAACCAATGGTAGACATGACTTGAGCAAACATGAAAAACAGTCAAAAAAAGATAATGATTACAAAAGAAGTGACAAGAAAAGTGAAAAAGAAGAGTACAATAAGAAACATAGGAAACATAGTGAAAGCTCTGATTCATAGTCTAAAACAATAGTTTTAAAACTAAAATTAGTTTTCAAACATGGCAATTGATATGTACAGATTTGATTTAATACAATTACCAACTAAGGTCCTTTCAAGGCTCACTTTGTAATTTTAATTTTTTCATTGAAGAATAATTTTTGTTTTGAATAGCCTAATTGTATAAATATCGTATGTGTAGAAACTTTAATTAAATATATTTTAATTAGATTTTGTGTTTTTCTCTTGACGCATATATCATTATTCAGGGTTTTAAGAACGATCTTAAAGACTGTGTGACACAGTTAAATAAAAGTCATTTTGTTTTTGAATTAATTTAATTTTGATTTTACCACAGAAATGCTAAAGAAGTGTGATAGGATATACTTAAATTACTTTATTAAGTATTAAGTACCCATTTTAATACTTTTTTTATTGAAATATTCACAGGCTTAAAGAACCAGGGACCGAGAATTGCTTGTGGTGGTGTTTAATTTCTTTGAGAAGTTAAAAAAATTAACATAAGCCTACATATGTACAACTTCCATGATATTCTAAAATATGTAATGAAACAAATTATGCTCAAGTGTTTAACTACGGAAGACAAAAAATTTTGTTTTTATTGACTAAATCCCTATTTATAATTATATATGAATAGGGAAGTTAGCGGTAATAAGAAATATATCAGGGATTTATTAATGTTAACGGGTGTATCAACATAAGGTGTTCTTGTTGATATGATAGGAAAGTTATTCTATGTAATGAATTGTCTGCCTTTTAATCTGGTCCAAACTGTCAAAGCTTGACAGGGGCATAGTTGATTAAGATAAATTAAATGCAGAAGTCATCGATAGCACCATAGAGAAGTAAGAAACAGAGGATGCATTCAACATTCAATGATTCAATGGTACGCATAAGTGGTGCCTAGCACCAGTTTGTTGTGTCTAGAGAAAATTCTTTTCGTCTTTCCCTTCCACTCTCCTTTGCCCCCATCATCACGTACTACAGCGATCACACAGTAGGAAGACCCTGTGTGCTACAAATGCTGTACATATGCTAGTTGGCCATCGCTGTTTGGGCTTTTTCCTTGCACGATACTAGTACATTTCCGCCTCAACATAACAGAGCTAAAAGCGCACGGTTGTCCCATAAGCTTGGATCCTCTGTATAGTACTTCTCTGTGATAGCTCCAACAATTAACTGGGACCTGTGGGAGACTACTAGAATGGATCTAGTTCTCGTCTGGTGCTGTTTTATTAAGTAGTTTACCAGTTCAATCCTAAGAAAAATAGTTTATTGTTCATTTTAACCTGGCCCAGCTGTCTTTGATTACTGGGCATTAAATAAAATATAAATTATCATGATCCTAGCCAAAGAAACAGTTTTTCTTAGTTGGAAATCTGTGCTAGACATTTGACTTTATTCTACTTCACTCATTTTAAAGTTAAAATACAAAGACTTTATGACTTATGTTTCAGTGTATTGAAAATTGATAACGGAAGAAAAAGGAGAATGCACAGACGAGTATATACATTAACAGTTTGTAAATATTTATTTTGTATATACAAATGACCATGAATAAAAAATGTCCATAGTTACTACTTTGGATTTTTATTAAATAAATTATTGTATGTATAAATATGAAATATATAATATAATATACAACAGACTTTTGTTAATAAAAAACGATATGTGATCACAAAGCTCTGAAAATTAAATTTCGCTTACAATAGTATGACCATTGAATCCTAGATGTTAACTAACACCAAACAAAATCTAACCCTATAGAATTATTGAGCCGTCATAATGCAGTTTTAATGTGTCGTACAAAGGATGAAATTGTGTAATGTCTTGGTAGTTAAAATTAACTTGGAATTGATATTGCTCTTCGTTACAGCAAATTGCAAGTTACCGTGTACACAACTATTTGACAAACGCATTGATAGCTTTGCGTGTCTCAGGATTACAAAAAATTAATTTTTACAAAACATTGAATGTTATACAGACCACAAGAGGAGCTGGATTACTAAGTCTATTGTAAATGTGAATTACATTCAACAAACATTTGCCTACTAAATGCATTGCATATGCATAATAAGTCTTAACTCTCAATCTAACAAAACAGCAAAATACTTCAGCATTTCAAAAGTAACTTACTAGTAACTGAGGTAAAAGTCTTAACATAAACTAAATAATCCCATAGTATCTACATAGAATAAAAGTAATTTGATCAATGATCACAGAGAGCGCAAGTCCTTAACACTGTTTGAAGTTTGTGCATTTGCAGTCATTGAACAGTGCATTGAAATATCCTATAATGGCAGTTAAGATTTAGACTGACCAAGTTTTGATCATTAATTACTATAGTACAGTAGACTCCCTCTTATCCGGACACCTTTTAACCGGACATCGGTTTAACACTACACTCGGCGGAAATGACATCTCTTTAACTGGACAATTTTTATCAGCGCATTGGTTTAACCGGACTAGATCGGCAGGAAGTGGGCGGTACTGAAACGACTGTTTTCGTGGGAATGATTTGAGACCAGTGATTACGTGTCTAAATACAATGCTCTCCTAAATTTAAGTCAAATACTGTATAAGCTTACAGCGTGCATTCAAACGGTGCGTTTTAACTAGTTTTTTGGGGACATCGGTTTAACCCGAAAAACTGTTATCCGGACTGGCCTTGGTCCCTAGGAGTCCGGATAAGAGGGAGTTTACTGTATGTGTATTTGCAAATGCAAAATAACAGTTGGATCAACTTGAAGATGAAATATCAAGGATAGAAATCATTTAATGTATTTCTAGCTATAACTCTGCTAATTTTCACTTCCAATAATAATCTGTACCACTTAGACCGTAAACTGACTCCTCAACTTACGAGGCAACATGCATTCATACAAGAAAAACAATACTTCTAATCTAATTAGCATATTTAATCAACTGTCTAAATCACTGTTTTGTAAGCCATGAGGCAGAAATAGTTCTTTGATGGATTATCACAGCCAGATTATCTAAAGTAAATGCTAAGTTAAGGTAGAACTCAAAATGTTTTTTGTGTGTTTCTTTTTTACGTTTACATACGGGCCAATGGAATTTTTACGTTTTGAAAGGGAACAGTCCAACTCCAAAACCTTAGTATGTGATTGTAATGATGGTTGAAAACCCCCTCTTTCCTTATGGGACAATCACATTTTTGTTTTAAAAGTACGTAGTTTATATGATTAAAGTATGAGATTCATATGGACTAACATTTTGATTTTAAATATATGCCACTTAACTTATAAAAACCAAATGCAGCAATCACTTTGCTATGATCTGTACCCATAATTATCCACATATAGCCTTTAAAGGCCAAACAAAACTGAAATTGGAGTTTTTGCCCTTAAAAAAATTATAGTTCTTCATGTGATGGCTTTGAGTCTATTTCTGAAAGTTGAGGGCACACACAATTCTTATTTTCTGTTTGTGGAACCTTTTCCATGCCTTCACGGACCTCGACATTTCCTTGAAGTCTTCTTGCCCACTCCTAGAAATAAATAATTACAAAATAAATCAGAGCTTAAACATTTTAAAGTTGAGACTAAGGTGATATTTTCAAAAGCTATGTTAATAGAAATTACTTTGATAACGTTCAGGTTGGAGACAATTTCTGTCAAATCTAATAATAACACTGAGCACTAAGTCTGGACCTTATGTTCAATACAACACTCCATCTAAAAGGTAACATAACACTCTCTTACAAATAAATCTGCCCAGGTAGGTTTTAAAGTGACATTTTCAGTACTAAAAAATAAAAATTTAAATTGTGAACTAAATAAAACTAAGTCAATATACATACTTTTAAAAGTACAATGTGGTAACAGAAGATATGGTCTGGTAGTAAATTCTCCCTTGCATATTTTTGTCCATTTACAGCGATTTTGTGAGCTTCTTCATCATTGTCTAGTGCCCATTGCACACGTTCAACAAGATCTGAAAGGTCTCGTTTCACTGGGACATAATGTTCCCATGGCGTCAGTTCTCCATAGAAGTGTTCATAGTAGTGAGAGTCTTGTTTGAGCACTAGGGAGCCACCAGCCAGCAAATAAGGCAATCTGTACGCTGCCACTGTGCCGTCTACTGACACTTGGTACCTGTACTGAATTATGGTAATTTTAAATACCAGTTTGTTAGATACAATACAATTAACTACAGTTGCCACTCGATAAATCCCATAGAGAAATAAGGTACAGAGAGAACTCACTTAAGTGGGAAAACCAAACACTTTCAGCCTTAGTATGTTGGAGCAGAGATATACTTGTGACGAGCAAGAAATAGCAAGAAACTGAGCGGAAATTCCTATCACACAAGGCACAGGGTCCTCCACCGTGAACATTGTAGTACATGAGGGCTAGGGTTGGACTTTGACCTAAACACCAGCGGTACTGCTAGACTACTTTAGCGTACCATTGAATAATAATTCAAGAATTCGACACAATAATTCAATTTTCTCTGTAATAATTCAACACTTGACATTGGACTTGGCACTCTGTAATTCAAAGACATAAAAAAATGCCTAATCTTATTAATTTAAATAAACCTTTATTAGAGGAGTACCGGTACTAAGATTCATTCAATTAGATATTCTTAGCTTGGTTAGGGTAAGTGTAGTGTTGTTTGCAGTATTCAAATTGTTGGTAATCACAGCCCAAAAGTGTCTTTTAATTGGTACGTTTGGGAAAAGGGGTAGCGGATTTTTATCCCCCTGGAATTTTACCCCCTTGGCAAACGAGACGTCACAAACCAGGGGGCAAAATTCCGGCCGCAAACTTTTGAGTTTTGCGACATCAGCTCGATGGATTAAACGCGGAATTAAACATATATTTTCACGGTTGTGAGTTTAATCAGAACACATCAAATTATAAAAACCTAGAATGTACGTCCCGGATTTTTACCCCCGGATTTTTACCCCCGGAATTTTACCCCCCGGAATTTTACCCCCTGGCCAGATATAAATTAGTGAGAATGATTAATTATCGTCATTCAGTTTTAATTTAATGGTAAACATTTTATTATTAAGTAGCCTATCTTAATTTATATGTAACATTAACTAATCGAACAGGGTTTTAATATTAATTATGAGATTCGAGTGTCAGGATTCGATCTTTGAAGCCAACTGTTGGTTAATATGATCAAAATAAAACAGCGAATTCTGTTTACTTAGTTGAGATTACAAAATAAATAAATAAAGATAGGCTACTAAATAATGAAATGTTTACAATTAATTAAAAACAGAAATAAGAAAATCAATCATTCAATTTCTAAAATCAGCCAGGGGGTAAAATTCCGGGGGTAAAAATCCGGCCCGTACATCTTCAGTTGCCTAAACGCTAGTTATATGGACAGGGGGTAAAATTCCGGTTTTTATCGCTAATCTAATTAATCACGCTCTGACTATTTTCATTAGACTTCCAAATCCGCGGGGGTAAAATTCCGGCCGCGAACAAACTTTTGGCAACTCAGGTTACTACGTCATAGTGACGTCAGCTTTGCCCAGGGGGATAAAATTCCGGCGACCCTGGGAAAACAGCAAGAAAGCCAATTAATTCCTCCACTCTCCAAAAGAAACAATATCTGTTTGCTGGTTTTTTAAGTTATTCATGAATGGAGAGAATTGTATGATATGGTTTTGTATTAAACAACATTTTAGAGTATTTTTCTATATTTATTATTTATGTTAATGATCTATGCAATGCTACTAAGATGTCCACCTTTCAATACGCAGATGATACCGCTTTAATTTGCACAGGACAAAACAATGAGTTCATTCAAACCTCAATAACTAAGGAATTTTAACTCCTTGGGGATTGGTTTGCAGTAAATGGCCTGTCCATGAATGTGGCAAAAACTCAACTAATTCAGTTTTCTGCATCCAATATTAACCAAGAAATAATTGTAAATAAAAGCTTAACTACAATTCATTCACAACAGTCAATAAATTATTTGGGAATAGAAATCGATTCACAACTAAATTGGCAAGAACACATTAAAAACCTATCAAAAAGACTACGTTCAGCAACATTTGTTCTCACAATAATTCGGGATACTACTAATCTAGAAACACAAATAGTAGTATATCACGCATATTTTTCATCGATTATGAATTATGGAATTACTGTGTGGGGCTCATCAAGCCAGGCCAAAAAAAATATTTATTCTCCAAAAAAGAGCTGTAAGATTAATGGCCAGAGTCTCCCGTACAACACATTGTAAAGATTTATTTATTAATTTTAAAGTTTTAACTTTTTTTAGCTCTTATATTTACAAATTGGCATTAATGGTTAAAAGTGATTTCGACACATTCATGGACTGTCAACAATCTCATCCACATAACACAAGATTCAAAAATATTATAAAACCAGTTCAACATAGGCTTAAAATCTTTCATTTATCCCCTCAGTATATGGGACCAAAAATTTACAATAAATTACCCGCTGGGATTAAAAACATTGCCTCATTCTCTAAATTTAAACTATCTTTAAAAAATTTCCTTTTAGAGAGGGCATTTTACTCGTTAGAGGAATATCTGGAAAATGAGTATATTTGAAAGATATTGCTTCTCCCATAGGTTTGTAGCTTATTATATGCTTTATTTCTTTTGTAAGCTATTTTATTTTAAAATGTAGTATTGTATTAGTATTCAGGGTGTCCACATTCTGGAATGTCAGGGATAGTCTTGGAAAAAAAATTTGGTTATTGAAAGTCAGGGAAATAGGCAAGAAGTCATGGAAAGTCATGGAAATTTCCAATTATGGATGGATTTGAGGGGACCATTCAATGTTCTAGTCAGCCGTAACCCGGACTGTTGTAGCATTTTTCAGGATTTTTCACAAATGTTCGACAATTCAATTTATTACAGTTGTATTATTTTATGAGTTTTCGGTTTGTTTTAGTTCATTGTTGTACCTATTGTACTCCATTGTTATCTGTTATTACATATTTCAGTATTTTCTGCAAAATGACATGTCCAGGCAGTATTATTTGTGTGTGTATGTTATATTATAATTTGTGTGTAAAGTTCGTGAGTCATGGAAATCAATGGTAAATGGTCATGGATAGTAATGGAAGTCATGGAAATTAATGACAAATTTTTTGTGGACACCCTGGTATTAGACTTTGTGACAAATCACCTGTCAAGAGAATTGATGTAATGTGATGATGTTTAATAAATAAATAAATAAAATACCTTGAAGAAATCAAAGAAAGAGACATGCTTTTCCTTAGGGCCATAGATGTGCTCGACATCTCGGAAGAAGAAGAAGTTTGTCATGGAAGCATTAAAAAGATCTGGGTGTTTCCTCGCAATCTCAATCAATTTGAGTCTTTCTCTGCTAGAGTCCCGACCTCTCCAAAAAGCTTTCTGTTCTCGTTCACTCCATGGTAGATCAATATTTCCCTGTACTGACAACATGTCCAAACTAACTCTGAAAAGAAAAATATCATCTTTTGGAAATATAATCATCTATAGTTAAACTACTTTTTCTTAGTTTTAAAACCTCTTTACAACTTTACCTTGATCTACCCAAGATAATCATGCTCCGACCTCAATAGCATAGGTACGGTAATTATGAATCGTTCCAATTTTTTGGAAGAAGTCAAGTCAAATAAATCTTTATTCAGACATACAACAATGTGTACATGAATGTGTCTTAATCTTAATACTAAAACCATTTTCCTGATCCATTAACAGCACCAACTAACATTAAAACCAGGCCCAATATTATGCCACATAACCTCTTCCCCTTCATTGCCATTTTTCACCGTGGTGATTTCGCTCTGACTATACTCATCTCCCTATTTGATCTGTGGCTGCCAATTCTTAGAGAGTACAGGTGACCGTATTTATCTGTTGATCAGTCACAGAGCCCTTTACATATCAATCGGTCAGTATGAAATGTACAATATCATTTTTCATTTTTCCAGTATTGATTTTTTTTTTCAAGTAATTTAACACTTGTTTATCATCAAGCAACAATGTCAATCAGAGCCAAATAAACTCTACAAATCTTGAATTTTGTTGAAAAAAGTGGCGATACAAAGTAAACCTGAAATTATCTGAATTCTTGTGTTTCCAAAGCAGTTTTTCAATCAAGTTTTCCAATTTTAATTTTAAGGTTGTTTTTTACTAACCTCGTCTAATTTAAGTTTTTAGATCAAACTTGATTAATACAAAAAACAGTTTCAATATTTTACCGATTTCTTTGGTATTTGAGTTATGTTGAAGTTTTACTGTATTTTAAAAGCATCACCTTAAATTAGAGTAACCTAGCCATTAAAATTAAACAAATGGATTTAAGGAAAAAAAATCATCATCATCTAAATATCTTGGACAATTGATAGAACTGAAAGTAGTTTTTGATTAAAAATATGAAAAAGTTAAGCTAAGCCAATGACAAAGTGTGCTGATATCAATTATTACCAATTTCTGTTCAATACACCTTTTCAACCCAGCCAAACTTAAAAGACTACTTATTGTAAACTGTAGAATCGTTTATACCATAACCAAACGTTCTATTTTAATGAAAAAATTGATATGGATGGTCCATTTAGATGGTTTAGTAACCAAAGGTCTATTGTGTCATACAAACCTGCCCATTGCTTCTAACGATGACTCTGTGATGTCATATGTAGGCATGACTATATCTAAAGACTGTCTTGAACCACACCAAGAAAACATTGGGAAAATCTTTTCAGCAGCCTTTTGCACCAACGGCCAATCTCCAAGGTTAACAAATATTTCAGTATCGGGCAACTTGACTTTGCGTGCCAATGATGACAGAGTGGCATCCATGAACATTTTGAATCCAACGTGTTGTCCATAGCATTTTCGATAGATCTGGAAGTCATTTTTCAAATTAACCATAAGTAGTAATGAGGGGCTTCAGCGGATTTTCCATATAGGGAATAAGCTATTAAGGTCTCATGGTGAGACTTTGACCAGGGACTGTTTTACTTCATCGTTTTGATGTTCCCAAAGGCTGAAAACACCATCCATTCAAATTAAAATATAGAATTTGCATCTCAATCATTAAAGTTTTACAGGTTCTAAACGTTTCCAAATTCTTGACTTGTACCAAATGGTGATCTAGTAGATGAAAAAGAATAAGAATCCTTTATTGTCAGACACAGAAGTAGTGTAATAGACATTGCGAAATCTATAAACTAAAAAAAGTAACAAGAGACATGAACATGATCACAGAGGATAATATTTTAAGAATCAAAATTTTTGTATTTACAAATTCATTAATAGTTGTCATTCATGAAAGCGGCTGGTCTCGGGGCTTCGGAACCTGAGGTCCCGAGCAAATGTATAAATTAGTAGGAAGATTAAAATTTCAGAGTAAAGAGTAAAGCTTTTTGAACGTGTTTTGATTTTGAGGATTAACTTTAAAGGAATAGAAAGCAGTATTAATGTAGGGTACCGCACCACCACTAATCATGAATCTGTAAAACACTAATTTTGGGCCCATAGTTCACAACATTATGCTATTAGGCAATCAGCATTACCTGGTTATTCCTGATAACGTAATTACAAACACTCATGCTGCCTGAGTTGTTTACGGAGCTCACAACATGGTCGTGGAATTCAGTAAAGTCAACTGTTGAGAATGGTTGAAGGTCATGTTCAATCTGGGCATAGCTTTTAGGGCAGTTGTAGTCCTTTAGCCATTTTTGTAATGAGGAGGGACAGTAACAGTCATCTGGCTGGACGACCCCTGTATTCAACAAAAACTTTTAAATAGCATTTAATGTCAACCAAGTCTTTGTTTAGATAACGATAGGTACCAATAATCATTTAGTTAGGGTTGAGGGTTCAAAACATTATGACATTTAGACTATCCTATACAAGCCTACTGTATGACAGGAAAGAGGTGAGAAAGGAATCCCCAGCTCTACTCATCTTATACTAGCAATTGTAGTAAACTACTACGACATCAACAATCGACATCAGCTCAAAGATTGTGAGGCTCTTTTTCTATAATTCCTCCAAGAAGAGTTGAAGTGGCTTTTTGAAGGTCAATGAAGTAGAATCTGCGAGGGGAAGTGAATGATTTAGAATAGCTAAGGCTAAAAACATTTAAAGGATAAATAATTATAAAATTAATTATGTGTTTTTTTATTATGTTATTCTAAACCCTTGTCTTGTCTAACATAAGTTGCTCAGCCATAAATTCACTATTTGCAGGCGCAGTGGCGGATTACCCATAAGGCACGATAGGCAACTGCCTAGTGGCCGCAGGTCTCAGGGCCCCAAGTTTACATGTGCCTAGGGGCCGCTGAGGTCATAATCCACCACTGTGCTAGCGTCAAAATCATTAAACTATGTTTTCACGAAACTCAAAATCCACTTTAAGACTTAGGCTTACATTGTTATCTTTCATTTAACATGGGTCTGTGGTCCAAAGTCTAGAATTATCTACATTTACTGTAGGCCTACCTACTAACCTTCTACTATGATTGGAGAGCCTTCAACATCATTCCCTTCATATTTTACACTTATTTCCATATCATAACAAGTTTCGTAAAGTTTATATCTTACAATAAATGAGCCATCTTTTCTATCTAGAATATTAGTCCAAACTCTGCAGTTTCTCTGATAAATGTTTTTGCCATTGATGTCCACTTTAAGATGTTCTAAAACAGGTTGTTCATGTCTGCTGAAATTCATCCAACAAATAAAATATGGTAGTTAATGTAGTAAATATTTATCAACATAAGTAAGTAATTTCTGACAACAATAGTTGTTCCTTTAACGTTGTTTGAACAGGTTGAAGTTCAAACAAAATCCACCCCTGGTGACAAACTAGTTACCTATAAGGTCTTACGTAACATCAGTCTGTTGAGTTTGTGGCAAAAATGCATGACATATGCTTGTTTACAGGACTTGTTTAAATAGTATAATTTTGCTAGGTAACTTACTAGGCCTAGTCCCGAAAGTGGCACATTTCGGGGCAAGATAGTGGTTTACGAGCCAGGCAAAACCGAGCATGGAAACAACTATCGAACCCCAAACTGGAACTTTTGTGACAAGTAAGTTTGTGAACAATAAGTTACTTTTCATCACAATGCAAATAATCACACAAGGCTTCTTGGTTTAAGTTAATAAAACAATAAAATATTAAGTAGGGCCCATGTACTTACTCTTTTGTCTAGTGATTATCTTTCAAGTTTTAAATATCATAGTGTTACAATTGATTAAAAGCAGCTGTCTAGTAACATATTTTATGTAATAAAAGAATAAATATGTAGCGTTTCTGTTGCACCAAAAGTAAACTTAATTTGTTTGAGAAAGAACAAAGTTTTTCTGGGACAGGCAACTGTTTGTTTAGGACAGGAAAAGTACCTATCTAATGTTGAGGACAGGCAAAACCATATGTTTTTTACGAAATTTTTTTAAAGCTCAGCTGTCCATACAGCTGAAACAGTTAAAAAAAAAAGTTAATCGGTCCCGGGTCCAGTACCTTGAGTACTACGGAAATAGCTTATTCCTCATCATAAGTTATGGGAAATTCGCTAATATTCAATAAATGGAACTAAGTAGGCCTACACTTAAACGAAAATTTATTTAGCTCACATATGAGCTATTTTCGTTTAAGCTTTGTTCCATTTATTGAATACTAGCTGTAACCCGCGGGCTTTGCCCCGTTTAACTTCTTAATTTTCAAGATTATCTCGTTCGCATGGCTCAATCACGTCCTGGTTGAAGTTTGTTCGCTACGCTCACTCACCTTTAGGTTGGAGCTCGTTCGCTACGCTCACTCACCTTTTGGTTGCAAATTAGCTGTTGTCATAAATGTAAAAGAAATAATAGTGCTGCACCCTGTTGGTAATTTTTGTAACTTTAATGCTATTGAACATCACAGAACAGAACCAACTTGTTTAATTGAAACAGCTGTTAAGATTCAATAATTTCATTTCTCATAAGGTTAACATGGGAAACTCCAGAGCCACTGGGGCGGAGCCCGAAAGGATTTTTGAAATAAGAATATGCCTATATGTTAATCGGGAATGTGAGCTATCATCATGCCAAATTTCAGCCCAATCCGACCAGTATTTTTCGAGTTTACTTTTCCCATACACACATACACACATACAGCAACCACCTCTTTTTTATAATAGTATAGATTTACTTAAAGTTAACTGTTTTTCAAACTGTTCCTTTTTAGCAAATTTCTCATAACTTATGGGGAATAAGCTGATACCGTTGTACTCAAGGTACTGGACCTGGGACCGATTTACTTTTTCGTTTTGAGGCCCCTAGAGGGCAAAAGTGCCCTCAATTCAAATTCATATACGGTATATATATGTGTGTCCGTTAGCGCAATAACTCAAGCAAAAATGAAATTTGGTAGAAAGATGTAAACCTACACTTATCCGAACGAGTTCGCGAACTCGTTAATTGGACTAATTAATTGGAAATAATTGGAATTGGAATTAATTGGACTATGGGAACGGGGGTTTAAGGGGGTTTTATGGGGTAAAAATAGATTTTTGACCCTAAAAATACAAAATTTCATAATTTCTCTCCAAACCATTTTGTAGAGCTTAAAAAACAGAAATACCCGTAACTTAATTTTGTATAGGTAGCAGCACCAGTTAGTCACGGACTATTTAGATGACATTTTTTAATTGAAACACAACAGTAGTGATCATAAATGTGTTCCTGAGACTTTGCTGCAAAACAATAGTTTCCCTAAAATGGCTTTATTACGATAACCTCGTCCAACTAAATCAAAGTTAAATTCAATATTACATTGTAAACTATATATGTCTTTTATTATATGAGATTTTGGTTTCAAACAATGCTATCAGAACATAAAAATGTATAGGAAAACCAGGAAAATTACAACAAAAACTAAGTTTTATTTAAAGTTTACTACAAATACCGGGATTTATCTTTGTTATATATTTTCTTATTATTCAAAATTAGCCTAATTAATAAAATAATGACAACATGAGAGTTAAAATTCAACAACAGGTAATGGAATTAAAAGGCAAACAAAAAAGTCTTACGAAATATGATTTATTGGCCTAGCACTGAAAGGGTTAAACATGATACCTATGTCAAATATAACTTAACACTCTGAATTTAATGACAAAATATAATGAGGGTTAAATAAGATTTTTCATAGCTCAAAAGCGGGATTTAACAGGATTTCTCAACTCAGTAATTGGGATTATATTTTTGGTGTATACACACCCAAGAATAAATAAATAGCCAAGGCCTACCTTTGACTCTTCTCAATGATGGTCACAAAGAAATATCTCGCTGGCATTACAATGCTATCAGGTTTTAGTCCTGGCCCATGTACATTGACTTTGTTTGGTTTACTGCTACATTCAGAGCTTGAAACGAAAGCTAGGCAAGTAAATGACATTCCAACTAAGTGCAAAAAATCCATATTGACCCACACAAGACCAAATAGGGCCTATATTTAAAACATAACCTATTAAATAAGTTACCGATATGTTGATATGGATGTTATACTGAAAAGTTATAGTCTATCTTCTTTCTATGAAAAAGTTATTCAAGTTAAAATCATATGCTTTTTAAAATTCATAAATAAATCTTAGAACACACTTAGCCTAGTTCAGGTTCAGGTTGAGATGTTGTCAGCATATGAAAAGGTAAACATACCATCATAACATAACCTCATTTTCAGTTCCAATCCAAAATGTAGTAAACAAAACATTGGACGTTTTTGTTTTGAACATAGCTTTTAGCGAATTTCCCTATAGGGAAGTAGCTATTACCGCAGGTGGCACGGTAAGACCTAGACCCGGGACCGATTTACTTTTTCATTTTGATGTCCCCAGAGGCCAAAAACGCCATTCGTCCAAATTTTTATATATGTATATATATATAGACATATATATATATATATATATATATATATATATATATATATATATATATATATACGTCCGTGAACGCGATAACTTGAGTAATTTTTGTCCGATTTTGACGAAATTTGGTCTAAGGGTGTAAAGCGGGATAAACTTGAATGAGTTCGCGAACCAGCATGATCGGACCATGGGAACGGGGTTTTACGGGGGGTTTTATGGGGTAAAAACTAGTTTTTCTCACTTTTGACCCTCAAAACACAAAATTTCCCAATTTCTCTTTAGACCTTTTTAAAGAGCTTAAAAAAACAATTAATTTAGTATTTAAAAGTATTTTTGTTCGGTTAATAGTAACGGAGAAAATTAAAAAAATTTTAAATTTAAAATTCCCATGTTATTCTTATGGAGAATATTGTCAAATGTTGTAGAGTGCTTGCTTATGGATATATTTTGTATTTTGATCAAATTTATTTATTTTGTACTAAGCTATCAATATGTTACAAAAAAACAAACTTTATTAGTTTCCTTGTAGCAGCAAACCTAGGTACTCGTTAAACCTAATGTTATTAAAATATATTTAATTGAAAATCAATTAAGACAAATGGAAATTCGCTTAGTCGGCAGGTTTGCTGCGGCGGGGGTATTTTCAATTTTTTTTTAAGGCCCCCAAGTGTGGTCTGGACTTTTTTCATGAAGCAAAGCTATAAAAACTTAGCTTATACATTTAAATTCAAATCAATAAAGTGCGAATGAATGGTTGATGTCACCTATCTGCCATGTTATTTTATGGGAGGGGCCAGGGGCAGCTGACAATAAACTAAACAACCCTTAAGCACGGGTCACACTAGGCTGTTTGCCAGCCGCTGGTAATCAGCAGCTGGCACCAGCATCACCGGCTCACCAATCCAGGCTGGGTCAGCTCAGTGTCAGCGGGAGGCCTTCTTTTAGGCAACCTTTCACCTAGGTACCATTTCACTTAAATCACATATCAAGTTGGTACAGACAACTCAACTCGGTCAGCTAGGTCCCGGCCCCTCCCTTCTGGGGGAAGGGCGTGGCTTCGCCGTGGTCACGTGTTTCGCGGTGCGGTCGCTTACCCTCTACACTTCTGAAAATTCCCGCGACTTCTTTGAATTACCTCTACTCCACCCAAATTTCAGCCTTCCTTCGTCTCGTTTCTTGTTCTGTTCTGCGTTTCTTCTTCTTCTTCTCTTCTAGATCTGCTGCTGCTGCTGCTGCTCTAGCTCGAGTTTGAGGTTGGATTTTGATTTTGGAGAATTTATTGTTTGTCAATTTCAATTGTCATACAAATTTGTATTTTAGGTGTGTATTTTCAATTTAGGCCTAAGTTACAACTACTACAGTTTAAAGAACCATTTTTGTCATCACAAAATGGGTGGAATGAGGTGGATATTGGGGACTGGGAGGACTGGAGTGATAGTGATTCAGGAGTTGAGATTTTGGATTTTGGTGAGTTTTTTGAATTTTAAACCCATATGGAAGTGTATCATAATTGCTACCATGTTTCCTCTTTGGTCCCGTAATTTTAAACTGTTTGACCTCACTGATTGTAACTATATTCCTATCCTTTGTTCGTCTGATTCTATTTTCCTCAATGTCCATTGTTCAAGTGTACCCAAATTAGGACTAAATACGAGGGCTACTCTTCCTTTCATGTTGAAGTGCCAGAACCACAATAATGATAGTCACAATAAGTGCCCATAGTCTGTGGGGACTTTAACATTGAAATGGCCAAGATGGAGGAACAAATCTCAATTAATTTCACGAACCTACTACGATCACTTGACCTAAAATGTAGTAATAAATTCCCTACAAGAAACGATGCCTGTTTAGATAATATATTAGTCAATTTTTCTCCAGATTTTTACAAAGTTTCAATTTTGCAAGGCGCTTTGGCCGATCATGATCCACTGCTTTTTAAATACCATAGACCTGCCTGCAAAAGCTCACAAAATGTAGGCCTATCTATTGAGCAGCCTAGTGTTCTTGTTAGGAAACAAAATAAACAAAATCTCAATCTTTTCCGTGAGGTACTGCAGAGCGAGTCATGGGAAGACATTACAGAAAATGAGAGTAGCCCAGTAACATTGTTTGATAGTTTTTTTGATAGGTTTGTTAACCTCTGGTACTATTGTTCTCCACCTGTTAAGAAAAAGCTTACAGTAGATCAGATAATAAGACTAATCTAGTGAAAAATAAAATCACCTATTATAGTGATAGTTTTAAAAAAAGTAAGGAAAATTGATTCTGTAAAGGCTCAGGCAGCTTATAATATCTACAATAGCTTAAAAAAACAGTACAGGAAGGATTTAAACCTTGCTAAAAAATTAGCCTGTGCAAAATACATCAACAATTCAAAGAACAAATGCAAGGCCGCCTGGGACACAATAACACAGGAAAATACAACCACACGCACATCTCATGTTACTCTTGACCCTAACAAATTAAACACATATACCTACTTTACAGATTCAGTTGAGGAACTGGCCAATCAAGTGGGCCAGACTCAAGACACACCAAGAGAACTACTGGAATCTACACAAAAATTGGACGTCTCTAAATTTGAATGGATACCTATTACACCAAATGAGGTAACAAAAACAGTCTCAAAATTTTCAAATTCTAAATCTATGGATCACTTTTGGCTTTCAAACTACATAATCAAGAATATTATACACTACATATCTACACCCCTCTCCACCGTATTTAATAGTTGTCTCCGTAATGGCTATTTTCTTGACCAACTTAAAGTCTCAAAAGTAACTCCAATTTATAAAAAGGGTGACAAGAATCTATGTCAAAACTATCGCCCAATCTCGATAGTACCAATCTTATCTAAGGTTTTCGAAGCTCTCATGTTAAAACAGTTAAATAACTTTTTTGACTCTAATAACTTGATGACTGATTCTCAATTTGGGTTTAGAGCTGGCAGATCAACTATGATGGCAGTCTCTCACATTTCCAATTATATTATTAATGCTTTTGAAAATAAAAATACTGTTTCCATGCTACTTTTTGATTTAACAAAAGCTTTCGACTGCATCCCGTTTGACATCTTGCTGGCTAAACTCAAATTCTATGGACTTAGCAAAAACACAATAGAAATGCTTGAATCATATCTGACTAATAGGAAGCAATATGTTAGTGTGGAGGGTAAACACTCAACATTGACCACAATTAAAGCAGGAGTTCCGCAGGGCTCGGTCCTAGGCCCTTTCCTTTTTATAATCGCAGTAAATGATCTTCCATGTAACACTCCTGTCGAATGTGTAATTTACGCAGACGATACCACAATTTTTACTTCTGATAAAGTCCAAACAAAGCTCTCATAAGCTCTTTCTAAAGCAGAAAAGAGTGTTTTAAACTGGTTTTCTGCAAATAAACTGATCTGTAATCAATCCAAGACCCAGAAAATTGATTTCTCACTCTCTATTAAACAATCAGACCACTCAGTAAAAATTCTTGGCTTCCACCTCAATAGTAAATTAAACTGGAAAACTCACATCACAAATTTGAGCAAAAAACTATCGAGAGTTTCATGTTTATTCTGGAAACTCAAGCCTTTTGTCGATATTGAATATCTCAAACTAGCCTATTTTGGGCTGTTTCAATCAATATGGAATCCAACTTTGGGGCCATTCCCCCCTTGTCCATGAGCTTCTACTAATACAAAAAGAAGTCATTTGCACAATGTTAGGGGCTGACCCTGCGGAGCACTGCAAACCACTTCATTTGAGTTTTTAGCATTTTATAACATAGCCTATACGTATTTGATACTCTCAGCAGCTGGAGTAGTGTGATTTTTTCTTTGATTATTGTGGCTTCACGTGACAGGTGGAGGTGGATGGCTATAACTTACAAGGTTACATGGTACACATTAAATTCATAATGATTTGCCTATTTCGGTAGACTGGCTTTTTCGTAGGCCTAAGCTTCATTGCTCTTTACAATTTCAAGAGATCTATTGTTCAAGGCGTCAATGGGCAACTAACCTAAGTTTATCGCCATTCTACCGCATTATAACCCACCCTACAGGGCCCGGATTTTGTAGGTAGCAAATGCGCAACTAACCTACCGCTTGGGCAACGGCCATCAAAACATTTTTATGTGTGATAATAAACCTTGTAGGTTAGTCTAAACTTAGTTGATACTACTAACAAAATAACTTAGCTATCTTAAAGACATCAAGTAATTAAGTAGGCCCATTTTATTGGTTGTTTAATAATCACTGATCACTATAGACTTCGTCTGAGACACATTAACTCACGGTATATAGGCTACTTGATCAATAGCGATATAGGCCTATTATCACAGTCACATTTTTATGCATAGCTTATCAAATAAATAGGCTCTATCACAGACGTTAAAATAAATAATAAGTATAGTTGTGCAGTTAAATAGATCAGGGGTAATAGTACTTGTTGTAATATGTAGTTATACTTCACCAAATCCATTTCAATGCATCAAGCAAAAGAGCTGTAACCCCATGATTAGCCTGGGCTAGTCTAATAATATTTTAAGACATTTTTATTTTATGATATTAAAAACATTAGGCTACACTAAGCTAATGAAATCTTCCCATAAACTTAGCCTACTCAGCTTTTAATTTTTGCATCGATTTTGACTGCCCTACCCGTCAATGAGGTTAAGGGTATAAGTTAGGCCTAACCTATACAAAATCCTGCCTTAATCTGAATGGGAAAACATTATTATTTGCAGATGATACAACGATGCTGTCCAGAACCTTTAGTATTATTACAGTTGTTCGGCATTTGGATCATTGCCGGCCAATCTTAAAGGATCTTAAGCTACGTTTCCATTCCTGCAAATTTGTGCCGGCACAAATCTCCAAATTTGTAGGAATGGAAACATCCTGGCTCAAGTCACGGCGCAAATCTCTCATCAATTGATTAAATGCACCTTCCAATGCTCTTTTAGCCAAAAAACTTCTTATCCTCTATCTAGGTAGTTTTCTTCTAAGTTCATTGTATGCACCAGCCATAAATAAAAAATCAGAGGCTGTTATGTCATCCATGGTGATTTGTAGAACACAATATAATCAAAATCATCCACCGAACCTCACCACATCACAATAAAAGAGAACACTGCCTTGTCTGCCAGTTGAAGTGGCGGGACTTGTGCCTGGAATGGAAACGGCATGACAAACTACGTGCGACATGTGCCTCAACTTGTGCCTGCGACTTGTAGGAATGGAAATGTAGCTTAAGGGTACTCACGGCGTAGTGCTTGATATCCTGACCCTAGAAAAGATTACGTGCAGGCAGTGGTGGATCTAGAACAGTCACAAGGGGGGGGGGCAGGGTGTCTGAGAGGTTCGGGGGTACCCCCTCCCTCCCCAAAAATTTGTTTAAACTAAGTCTTCAAAAATGGCAGTTTTATACCATTTCTTTGTCCTAAGTTAGTGTGACAAATTATTTTACGCAATTTGTATGCACTACTGTATTACATGCAGTCAAAAATATATGACATACCTATATTTCCAAACTGCGACTGCCCCCCCCCCCTCTGGATCCGCCACTGGGGTGCAGGAGTACTATACCAGAAGAGCACAAAATATAGACTTTTCCTGCTGTCGTCTCAAACTTACCTAGAATAGCTATCCTCGTTCTACTATTAACTGCAACTCATAACTGCCTACTCATTTGCAGGAGATGGATGCACCCTCCTTCAGAAGGCGCTGAAAGGAATACTAATTATAGGCCGCTGTACTCCGTAAAAGAACTTAAGGAAGAGCACCTAGTGAGATAAGTGTGTGTCTGCCATATCATCCGTTAAACAGCCAGGTTTTTGAAGGTATAGTTTATTGTAAATATTATATATAGAGTTATTTATTAAATCACTTAATAATTTACTAGCTTCTGTGCCCGTGCTTCGCAACGGGAAGATGAACTATACCGCCTAATCCAAACAGTTGTTAAGTAGTCCGAATTTATGAACAAAAGCCACCAAATGTTGGCCTACTGTATAAAAACAATTATGACCAACATTGTAATTGCCCTACTGTTTACGTTAAAATATATCAATAACATAATATTCATTTTCATATTTGAGTTGTTTTGTCTCAAGATCAATGAACCAACTATAAAAGGTATAAAATTACCTCAGTACTGCCAGATTGATCCTGTTTAGTCCTTATGGATTACGGGTTTTAAGGACTTAAGTCCTCATCATGAGATCTTTTACAAGAACATTTAACACTGTAACTTCGAAAGGGTCATCAAGAGTTTAAATGCGAAACACGGACATATACTATTTACAGTCATAGACGTTTTATGAATAAAACGAGTAGGCTTACTGACAAAAACTTACAATGTCCAACCCCAACCTCGTGCGCACAGTTGCAGATGAGGGTCATGACTGCGATGCGGAAGATGGTTGGGCGGTGGACTTTGTACAGCTCGGCTCCTTGTTCATCAGCTGTTCTTGTTTTTTTATTAGAGTATCATACAGAGCGTTAGACTGTAAACTGATTTTGTCGCTTAATAATGTGTTAGCTTGAATTTTGATTGTTTTATAAATTTCAAATTCTTCTATAGCATCCATTCCTGTATATTGCTTTAAAATTCAAAATAAACTACGCCATGGCTCGGTCCCCAGGTACTTATTTCAATTCAGGAAATTAAAGCCTTTACAACTATTATTCAACAAAAACTTCTTTGCACTAACTTGATCAGGGAAATATAGGCCTAGACAAAATATTAAAGGTTTAATTTACCTGTTGCTGATCCTGTTAAAACTGTTAACAGGGGCAGGCCAAGACCATAAAGCACTTCATCCAAAAATAAAATTATTGCGCACCCCATACAGTTGTTTTCTTGAAGTTACAAGTTCAGGCGTCCGATAAAAGCCTGTAGCTTCCCAATTAGATCCTCCTCAGGAAGATATCTATTTCTTGCCACATTAACAAGAGTTATTCTTCTAGCAAGAAGAATAACTCTTGGTAATGTGGCAAGAGGTTAACATGTGTCTTTAACAAGCAATGAAAGCCTCTCAAAGATCGAGTTTGTGTCGCACATTTGTAGGCGGAATAAACCAGTTAAAAACTTTTAGTTAAGGGTACCTATGGTAATTTATTGTAAAATAAGACCTTTTTATTTGAAACTACCAACTACACCAACCCGCATAATTTGGTACCCTTGAGTATTTTAAAATTGTGACTTTCTTTACCAAGATTAAAATGTTTGTTTCAGGAAGAAAGATGTAGCCCCAGCTCTGGACAAAAATATTATGGAGAAGGTTGGCCGCTGTACAGGGCAGCTATAGTTATTATTATATGTTGCCTTTTATTGTTATGTACTGTTTTTATACTTTACCAATAAACCTTATATTTAATCTAGAGCAGTTAATTTTGTTAAAATTCTTACCAGTAAACTTCTCTGTAATTTGTAAAGAAAACATGTAAAAATGATTATATAGTTTATTTTGATCTTCTAACTATTTTGACAGTTTTATAGATAAAATATTCTTTTTAGATATATTTTTTGATTGTTCTTGTTCGTACAGGTCTCAGATAACTATACATAAAGATAAAATGATATTTATATTTATATTATATATGCGAGTGCCAATCTTAAGAAGCAAAGTTAATATATAGCTAGTAAAATAAAATAATGTTGGTGTTTAATGACTAATGAGTGTACTGTAAAAATGAAATAAGTAATTCAAAAGTTGAAACAAAAACTCTATTTAGCCAACCCAATAAAATCACTCAAGAATTTTCCTCTGAATAAATGTTTGAACTTCATAGTCTAGAGGTGTTAGGTTAATGTCTAGAGGTGTTAGGTTAATGAGACATAAGACTGCTTAAGGGTGTTGCTCAACGTGTAATGAACAAAATTAAATTAAGAAAAACAACAAAAGTAAAGAAAAAGAAAACTTTGAAAAGGCAAAGATCAACAATAATAAGATAAATAAATTTACAACGTTATAATTTACAAGAAAAGAAAATCAATTAAAAATTTAAAAGAACGAGTTACTGACAAACTATATTACTTGTTTGTTTTACAAAACTTTAGTTATATATTTTATTCTTTTTACATACTGTTTATTGTCCCAGAAGCACACGCACCGATACACACACTCCGAAACTCTCGATCTTCTTGGTCCAGTGGCCCGTGGTGAACTCCTCGATTTGTTTCTTCTGGTCCTCCAGCTCCGAGACTCCTCACCCCTCCATTTTCTTCATTAACCCTTCTCATTGGCTGATTGGGTGTTTGACTTATAGGTTAACGATGTTTCTTGGAAGTCAGCCCTACCGGTACCCTATCGCCTAGCTCACGTCAGCTGGGAAAGGAATTTGTAAATCGATACTCATGCTACTGTTCAACTCTCTTCACACCAACTGGTCGACTATAGTCCTCGCCACCCTAAGTTGAGGCAGCCAAAGGCCGCACTAGGTATATGCCGTGCAGCCTTGGGCTGCCTCAACTTAGGGTGGCGAGGACTAAGTGTAATGTAAACAGAGTATCTGCTTAGATGAGCACCGTGGGTACAGGGTTAATCCCCTTTCTTACAATGTAAATCTATGTTGTAAACTTCTTGACATATGAGAACTACTTTAGGGACAATTTATACTAGGCGTATGCTCATTCTTCCCGTATTGGGGGCCTAAGACATTGAAAAAGGCTGTGCTGGTAAAAGCGACCAGAATACACACTAAGACCGAAGACCCTAGTTGTTGCCGCATATAAAAATTATACTGGATATATAGCAGGTATGGAGACAAAAATCATGGATGCTCAAACAGTGTCTTGCACAGCAGATCATTTTGAGAATGCCAGAGGTCTTGGCACAGATGTGCTGAATGTCTGGCCCAAAGACCAAACCCACATGGCGAGTCAAATCTGGGAAATAGTCAATATCCAGAGAATTTTGTTAATGCCAACAATTTTTAACTTATTCTTGGTGGAATCAACCATTATCTTTGGTCAAGTCTTAGCTAAGACATCATTAAGAGACTGAGACGGTGGTGTCATCCTGTAATTCAGCTACTAGGAGGTCAGGAGTTGTGGATATTTATAGGCATGTACTGTAGATGTGATACTTCGTGGTTTGAATTAACGCCCTTACTGCGACTATCCGCATAATACTATCCTGATAATTAGACCAATTTTTTTATACCAAGGAAAAATGTGGTTCGGATTCTACTATAAACTGTAGGTCCCTATAGTTATCCATTAGCCCAAAGTATGGGCTATTAATTGACAGCTGTGTCTAAGGAATATGTCGGCCTTAGTCACTAACAAGGATACAAAATCGTGCCACTCATCCATCCTACACTCATCTCCATGCATACTGGTACTTGGCTTAAAATACCTGCTTTGTATGGTTGCCATTTCAAATTAAAGTATTAAGCCTAAGGCAAAATGACTCATAATCATAGAGGGAAGCAACTTTCCTCAAACAGATTTATATCGTCAGCGAACTAAGGGATCTTGATAACTCTCTTGATGTCTTTAAAGAATATGTACAACTAAAAATATCTGTAAATTTCTTTTGATGTTTTCATGATAAATATGCAATGCAATACAACAAAGTAACTTTTGAACATTAAAAATAGCTGTTAACAACAAATTTTTCGATAAAACTCTTTACAAAAATCTGAAGGGCAGGTCCAGAATTGATGGCCTCTCAAGTCCGTAAATTGCATCTGTGATGTTGTTTAGTAAGTTCAACGCTAAATGATTATCAGTTAACTTAACTTATCCAATCAATAGTGTTAACAATACTCAATGTTAATACTTATGAAGTCAAACGGAACGGGGTGAAGCCCGTGGATATAACAGCTAGCTGTCTAGTTGATATAAAACACGTTTTTGAAAATAATTCGATTGATGCTTTAAATGCAAATGTTAGGCATTTATTTTATGAGTTATTTAATTTTTCATACAACAGATCTATGGAACATAACAATAAATTATTCTCTTTAGCGCTCCTTTGGCGAAGCACGGGTATGGCGGCTAAATATAGTACGCTCTATTTCGCAACGGGTACACAAGTTCAGAATACATTTAATTGTTTGATGTAATAATTAAGTCAATAGCCCAAAAGTAAACACATCCGATTTATTGTGCATCCTATGTTCAATTGTGTTTTGGATTTTGTCACATAACCTGAAAACCAGTTAAACGGTTACATGGAAATTGTGGGAAATTTCGCTCTACAAGTGCCTGCTGCATCCCTGCATTTATCCCACTGAGCTAGATTTATCCAACAGTGTTGTCATATTGAGGGAGTAACACTAAATTCAGGGGCGTAATCTCGCTGAATAAAATTAAAAGTCTGCAGCAACACCTATTTCAAATTTTAAAGACAGCTTTGTCTGGAGCTCCGTTTTTATATATTCTACTACTGTATTTAACTTATGGATTTTATTTTGTACCTTTCATATGTGTTATATTTAGCTAATAATCTTAACATATAAAAGTAAAAGCCCTCACTCAATGATTCATTACTAATCCAACTTCCAGACTAGCTAGAACGTTGAAATTTGGTGTACTGATTATTCAGGCATTAAATAGGAAAACTAAGTAGTTTTTATCCTGATCTGACTTTTGGGTTCCACCTAAGTGGTTCTGGAGTTTTCTTAACCTTATAAGTATCTATATTATTAAAAGACTTTGTTGGATTTTGTGTGCTGCAAATTGACCCATAAGTTTGAATGTTTATAGGCATATTGGGTATCTATATATTAAATATAGATACCCAATATATTTAATAGGCAAACACGAATTTTGTGACGAATCCGTTTTGAAGCTGCTATGCATCCGATCACCACGTAGATAAATGCTTTCCATTGACCTACCTTTATATTGATTGGCATATCACTGACAAATGATCACTATAATGTATCTCAAAACATATATAAGACCTAGAATAATAAAATTTTGCATTGGGACGACAATCCATGTATATGGTGTAGATGTACAAAGTTGGGGGTTTTGCAAAGTTCTAAATTCAAGGGTGGTTTAGGGGATTAAATCTATTTCAGAAGAAATTCGAGTATGCAAGATATTATATTTTGGTCTGTAACTTATAAGTTACAATGCTTGGATCTTAAATCTTATGGAAGATCGGTAGTGTAGAATTAAACTATCCACAACTTTTGTATTTCAAGAGTGTTTTTCTATCTCAAACTTATTTCGAGTAAAATAGGTTTACACTCAAAACTGTGAAAATTTGCTTGTTCCGCCACCTAAAAACTAGTCAGTGTCCGTACGTTTAATCATATGATTACCAATCTTTTATTTTATTAAATAGCATTATTTATTATATAATAATAATGCATAAATCAATAAAAGCTGTTAAAAACCTATCAAGTGTACTATCGCAAGTATAGCTACCGACATTATTACATTTTAGGAGCTTGCTCCCGTAAACATTTGAAATATTCTATTCTAAAGCTTCAATTCAGTATAGGTTGTTATCATTAACCGGAACTGCTACACAATTTGTTGTAAAACGGTGATAGTTTTCGTTAAACGTTAATAATAGAGTCAATCTTCTTATATTTGAAAATAAATTTAACCGATTTTCATGGTTGAGGTCTCAAATTGAAGGTGTGCACAGATTTCACTCTAAGCATCGGCATATATATTGATCTACTGTATTACTCGTCCAAAAAACATATATTTCACTTTTTCGAATTCTTACTTCAATTTAAGATGCATTTCACCAGTTATAATTATACAATCCTACATATTTTGGTCTAAGAACCTTCAGTGAAATGCCGGCTTTCATTTAAGCTATTAATTAGTTATCCAAATCGGACGGACTACAAGCAATTGCAATGTGAACAACCAACATATAAATTATTTTTTTATAAGGGTTTTCTATGATTAAAAATCAATAGGTCCACTATTGTTTATGTTTTTTTCATGTTTTTGACGCAAAATAGTAAGTTAATTAAAGGTTTTAATTTGAGCTATTTATCGTTTGAATCAGTTAAGATCAAGATACTCAATACAAATTTATAAATTTGATTATTGCTCGAATATGATTTTCATTTCAACGTTGTAGAGTAGCATGGGCCCTCTAGTAATTATTAAATGTACAGAAGGGACAACAAAATTCAAGAATAATATCAAATCAAGAGCATGCCGAGTCAGTAACGGGGAACATCATATATACAGTATATCACTAAATAAAATAATGTTTTTGTGTTACTTTTAATCCTACTTTAGACTATCTGAAATACTTTTCAATAAAGTTAGAGAAAACTAACTGTACCATTGGAAAATTTGGCTTGGAGTATGATTATGAATGAAAGGAGATATGAATACTTTAGTATTTTTGGTAAAAACATCATTCAGTTGTTCCAGAGAGGGTAGTTCCGTTCCGTAGCGAAGTCAGTGACAACTTCAGCAGGCTTATAGTAAAGAATAAAAGACGAAAAAGTATGTCAGGCGATGCAAACGGCAACAGCTAGTTAATTAATAAAATCTGACCCGTTAATACTGTAGATTTAGTTACAAGAGAAAGTAGCCTAGCAGTGACCCAGGGGCATGGAGAGAAACAGGTTCGCAAGATGATGGACTTAATATCGTATTTTGTTATTTACAGTATTTCACCTATGAAAAGTTCTAACTAGATATTTTATACATATAATTTCCTTCGGCATTTATACTGCCTACTTTGTAGCCGTAAATATCGGAATTACCCACATTACCCTTGTATGGGAATGTTTATTGCTCCAGACTTTTGGGTTGGCAGCACTGTTCACCCCATAACAACTACTCCCTCCCCCAGAAACCTTGCAGCCAATGAGAGCAGTCGATGCCCCCACCACAAGAGCAAGAGGGCGTTCATTACCTCACCAAATTGAAAAGTAACCAACCTGACCGATTTCAATATCGGGCAGGTAGGTCCCTTCACCAGTTTGAAAGGTTACCTACTTGAAGGGATCCCGTGTCAGCTGCGAATTTTGTGGTCACATTAAGCTGACAGTCGCGGCTTCTTTCAATTCGCCGCTGATGCCAGCCTAGTGTGACCCGTGCTTTACGACGTTGCCATTTCTAACAGGCCGCAGCCTGGGGTTAAAGGTGGCCGTGACCACGGCCGCCTTTAACTCATTATCAATACTTCTACAATTTCAATATTTTAATACATTTATATTCATAAATTAAAAATTAAATCAATTAAGTGCGAATTAATGAGCTGATGTCACCTGTCTGCCATGTTATCTTATGGGACGTCTGTCACTGAACAACACCACTTGCGATGTTGCCAATTCTACCAGGCCGCGGCCTGTAGTTAAAGGCGGCCGTGCCGTGACAGTATGCCCTCACTTACGATCGTGTCTTTACCTAATGACATCTTAGGAGTTGTAGTCACAACATCACTTGTTGGAGGCAAGTCTTCCGGGTTTTCCATAACACCAAAAGGAAGATGTGTTTCAAGCGCCCCAAAGTTATGATGGAGAATCTCTTGAGGAAAGTTCCACTGCCAAAAGATTGGAACAATTTTTTAGCACTAAGGAAAACAAGGCTGGCCTCACCCGCTTCCTCTCTCAAGAAATGTTCCATCATAACTTTGGGGCGTTTGAAGTTGTTGTATCTGGAGATCTTGCACATGAAGAAGATGTGAGATCAACCAACCTCGAAACTGACGTCTGTACTCTATCTGCGACCATGAAGTGGCCGACAAACTCGTTGTACTCGTTGTCCACTCCAATGCCGACAACATCGTTGTCATGGCAGGGTGTTCCGACATCTGTTTGCTTCTGATCAATCACTTTGAGAAAATTACCAGCACCAAAGTGTGGATGATGACTGGCCCAGCAAAAGAAAGAAAAATACATTCAATTCCATGCGATCCGTCAAATTTTACGAAATGCTCAAAAGAGGTATATATTGGCGTTTCACGAGGTCATGGGCTGCGAATCGACATCTCACCTAGCATTAATAACGAACAAATCAGCGTGGAAAATCTTAATTGAACGGCATGCCGGCTTCTTAACAACCTAGGCGGCCTAGGCCACGTTCCGTTTAGTGGCCAATGTAGGGAAATTCCTGGGACAGCTCTACAAGGTTGTTACAGTTTTTGTAGATTGTCCACCAAGTTAAACTTAGGTTTATTTCATCATATCTGTTTGTCTCAAAAGGTGGGCATAAAGACGTATCCAGCGGAGATGAGGCTAGACATATTTTTTGTGTGTTATAAAAAAAAACAGCATTCCTAGCCTCCAAAAGGTGATGTTCTGTGACTACAACTCCTAAGACGTCATTAGGTAAAAGACACTATCTTAAGTGAGGGTATACTCTGTATTCAATGGTTTTACAAACAAATTGATTTTTTTTGTACTGCAATTTTTTTTTACTTTCCATTTGAACGTGTTGGAAAATGTTCATCTTGCCCGACCGGTGATGATGGATTCCGAGTCATATGGCTTCACCAAAACCAGTACTTGTGAGCATTGAGCCCGTCCCAAAAGCCTCCACAGATATCCTATAGCCTGTAATTGTTTATCCAAGTGTCTATCTACAAAGTGAACGCGCAAGAAGAATGGACGGACTTGCACCAAACTGATCCACCGTTCTCGACAATGTTTGAAAATAATGGTTGATTTATTTTGTTCATATCTTCATTTAAATATTGCAATTCACATTTTTTAAACTCTGAAATGGTCTTTTCCTCATATTCCTTATTGGAACCAATGTTCTCCACAATCGTAGGAATTGAAGTAATGAGGGTCGCAATCCGTTTGGCATCAAAGAAAACGCCTTTGAAGATGTTTAAATAATGATTTCAAACAAACAAACAAGGGAGAATTTGGCGGTCATATTGTGTGCCATCTTATATGATCTCAAAAGTTGTGCAAGTGTTTGGCATCAATAAAACCCCCAATTCAGACGTCTAAATTATTATTTTAGGTCAACTAATAAGAGATAGATATGATGCGGGATGCGGATATAGAGTTTTGGGCCGCCATTAGGAACATATGCCCCCAAAAGTTATGGTGGCAATTAAATTTTGAGTGTTGCAAAGCGTTTGGCATCCGAGAAACCCCCTACAAAGATGTTTAAACTATTATTTTAGGCCAACTAACAAGAGAGATGGGCGACAAACAGGGTCTGGCCGCCATCTTGGATACCGCACTTCCGGCCGGTTCAAATTTCGCTTTGACAACAGGCATTGATTCAGCAGGGTCGAATTACCCTAAAAATCCTGTTATAATTTTTTCCCCTTAAAACACAAAATTTACCAATTTTTCTCCAGACCTTAAAAACCTAATAATTTAGTATATCAAAGTGTTTTTGTACGGTTATTGGTAATGGAGAAAATTAAAAAAAATTCAATTTAAAGTTCCCATGTTATTCTTATGGAGAATATTGTAAAAATGTTGTAGTTTGCTTGTCTGTGGATATATTTTGATGAAACTTGGGAAATTTATTTATTTTATACTAAGCTACTGATATTTTAATAAAAAAAAAAAACACACCTTATTAGTCTCCCTGTAGCATTAATAGATTGATTGAAAATCAATCCAGGCAAATGGAAATTCACTTAGTCAGCAGGTTTGCTGCAGCGGGCGTATTTAAAAAAGCCTGCTCTATTAATGTTTCCTGACCTGACATGGCCCCTTCAAAATTTCAAGCATATCAGCTGGAGATGGTGAGAAAGACAGCCGTGTTTTTTATAATGACATTATTAGTAAATAAATAATTTAAAATAGGTTATATAAATTATTAGTTATATTGTTAGTCAAATGCGTAACAAAGTATCCCGCTAGTTCTAAATTTAAAATCTCAAAGAAAATGTCTAACTCTAAAAATAACATAAGTAATTAACATTATGAATATAAACTATGGTTTACACGGTTCTTTCAAAATACAAGATTTGAACAGTTGATAGCTTACTCAACTCCAATGCATGATGCAGCAGCATTTACTCCTTTTGCTATTTTACTTTCAAACAAGCAATACTCTTGGCCCTTATTCTTTACCCCTTGATGGAGTGTTGTACCCAAGAGCATCTGAGAGTCGGGATGTCCTCTTACTAGATGGTTTCTGGAGTTTTATTCTAGACTTGCCAGAGAACCAAGACATTGGTGAGAAAGAGAGATGGTTTGAAAAGGATATCAGTAAGATGAAAGGCACTGTGTTGATGCCAGTTCCAAGCAGCTACAATGAACTTACTACATCATCATCAGTTCGAGATCATGTTGGTACGGTTTGGTATCAAAGGAAGTTCTTCATACCTACAAATTGGGGCAAACGTCAAAGAGTTTGGCTGAGATTTGGAGGAGTTCATTACTTCGCTCGAGTTTGGGTCAATGGAAAAGAAGTTATGACCCATGAAATCGGACATATTCCATTCCAATGTGAAATAACTCATTTTTTGAACTTTCAAATAGAAAATAATATTACCGTATCAGTTGATAACAGACTTGGACAAGAAACTATTCCCCATGGCAAAGTAGAAACGATTGACATTACTGTAGGCTATAAAAAAAAACAGAGCTTTAGTTATGGTTTTTACAATTATGCTGGGATCCATCGATCTGTTCATTTGTATACAACCCCCATGGTATATATTGCAGATATTTTATTGGAGAGTAGGTTTGAAGAAAACATTGTTTCCCTTCACTTTGTAATATTCTGGAAGGGAAGTTCCTCCAAGGAAATGATCTGTGTAAGCGCAACAGTCAAAGATAAAGACAATGGAACAGCTGGGACTGACTCACAAATTATCAACGGAGACATGAAAAATATCTCTGGGACGGTAAAAATGAACAATCCTAGGCTTTGGTGGCCTTACCTTATGAACTCCACTCCAGGATATTTGTATACAATAGAGTTGACAGTGGAATCATTAAATAACACAGAAATTAAAGATGTTTATAGACAACCTTTTGGATTCAGGAAGTTAGTCTGGGACCACAGATCGATTTACATTAATGATAAGCCAATATATATTAGAGGAATTAATAAACACGAAGACTCCGACATTCGAGGACGAGGTGTAGACCTGCCTACATCATTAAGGGATCACAACCTTATGAAATGGCTGGGAGTAAACACATACAGAACTTCTCACTGTCCTCACTCGGAGGAAGCTATGGACTTGGCTGAACAAATGGGATTTATGGTGATTAATGAGGTTCCAAGTATAAACACTCATAACTTCACACAAGAATTACTTATCAAACACAGGATAGCTCTTGCGGAATTGATTAATCGGGATAAGAACAGGGCTAGTGTCATAATGTGGTCTGTAGCAAGTGAGCCAGAAACAAACTCAACTGAATCTGGAGTTTACTTTGGAGCAGTGGTTGCTTTCACAAGAGAGAAAGATAAAACAAGACCGATCACGGCCATTACCAACCGTTGGCCGACTGTTGACAATGCGACCCAATGGCTGGACATAATCTGTTTCAACCGGTTCAACGGTTATTACAAAGAACCGGGTCAATTAGAGATGATCCAGGGAGCTGTGCTAAATGAAAGCATCATATGGTATGACTGGCACAAAAAGCCGGTGATCATGTCAGAATATGGCACTGAGACGTACGAAGGGCTTCACAGTCTGCCAGAGCATCTGTGGACGGAAGAGTTCCAAAGCAAACTTCTCTCTGAACATTTCAAGGCATTCGATAAACTGAGGGAAAAAGGATGGTTCATTGGAGAAATGATCTATAGCTTTACAGATACAAAATCGGACGAATCAATCAAACGAGTGGGAAGTCAGCAAAGAAAAGGAATCTTTACTCGACAAAGACAACCAAAGTCATCTGCATATTTTGTTCGAAAACGAAACTTCAAGCTAGCAGCTGAAATGAATGAGTCATCTATTTCCAAAGAGTTGGAGCTTTACTATTGACGCACAAAGGAAAACTAGTACACTTAACAGGAGATTTAATATAAAATTGTCAAACAATATTCATTCAATCTACCTTAAACTATGCATTGTGTCAGCATAATAATGGATAATGGATACACAATTATATATATTGTTGGATAATGTGATCAATCTAGTATTTATACCAAAGTATCCTGGCTAATTGCCTACACTACCGGGTACCGGTTGTCAATATCAGAAATTCCAGGGTATTTTAGGAGATCATCTAACTGACCGGGTCAGGTAGTTCTGTTTTGATTTTACTCAGAATCATTAAGGGAAACTTTCCAAGGAAATAAGACTGGTAAGAATTAAGGTAAAGCTTTATTTACTAACAATACATTTTCTATTCTGGGGTTTTCTGCCCTCATAACAGAGTTTGCTCTTTCAAAGTAGGCTACACTTCAACAGTAAAAACACAACAAAAATATTACGGTACATCGTGATCAATGATTAAACACTAGCCTCTAAGAATAAATAAACATGAAAATATACTATACACATTCCTTTTCAAGATTTGCACAGCCCTATATTATAATTTACAAGTTCTTCAACCTATTGCATGTTATATCAATGTGCCTTAATGTAAAGTAAACGAACATGTCCCTTGCCTGCAGCCTCAAACTTGTACCCAGAATCTGGAAAAGATACAAAACGTTAGCCTATAATTTAGGTATGGTACACACGCATATTAGAATATCAATCAATGTTATAAATGTACTGTAATGTTATACATTTTTTAATTTGCTAAATATTTCTGGTGTAATGTTTCCATAATTTACAATAATTTATCCTCCAAACAACAAACAACTGCGTATTGTTGTAAATTTAGCCTAAAACTTCCAAACTTCCAGAAGTTGATCCCATGATCTTTGACACACTTTAATGCATACTAGCAGCCAGCGTCACTTTGTGACTTCTGTGATATATTTGAATTAATTTACAATTTTCTATTGATCTGAGTTAAGTTGAAAATTATCAATTTTTTAATTGAACTTACCACTGACTTATAGCCTAATTTTTTTTAAGCAAACCCTAAATATAACTTTATGTGATTAGTTTTGCCAATCTATATATATCTATCTATCTATATATTAATAGGCAAGCATGTTTCTTTAAAACCTTTTTTCTCAGCTCGTGTGCATCGCAGGGAAAATCTACGCATACTGTTGGAAAGATATTTTCCTGTAGATGTGCAGAATGCTTTTAAAAATTAAAATAGGCTAACAAATAAGAACAAAAAATGAATTTGAAAACTTCAAAAAATTAACATGGACCATATGGGTTGCCATGATGGTGACGAAATAACAACAAAATGTAAACAGAAAATCAAAACAAATGGAAGAAATTCCAATGTTTTATTTACAGTGTGGGGAGAAAATAGAGAAGTCTCTACATTAATTATTTTTGGTCGAGTTTCGACCACAGGACGACCACTAGTACTTATTTAATACGCAAGCAGTTTTTTTGTGACAATTACTCCTCCGAAACTACTGAACCGAATGACATGTTTTTGGTGTCATTGGAAAGAGCGTAACGTGAAGTTGTGCAGGAAACTTTCTTTTTAGGGAAATAATTAGAGAGTGAGGCCCTGGGGCCCTTTAAAGTTTCGTATTTCTCCATAAGATTAACATGGGAAACAAAAATTGTTATGAAACTCCAGCTGTTGTCAGAAATTAAAAGTGAGAAGAAGAACATATGTTAAATGTAAACAGTCAATAAGTTTGCTACAAACATTTACTGACTTATAACACTAAAAACTAGAACACTAAAAAACAAGATCAGCTCTTGAAATATGATAAGATATTTACAAACAATTTTTATTGTATTGATCTGTTATGTACATCTTGAGTATTTCCATAATCTTTGAGTTGAATATTTTAAAGTCATCAGAAATTATGACTGTTATTCGTTTTAAAATAACGCCTGCAATATACTTAGCAATTGCTCGAATTCGAGCAACCTGTACACTAGTATATATATAAAAGGCAAAGCCCTCACTGACTCACTCACTCACTCATCACTAATTCTCCCACTTCCCATGTACCTAGGAGGCTGAAATTTGGTACACCGATTCTTTGGGCATTAAATATGAAAACTAAGTAGTTTTTATTCTGATCGGGCTTTCGGGCTCCGCCCCAGTGGCTCTGGAGTTTCCCATGTTAACCTTATGATTTTTCATATTTAAAAGGAATTAATGAATCTTAACAGCAGTTTCAATTAAACAAGTTGGTTCTGTTCTATGATGTTAAAAATAGCATTAAAGTTACGAGGATTACCAACAGGGTGCAGCACTATTATTTTTTTAATTTATGACAACAGCTAATTTGCAACCAAAAGGCGAGTGAGCGTAGCGAACGAACTTCAACCAGGACGTGATTGAGCCATGCGAATACTTATGAAGTTAAACGGGGCAAAGCCCGCGGGTACAGCTAGTACAATATAAAAACATGAATAAAAAAGTGAAACAGACTTTAATTAAAAACAAAAACTTCTTTAGATAAGTATGGTATTTCAGCCTATGTCCTTAATTTCCACAAAAACTAATGTAAGTCATTTTCTTCTTCACATTTTAAACAAATACCATTACAATATTTTAGCCTACTTGAATTCACTAAAACATCAATAAAACATACTATGAAAACGCAAAATACTATGAAAACACAAAATCTAACGCAAGTAATTTTCTTCTTTACATTTCATACAAATAATATTACAATATTTTACGGTACTTTCCTGTTAAAGGGAACATTCATTATTATCGATGATTTTTTCGATATATCGATATTTTTGTATTCCGATCCATTACAAATTGACAACTGATCTTGTTTAGGTGGATTAAGAAATGAAACTGTTCTAAGCTAACCTAAAATAACCAACCAAACTTGTTGTATTATTTAAAAATTTCTTTTGATAACAGAAAAGGCAAGTTAAACACAGAATTTTTAAATGTCACACAGCAAGTTTGGTTAGTTATGTTAGGTTATTTTTTTTAGAACAGTTTCATTTTATTATTGTTTGTTGATAGGTACTGGACAATATTTATCGTAGTTGTCAGCTGATATGTTTCAATTGGTTAATATCGATATATCGAGAAAAAAAATCATGGATAATAATGAATGTTCCCTTTAACAGGAAAGTATCTATTTTACTTTAATTCACTAAAACATCACCAACTGTAACCCCATTTTTGTATGAATATAAACAAAACTGTATCATGACCATCTGTTTTGATGTAATACATTTGTTTACATAAAAACAGATGGTCACAACACATTGGACATTTCATCTAAACAAATGTAAACTTGAAAAAGTTTAGATGATTGACAACAGAATTCAGCACAAACTCTGAAAGTTTAAAAGCCTGCAAGCTGTTGGCCCGTCCTACGTACGGGAATCGAGTAGTCCATTAAAACTGTATATAGTGTGCCTATTACTAATTCAAGCATAGTTTAAGCAGTTCAAAATTTATAGTAAAGATGTGATCATTCATGTGATCATTGTTATTTTCCCAACATTTCCTCAAAAAGTCGAGTAGTAAAATAATTTTGATAGGCTAAGCTTTCTTTTGAAGATTTGTGAGCAACATTCGTATATAGCCAATGGTTATAGAATCTTACTTAGTTTCCATAATCAATGACAAAAGCACAAAGTAAATAAACTAACCTCTTAGTTTTATAGAATATTTTTTTATTCAACCAGCTGTTAGTCACAGTAGAAACTCGATAACAAGACTCCCATGGGGATTGTTAAATTAGACTGGTTATCAAGGTTGACTTATTATTGAGGTTTCTAATAACATGTGATTAAGGGTAAAATAAATTCAAGGGGATTTGATAATTACACTTGTTATCAAGGGTGACTTGTTATCGAGGGTCTTCTTCTCAAGGTTTTACTGTATAACAATTTATATTTCACTTAAACAAACTAAATATTTTAAAGTCTGCTCAAAAAAATAAATTAGAACATCTAGTAATTTACTATGTAAAAACTCTCATCCTCTTACAGAATAAATGAACGTATCAATGGTTATAGCATTACACATAGTATAAATAAGTCAATTCTACATTATCTAATTTCATTTTCATCCAAAAGCTGAATTTGTGTTGAAAATGCTGAATGTTTACAGCTGTTACGTTAAGCAAATGGTATTATACAAAAGCTAGAGTAGAATGTTAGCGCCGGCTGCTAGACTTTTTGAAATTTAAAACTTAATTTCTAGAAACCTGAAACCCTAAACTAAAATTATGGCTATGACATTCCCTAGTTCTCAAAATTATCTTTCTTTCAACAGAAAAATCATGAAAATCCGTCAAGTGGTTGATTCAGAATCGTGAAATAAAAAAACCCTGTTTTAATATATTTGATAGGAAGGGCTTGACGAAAGACATTTACGGGATATCATCCAAACCTCTAAAAGGCACATCTAGAGAAAAAGAACCTTAAATTGATACCCAATATGCCTAAAATTAATTTAGGGGTTGATTTGCTGAATGCAAAAATCCAACAAAGTCTTTTAATAATACTTATAGATTTTAGGCAAAGGCGTGTGAAAGGCAAGTGTTGATTGAATGAGATGACAGCTTTGTTACTGACTAAGGTCAACTGGTTCTTAAGCCACTAACTTTGCCAAAAGCCTGAAATGGTGAAAGGATTTATAAACTTGACTACGGTACCAAGTTGCAGCACATGTCCGGTGTTTGTTTTGAGTTAACTGCGTCACAGAGACAACTGGAGAATGAGAGAGTTGCGAGACCTTAGCCACCATTTGTACTAAGGGATGAAGTACATTGGAAGTAGGGGAATAGGGGAATGTAATAAAGCTGGTTGATTCTTCTAGTTGGTACCAACATTACATTTTACAGTGTCTCGGTATTCTAGCCTAGTTGGCGTACCAGTGCTAACATGAATTTATAGCTCAATGGTTGAATCACACTCACAATTACACTTGTGAGAATGGTAGTTTTGTTATGTTACACATGCGCCTGAAACGCCTTTGGAACTCACAGTACAATCCTAGATCTAACAATAGTATTAAGTTTCACAAAACTTTATACAGTATATTCCATAAACAAAGTTCCAACCTTTGAGAAGTGGTTTTATTGGTGAAACAAAACCAAGATTTTACTGAAAATAACACTTTTCCAAAGCTTCATTGTTTACCAAATATCTACTACTAGTGTACATGTTGCTCGAAATCGAGCAATTGCAAAGAAGTACTGGAGTTATTTATAAACGAATAACTTGTTTAAAAACTAATAACAGCCATAATTTCCGATTATTTTAAAAGAGTCGACTAAAAGATTATTAACTAATCGAAATACTCACAATTTACATAACAGTCCTATTTCCGTTTAAAGGGTTAATTTTTAACTATCAAACTGCCCATGGACGGGAAAAGGTAAGCTTACAATTTAAGTCAACGTAAAAAGGCTGTCAGCTTTTATAATGTACCGTACCTAAGTTATTTAGCCAATTTGTAGACAATAAGGTGTAGGCTACTTTAAACTCTACAGGACAGAGTTAGGCAAAAACTGGCAGAACTCTGAAATGGTGTTATTTATCACAGGCATACTCATATGGCAAATCTTAAAGCTTATATCGAAACACAAATCAACATCCAAAACTATACAAATTT